CTGGTGCTGATGCCATGCAGAAGCCCGCGTCTGGTCTGCCCCCCCCAAGAAAGTAGCTGCCGCAGTCCGGTCTTGAGGGTCTTTGCTGTTCCCGCAGTCTGCGGAGCCTTGGGCTGGGCCGGGCTGGTGCTGGTGCTGGTGCTGGTGCTGGGGCGTTTGGTCTGCGTGTTGTCAGATGGGCGCTTCCTTTCGGGCTGAACTGACGCCCGTGATCATTGATGGGATGTGATTGTGATGGCTGGGGGGAGGGGGGAAACGGTCAGCAGGAAGTATTGGAGAAAGGTCTGTCTTGTTCTGACTTGTCTTGTCTCTTTCCAATTTGCTCGTGCGCTTGCATGGCCCTAGCCCGTGTGATTTTCGTTCGAAAAGAGGGAAGCAGTCGAACTGCGGCCGCTTGATGGGAGCGTACATGCCAGGTTTGATCATCTGATTTTGGGTTTTGCACTCTTCACGATGGGATTGAGGACGCGCAAGGGGCGGAGGCTGATGGGTGGATGGTATGTACGGAATGGAGGAGGCCAGGAGCAAGCAATGCGGGATCCGCTTGAGGTGCCCGGTGTTCTGAACTGTTGGGATCTCGTCACATTACAGACACGAAGCACGAAAAGCAGGTTTCTGATGCAAAGATAAATTTCTCGTGCGTGCCTTGTGTTCGCGGAGTCGTTGACTGGGGGGCCTGGGGGCCTGGACCGAAGACTTGGCTGCCTGCTGCTTGCAGGAGAAGAGATTCCGAGATTGCTAATTCACTCGCTGGTTCGCGCTTTTCGTGGACGATGTCCGTATTGAGAAGGGGGAGGGTGCTGACCCCCCCCTTGTCTGATTGCCCTGTTCATTGCGTGCCCGTGTGGTTGCCTGTTATTTCTTTTCACGAGAATTGCCTGAGCGGCGGTTCGTCGGTCTTCTGACTTGCGAGTGATTAGGGGGGGTTGGTTTGTCCTGTGGGTGACAAAGGTTACGATGGATATGAGAGGGTCAAATCGGGCAATTTCAGGTTGGATCAGGGTGAGCATGGAGGATGAAGGTTTTGTAGATCTGGTGTTCGTTGTGGATGCGTGGGAATGTGATTGTGATGTGAAGCTTACGTGCATGTCACGATTGTGATTGTAGTGTACTGCCTCTGCAGTTCAGCTCCTCAACTGGGATTAACTTGCGAAAGACGCAGGGGCAGCAATATCTCGTAAAACAGAGTTTGAAGAAACGGGCTGGCCGAGATGTCCAATGAATGTGCATTCGTGCCTGGAGAGATCAACACGAAGGATGAACGAACTACGCAGATGAAGATCGAGCCGTTCTCTTCGTCCCGCGGCATCTCGTGTCGAATCTGGCTCCCGGGAGGCCGCCTACTATCCGCCATTATCGAACCCCACGTGGGTATGGGCGAGCCGGTCCGCGGTTCGTAGAGACGAAGTCGATGTTTATTTGGATTTGTGTGGGTTTGGCTGCGTACTGTGAGGGAGTTGATTCGGTGTAGGGAGCGATGGAGGGAGGGAGGAATGGTAGGTGGCGTCTAGGAGACAGATCCGTTGAACGAGCCGTTCGAATGTCCGTCATTTTGAGATCGCGAAGCTATCCAAGGCCGCGCCGCCAGTAACGTCCTCCGCCGTGGAAGCTACCAGTTCTCCCCGTAGTTCCAGATCGCGGCACGCCGGCGATATTTCTTGCGCTTGCGGAGAAGTTTAATTTGATTTTGACGGCGTGCGATGTCGAGCATGAAGTTTTTGGACGGCGTTGGGTTTTGGATCTAGAAGCTTTAGAGGGGGGCCACAAACCTGGAGAAGAAGACGATTGGTGATGTGAATGGAGATTGTCTGCCTTGCTCGAATGCATTTGTACCCAGCGTCTGAAGGAAGGAGACCTCGCTCCGAATAATGTGATGAACAAGGGAACTCAGGGGCTACGGGGAGAGGGGCAATAATCTCGAGTTACCTTAAAGTCAATGTTGGCCTGGTTGTTCTATCGGAGCTGTGAAGCTGCTGCGGGATCAGATACGAACACTGCTGCTCAGCTTCTCGACACGACTACGAACTTCCCTACGTAAGACCATGAGGATCGTTGAGATTACCGTGGAAACTCACAAGAGCGGAGGAAAGTTTCGAATTCATAAGGGACTCCAGAAATTATGATATCAACTGTAGCTGTACGTCTCTGAGAAAAAGGGGCATACACAGAACCCAGTGAACTGCAACGCGGAGATGGAAGCTTCTCATCTGCGGTCTCGTGGTGAACTAATCTCGTCCTCATTGTGATGATCTACCAGGACGAAGGATTTTCGCAGTAAAGAAGGCCCTCATACGTGGCTATCGACGGTTTATCATGTTTCTTACTATTCAGCCCCTGAATGCAATCGTTTTGGAGTCATGGACACCCGAGTCCTTGTCAACAGGCCAGTATTCAGCCCGATATTTTGGTGCGGTGCTCATATCGGTGTTTCCTGATCTCAATTCGTCGTCACATATATGCCGAAGGCGAAGACAAGCCGAGTTGCGCCTGGTGAGAATAGCATAAAGTATCATGGCAGGAATATGTAATCACCATACATACGTTCTTTGGAGATGTGAGCGGGGAAACCAGATAGAAGAAGAGCACAAAGTATACCAGTTCATCACATCTATCTGACCAACTATCTCCATCCTTCGAGTATAGAAGTGTTTACCAGAAGCTTTCAGTGGATTCTGTGGTTATCAAATATCCTACTCAGGGGCATAATAAGAAGCCTGAACGTGCAGTTTGAGCTGAAACTATACGCCTCAAGTCGCGAATTCGCGGCAATTAGCAGGAGGCGTACAGCGAGAAAGAGGGCGCAATTGAAAGCAGTGAAAGGGACTAACTCCATATTGAAAAAGGCGTGGAGAGGAAAATCGGTCGCACTGCTATCTACCAGCCCGATGCCTTCGGTATACCTGGCTGAATACGCGCGAAGAGACGGATTGAGAAGCACTCCAGCTTGCACTGGTGTTTCTTTCTGGCGGAGACACGAACTGGTGCAACTCCCACTGTGTTAACCGATCAGAGGCGCCTCTGGGAACGCGTACAACCAGTTCACGAACTCATCGGCGCAAGAGACCCATAGAAATCACTGAGACTCAGACGACAATAATTACTCAGTATTTGAATGATTTGACCCAGCCGGCCTGGACCTCCTCGCCCAACGGAAACCGCTGGTCACGAGAAACGCAGTCACAGTCTTCCCATATCATGCTGCCCCGCGCTCCAGGTCGATAACTTTGTCTTGGCTCTAAGGAATTTAGAACAGTAACTATCAGCTTTTGTTCCGAGTGTATGGCCTCTCGAAGCATGTAGTCGTCTCATTGCCGCAGTACCCCTCGTTCAGGAGCTATCCTGTCGTCCATTGAACCACATAGATCAGAGTTAGAGGCCGGTCTCAGATGCCTGCAGAAGAGCCGAGTGATACGAGTTTGCGCCTTTGGACCTAGTATAAACCCGACGAGGAAAGTTCGCGGAGAGGCTTTTTGCGAAAAGGTAAAGGCCGTTCCGTCACTGTCCACATTATTCTTGGCATTGATGTTATATGAATATAGTTTTTAAATGAAGCTGACAATAGATTAAGAATGGCGTCCACGGCTGGGAGTCAAATATGAGAACGTCTTTCCTCCGACGAAACCAAAGTTGATTCGGTACCCATCTCAAGTGCTCATTGAAATATATCTCAAAGCTTTTGAGTCCAGGGCAACTCGAAGTCGTCCTTCATGATATCCGGGGTTTATAGATGAGATCTGTAGCAAAAGTGAGAAAAGTGCTGACGACGTTGGTCCTACACAGCATTATCCACAATATCTTAGACTCTGTTTAGATTCTCCTACAACTCCCTGTAGCCTTTATTCACCCCTAAACCGCCCCTAGATTTCCAGTACTCGTAAACACGTCGTCACCAACCCATCCGTCAACACCGGAAGTCCCACCGACTCCTCAGCGGGGCCAAAGCCGGCCGCCCCTCCGGGACCCTCCGCAGACCCGCGACCCGCCATCATCGTGGGCCTCAACTTAGGGCAAATTTCCGCACCACAGCATCACACACCCAAAAACCACATTCGGTTCGGGATGGGGTCGGTTAGCTCAGTTGGTTAGAGCGTGGTACTAATATTTCACCCTGAAATGTTGTGTAATGCCAAGGCCGGGAGTTCAAGCCTCCCACTGATCATTGATTTCTTTTGCTGTTGGAGATGAGTCTTCCAGGAACGAATGGACTTGGATGATGATGTATGTGCTTTTGACTGTTTTTTGATGCTCTGTGAAGGTAAGCTAGGAAAATCTGAGAGCAAGGCTGGGTACGGATGCGTGTGGTGTCGAGGTAGATGAGATTTTTGGATGTTGAGGGGTGGTTTGTCTGACGCTGGGAATAGCCTCTGGATGGGCTGGAACATACCACTTCACTACACGCCGCACCCCTGAAAGAATCTCTAGTTCATCTCATACTGATGGAATAGCTCTGGTGGAGATATTTATCCCGTTGTCGCACTCAAAAGGGGCGTTTGTGTATGTATGCGCCCTGGCTGATGCCATCCGCCGGGGCAGCAGCAATCCAGATACAAGAAGACGAAAGAGAGCTCGCCTGGGATTGGCCAAGGTCAGCCACGCGACGATAGTTGGGGTAAAAATCTATACCCGCCAACATCATTTGCTTTGGGGGGCTGCGATGTTCATAGCAGTGCGAGAAAGGGGAGGAAGCGGCTCGCTTCATGGAGGGTTTCTGCCCAGACTCGGTGTGTGGATAGTTGTTGGGGTTTAAAGTGCGTTTAGAGAAAAGTCTAGAATCAAGGCAAGTAGGTAGCTTACTAGAGAACCTCTCTTCTGCGTCCTTGTTGCAGCCGGAAAAGAGCTCGATGTTTGTGTCACGCCTTCTAAGAGTCGCCTCCTACATTGATGTACGTCACCGAGGAACGAAGTGAAGTCAAACCGTTCCGTACTTTGCAAGTCACGGCCACCCAGGATTATCACTGCTTGGTACTTGAGAGGTGTTCTTTGGCATGGCCATGGAAACCCTCAGGGTATGGGAAACTTCATTATGCTGTCAACCGTGAGGCTGAATAAGTATATTTATCATTAATCAGTGACGCTGCCTGTTGAAACCCTTTCACTCCTCCTCCATATCCACGAAAACCTCATCTTCAAACAGCCCACGGAGGATCATGAACCGTTCTGCTGCTGTTCCACAGCCTCCTCCTCCTGCAGTCCCGAATACCGCAGATATAGCCGATCTCTGAAGTGCTGGTGGCGAATCCCGTTAGGCCTCGCCTCCTTGAACGTCTCAATCGCGTCCTTTACTGACATTCCGCATCGGTCGACTAGATAACACACAATAAAGTATCCGGTGCGGTTGAAGCCGTAGTGGCAGTGGACTCCAATGACCTGCGTCTGGCCGTCCACCTCTGCCCACTTCTCCTCCTCGGCCCGGGCCTTCTGCTGCTCTCGCAACTTATCCACGAGCGCAATGAAGTGAGCCACTTCGGAATCCTTGGGCGGAATCTTTGAGACTGTCGCAAACTTGTGATATCGCACGCCGCCCTTTTCCATGCTCCGCGGGTCGTACACCGGCTTGTCGTGACTTATGTCAATCACGTCCTTGATGATTCCTCCCCAGTTCTTGACAAACTCGGCAGGACAGTGCGTTTCATCTGCTTCTCGCAGAGTCTTCATCGCTCTGAAGACTGGTGGGCTGCCTGCTGGACCGATGGGGTGGGAAACCGGAACGACTCCCTTCCATTTGGCCAAGTTCTTCACATCCCACTTGCCTTCCCGCGAGAGATACTGCAGTTGCCATCCGAGAGACAGACGCCCAGTGACATGGTTGGCAAGGAAGTCGGAGATCAGACCAGCCAGAATTCTGACTGTAGCAGGCATGAAAAGAAGCGCATGGTTGGCAGGCGCAGGCATGATGATAGACCTGACGACCTTGGTAGGATGCCGGGGCTGAGGTGGGACGTTTGCGGGTGACTCTTGCGGTGTCGATGGATCTTCGAGAGCGTTGTCCGCGTCTTCGTTGAGCTTGCGATCTCGACAGAAGTCCTCGTCTCGAATATCATCTATACTCTCGGGCCCGTGGTCCGTTGGGTTCTTTGATGTGTTGACCGGTGCCACCGCGTCGACGATGGTTTCATGGCCGTCGTCTGACCCAGTCTCGGGCGATAGAGGCGCTTTGCCAGAGAGATACTCCTTGATCTTGTCCACCTCCTCAGGCTTCGTCAGCTTATCCTCCTTTCCGCCAACTAGGTAAACCGGCACGTCAACGCCGGCCCAAACGTCCTTGCCAGGGACGCCGCCTTTCGCAATTCCTTTCTCATAGTTCGGGAGTGATCCCCAGGCCATCCTGCGCCAGACGGGCGTCCGGCTTTGGTTGTTGAAGCGGTCTTGGAGTTTGCGGAGCTCGAGGTCAGCACCGGGGCCAACGAATCGACTGACGCTGGCACTTTGCGGGCCTCCCCACCGATCGTAGGCCCTCCATAAATCAAAGATCCAGCCGGGTACCCAAAGCAGCCTTTTGAACAGCGTCGTCTTGTCTTCCGTGGGCGGGCCGGCTACGGGACAGATGGCGACCAATCCAACGACGTACTTACGAAGGTCCGTCTTGTGCGGCGCATTGCGACTCGCCAGCTGTGCGCACATGGTAGTTCCCATGCTATGGCCAATTAGTACGACGCTGCGGTCGGGCTCCTTCTGACGATACTCATCAATGATGACCTCCAACAGCTCGCACAGTGCTTCCGGGGTATAGGCATCCCATGCCTGCTGGGTGAACTCGGAACGACCACAACCGGGCAAGTCGATGGCCAGACATGATGAAATGTGGACCAGGCTCGTCAACAGCGGGTGAAACTGAGCGACTGATCCTCCCAGACCGTGGATACAGACAAGCAGGGGAAGTGGTGGGTTGGGCAGCTGGTCAGCTTGGAGGTGTCGTTTGTAGAACGTCCTGATGCCAGAATAGGTATAGCGCGCCGTAGTGTATGAGCGACTCTCCGAGTTCTCCTTCAGCAAGGTCGGATCGGTAGCTCCAGGGTCATGAGGGTTGGCGAAGCTCAGCCAGCCGGCGCCCTGTTGTTGATCCGACATATTGACCACGGAAGGATGGTTCTGATATGCCGGGATTCGAGCGCGTACTAGGTAGCAGTACCGCCAGTATTGTATAGTGAATGTGATAAATTCAAGTTAAACAACGTGACGTGTGATTAATGATGGAAACCGGATAATGCGCGGGTATCTCTGAACGTAGTGCGCTATAAGAAAATGCCAGGTCGTTTTTTGTTGGTCGGGACGCGAGAGCGTTGATCTCTGAATACGCCGTGTTCGAACAGAATAACAAGAAAGAAAGAAAGAGCGACAAGATTAGCGGCGACGTGGTCGGTGACACTGGGCAGGAATGTCAGTTTGAGGCGGGAAAGCGGTCCTCTCGTTGACTTTGGGTCTGTCGCACCTGGTGCTGCTGGGCGCGAGGCCCAGAAGCACTGCAGGAGAAACAAAAGCGGATGCTTCTTTTGGTTTTGTTTCCGCCTTCTCAAATTGTGAGGGACACACGCGGCGGGGCAGGTATCGTCGTGAGAAGGTCGACTGAACAAGAGGCAGGCGAAAACGTGGTCGGAACAGGCCGTTCGTAAGGCAAGATCTGTCACTGGGGTTCGAATCGGAGTTGAGTGAGTAAGAGCGGGAAGAGATAAGGTGTGAGTGAGAGACACGCGCTGGTGAGTGAGCGATGAGCCGCCTCGATAGGTGGACAGTTAAGGTGGGACAGGCCGCAGCGCAGGTGCATTCGGCGGGCACGGCAAACCTTTGCCTTTTTGGCAATTTTATGTCACTGCTCATTTTCAGCCAACAGTTCGTCATCTCTCCTCCACCTGGGCACGGGAAAACACTGTCATTGGTCTCTTGCATCTAGATTTTTCTGGCCAATTGTATTGGCATGTTGATCCTGGATTGTCCAGGGTCCACGGTGCTGCAAGGCTGATTACGTATCAGATGAAGTTGAATTCTGGGTATTGTACATTGTGTTTAGGTAACTAATATTCTATGTATTACAAGTCATCCTCTGCTGGCGAAAGCTTTTAATGTTGGTTGCGGAGTGTTTCCGAATCAGCATTGAAGGGTTGTGATAGTACAGCTCTGGCAGTCACAGCCAAGAGGTGGGACTTTTGGCGGGGCCAAAAGAAAATGCAGATGGACTCCCTGGTGGAATCAATCGAGAGTTTGCCTTGGGCGAGAGGAGCCTGACACCTCTGTCATACCCCGTTGCGTCCCATGGATCGCCGTGAAACTGCAGTGCAATTGACTGTAATCCGGGTGGCATACGTGTGTCTCTCTCTAGATAGCCAGCCCAAATTCGACTCATCATGACTCGAATTGAAGGTTTCCCGGTCCGCCGCCTGCGCTTCATACAGCTCCCTTACCCTCCTTCCATCCGATGGGAATCATCGCGCCCGCAACAACATCGACGCCTCTCTCTGTAGCAAGAAGGTTGAACTGGGAGGCGGCGTTTCTTGTGTCCAGCACCTCGACGCGGATGCCAAGCGAGCTGAGGTGCTTCCTCGTCGACGGGCTAAGGGGTACGATCTTGGGACCAACACCGATGATGAGAAGATCTGTAAAGAGCAATCATTAGTAAACTGGCTACCCTGGAATTTAGAAGAAGAGAGTAGAGCGTGGGAGATGCGCACCAGGTCTCGGCCAGACCAGATCCAGGAGCCCGAATGCTTCCGCGGGCAGCTCGAACTGGCCCTTGGCATTGATCAAATTCTTGGATCCTTTCGCCTCCCAGGGCCTCCACTCGAATGCCTCGCCGCCGATGAGTAGTGCCGCATCGCCGTCCATGATCTTGACACCGCTGTTCAGGTGGAAGCCATCCCATACGCAGGCGTCGATTGAGGTTGAGGGGATGGGCGTGTTGGCTAGCACGTCCATCTCGCTGAAGTCGGTCGCCCCCTGGTAATCCTTGGGTTTCTCATTTTTTGATCTGAAGGGAGTCGTGTGGAATTGACTGCGCATGCATAATGGCTGGGCGGCAGCGGCAGAAGGTCGTAGTGATGTCGGCGAAGCTCGAGGGATGGATCGGGAGACGGTGCGCTGGGTGCGCGCGTATGCGCGGAGAGCGCGGGTTGTCGCGGAGGTGTTCATCGGTTCGCTTGCGTGCTTCGCTTGAAGGGAAGAAGTTGGGCAATTCGATTGCTACGGTCAATTTTTACTCATGCAAGGTTGTTTGGTCGTGGTGTGGTTGTGTTTGGAAGAGCTAGGAAGCTGGGACTTTTTTTCCGGTAGTGATGCCTCAGCATCTTGAACGTCATGATTACTAGGTTAAGGTAGGTGAGATGCTGGGCTAACGAACAACGTTGACGAGGGAAACACGAGACGGGCGCCACCATGATGGATAGCCACCAATTATTACTTGCGTTGGACATGGACGTGGATTTTGCGATTCAGACATAGTTGTCATCCGTAAAGGCGGGAAAAGTTCAATTTCGCTGTCATAATCCAGATCTCGGGAGTAAACCACTTTTTTTGGGCGCCACGACCAGACACCGCGGGGTTGTCGTCCGTCACAGAAAAACGAACGGGAATCCCACATGACCAATAAGAATTGTGTTGTTGTTGAAGGGCTCGATTTCCGTTTTCATTCAGGTATCGAGGCCTAACAGTGCCCTAACGACAGCGTCGGCAAGAAGAACCGTTTCAATCCGCCTCGTGGCCCGACGATCCTTTGTATCATGCTGTTTTTGCCCTAATGAACACCGAAGCAATGAACCAACCCCTTATTCCCCATTCCTGCCAGTGTTGTGTTTGACGTGACCAAGAAGAGATGCGTCGGGTTTATTTCTTCTTCTCGCTCTGGCTCTGCTCCTTGAGAACCTTCTTGACGATCTTCTGCTCCTCAATGAGGAAGGCACGAACGATACGGTCACGGACGCAGTTACCGCATCTCGAGCCACCGTACGCGCGCTGGACGGTCTTCTTGGGCTTGGAGATCTGGGAGTACTCGCGGGGGCGGAGGGCGGGGACCTATGGCGGTCATGTTAGCATGCCGTCTGCTTGACTCTGGTACAGTCGAAGTCGAAGTCGAAGTCGAAAGTTCATCGTTGCCATCTGAGAGCGCCGGTTCCTCTAGTCATGCATCCTCGTTCCCAACCAGCTTCAATGTGACCTCCGAGACAAGATGCGCCTCTCTCCAAGGACATCTATGACCATGACCGAATAGCATTCCCATAGTTCCGTACTCTCTCAGATGGCTTCTCGGATCGTTCGTTTCGGCTTCGTTGGTGGGTTCGAACTTACGCCAGGGAGCTTGACACCGCAGTCACCGCACTTGGGGGCAGTACCGCGCTTCTTGATGTGAAGGATTCTCAGCTCACCACCCGGGGTCTTGACGATGCGGGTGAGGTTGGAGGAGGTGTTGTAGCTGCACACGGAAATTTTCCCAGGTCAGCCTCTTTTTCCCAGTCTATCCACCAAGTACAATTTTCGCGATCGCGGGGAAAGAAGAATGTCGTTCGGTCGTTGACTTGATCGTATGCGATATCTCTAGGAAGATTCACTCACCCGTTACGGCGGCGGTACTGGACACGGTTTCCGGCCATTGTGACTGATTTGCTGCGGGCTGCGGGTTGGTTAGTTGAGAGTCGAGGATCGCGAGCGGATTTTCGTGCTTTCTCGAAATTTTGTGTGGGTGGAAAGATGAGATAGAGCCCGCTTAGGCGACCAATGAGGTGGGGGCGGTGGATGTCAAGCCACATGTGGCTAATGCCAGCTGGAAAGCCCCGGACTGAGCCCAGCTCACGTGCCAGACACGCTAACAATTTTTTGGATAAGAAATCGTTGACAGTCACTGTAGACGGCCAATTGGATGGAAGGGTGGAATGCGACCCGCTGCCCGCCAGCTGAAGGTGCCATACGGCAGAAACCCAGATATTTCATGAGCTCGACGAGTCCGATAGCCAGCCTAACTCTAGCCAGCCACGTCTCCGGATCTCTGCTTCGAAGGTAGGGGCTAGCATCCTGTCATCGAGTTTCGATTTGGACTGGTGTTCCAATTGCACCTTCTCCGTCATTTTCTTGAATATATCCTTTGGCTTTTTGAAACGGGGTTTCTAACCCCATGCCCCAAGGCATCTGCTCATGTATGCACCACTAAGCCATGATGTACCCAAAAACAAAACCCCCTTTTCCGCGTAACAGTCGCCATAACGCCATGAGTACTGAAATATCCGCCCAAAATCAAAGAGAGTTCTAGGAGTCTGTCGTTGTCCAGTCAGGATGGTCTGTCGTTCGCCATGCCTTTATACCATTAGGCTCCTCTTGCCGACGTTGTGTGGCATGTTCCATGATGTTCGTTATCTTTTCGCTCTTCCTTAGGTCCTGAAAGTCTTGCACTTCCTTCTTAGCCGCAGCGACCGACTCCATGTACGCTTGGAAGGTAATTTGGGCTGGATAGCAGGAAATCAGTGAACGAAACATGTTATGACAGGCTTCAGACGTACGGCTTGGCTGTTTGACGGACAAAGGTTCCATCATTCGTGGTATCGTCGTTCGCAAACCGCGAAGCTTTGCAAAAGTTCAGTGTCGTGATTTGAGGTATCAGTCTGCGCCATGAGGACAACAAACCTTGACATGTAAGAGCTTGAGCTCGTTCAGAGCCTGTTCCAGACGTTCCTCATCCCACGCCTCGGAGCCTGGAACACCAGGCTCACTCTTGATAGATGGGCCGTTGTTTGCCATGGTAGTGCAAGTTGGTCGGGGGACGCACAGGGGTCTATCAGACCATGGCGCAGGAGAAGGAAAGGAAGGAAGGGTCAAATCGGCCGGTAGACCAGCGAGCAGGCGGTGTGGTATGTTTGGGTCGGGTTTCGAAAATCGAGAGTCGAAGGTCGAGTTGACGGACCGAGGCGTTTCCACGACCAGACCGGCGAGGTTGGATGGATGAATGCCGAGCGAGGGCTTGAGGCGCAACGCGCAATCACAGCCGGAAGAAGGTCCAAGAAAGGCAAATGCTGGGTCCTTGTTTGCGAACACTTCAAATGACACAGTCCACAAGGCAAACGTGCCACTCACACTGTCATGCGCGCTGCTACTTGGGGTCCAAAAAGGAGTACGAGAGACAAGCCGGAGATACTGTGTGTATTGATTGGGGTGATGTCTTCAACGTCTGGTACGCGGCGCAGGTGCAGCACATCCATGAAAGCATGGGCCAGGGCCAGAATCGGGTCCCAGCAGACTTTCCCAGCAGCGCGTCAAGGTGGTTGGTGCGTTATTCCCTGGAGTACCTTTCTCCACTAGGTATTCCCGCCGGGTCAGTACATCTCGCCTACCTATCACGGTGTTGCTGGTGCAAGGCACCCAGGACACCTTGCCAGGCGTGCCAGGTTCCTTACCACTTCCCGACCTTCACTCTACCCGGCCGATGATTGGTCACGTGAACATGTATGTCGAGTCCGAGGCGGAAGGTGCAGCTTGCTTTCCGGCCAGGCAATCAACCTCTGGAAGAAAAGAGAAAAGAAGCGGAATACATAAAAGCGCATGTCCTTGACCTCCAGTCATTCTCATTCCCCCACATGATCCATCACCATCAATCAACCCAGCAAGAAAAAAGATTGTGCATTGCCATAACAGCATCCCTCACACTTCTACCAGATACTCAATACAAACGCTGGACAGGTACGTGCAACGCGAACGCCAAGCCCTGGACGCTAGGCTTGCAGCTGGATCCTGGATGCTGACCCTCGCTAAAAAGGTTAGCCGGAGAGCGGATTAACTGCCAACCTAGTTCAGACCGTGCGGATTGGAATTCTCTGACTCCAACCTCTCCGTGTTTCCTGCCGTTTCGTCACCAGATACTAGCAGTAGCCCTTCTGAGGAGAGCCCTTCACCCAAAAGACGTATTATCGCCAACAAAAAGCTGTCGCACTATCCTCATCTTCATTTCTCCGCCCCTCCATTTCGATTTCTCGACGCGTCCGTCGCTCCCCCGGATCCGTCAACCACCGATTCCATTCCCCCACTTACCCTTCACAACCGCCAAGCTGGACTCCTCCGTCGTCATGTCGAATGCGCCTCCGCCTGCGCTCTTACCACCGCCTGAGGGCATCTTCCGGACCTTCGAAGACCTTTTGACATCGGTCCAGCGCGTCGCAAAAGACCAGGGATATGGAGTTGTCAAGCTGCGCGCCTCCAATTACCGCGATGGCAAGCCTACCCGCTACGACTTGGTTTGCGACCGCGGCGGCGTCAAGTACAGCAGCACCGCTAAGAAGCGCAACCCATCGACGCGCAAGGTCGACTGCCCATGGCGCGCAAAGGCCGTTTGTGAGGTCCAGCTCGGAAACCAGTGGCGTTTTGCTGTTCAGGAAGGCAGTCACAACCACGAGCCTCGCATCGCGACCGCCCCTCCCGGCCAGGAAAACACCCCCCTCGCCCAATCGATCCGCTCCTTCACCAACAAGATTGATCGCCTCAACCACGACATGAACCAAGGCTTCGTTCGCATCGAGCAAGCTCTTGACACGATGAACAAGCGCCTAGAGAATCTTGAGAATCGTGCGGGAGGGTACGAGCCTCGTTTCCAGAATATGGAGTCGCGGTTGCAAGGCATGGAGGCCCGTGGAAGCATGGAGCTGCCCATGGACGATGTCGACGCTCGACTCCTATCATCTTCGGTTATGTAGGAGAATGACCCGGTTGACGAGTCGGGCTTCACGGCCTCGAATGGATCCGAGGACTATGTATGGGCGTCTAATGACTGACCACGCCTCGGCACCACAAAAAGCCCTGGTCACTGGCGTCCGCCCTCAACATGCGAAGGATCAGGAAAAGGGTAACGAGCCGATAACTGCAAGAGACTCGCTTCTCGCAGAGAGTGGTTATGGTTAAGGAGATGAGCCAGGGTAGAATTGGCAGGACAAATCATGTTATCAGGGCGTTGGACGGCGGCCAGGGCGTTTCGGACACATTCATCCTCATTTTGCCATGTTTCTAGTGCGAAGGGGCGGCATTGGTCGCAGGTTTGGAAGTCAGGCTCTCAGAGGGTGCCTTTCTTCCTGAAAACTGTGCGATATTACGGGAGGGCGGCTTTTTTGTTTTGCGGTTCAGGCACGTTTGGCGGACATCAAGGTCCAAAACTTATAGTGAGCAGTGCCCTTTTGGGTTCGTCATAGGATCATCGCATTTCAGCGTTACCTTGCACACACGGCTCCAGTTGGAGTGTTATTCGGGATATCAAGGTTCCAGTTCGTGATCATTGCTCTTTCCCATCCTCATTGTATCCGGGTCCGCCTTCCTCGTAGCAGAGCGACATACCGAAGGATGACGTAACAGGAGCAGGCATTGAACACCTTCTCGGACTCTGCCCTTTAGTCAATGCCTCGCAAAACTGACTTCATTTGCATTTTTTTGCCTCGACAATCATGTGTACTTTGTTCAGTCTTCCGCCAAATTTCCTCCCAGAATCTAGAACCCGCATCTCGACGACTTACACGAGCTGCCTCACCCCGGAATGGAGACGAGTCCGCGGACACAGTATCAACTCCCACATCGGAATCCAACTTCGCACGTCCGCAACGCACACACTGTGAGGCCAGATCCCACACACACCCATGACAAGCTCCGGTTGGTTTCCTCTCTCGGTGCAAGCAAACAATGTTCCTAATCAAGACATGCGCGCCGGCCGGCAGAAAACGCCACCAGATTCGTTTTGTAATCCATGGCCCTCAAGGCAGCGTTATGAAGTTACGGACCGCGGAGCCCTCTCCGCCCACTCCCAGTCTCCGCTCCCCGCGCTCTTCGGCTTGCTCCTAGAATCCTGACGATTCCTCACGAGAAGACCCCATGTCGTTGCTCGGGCCAAACTGCTCTGGCTGGATCAACGTACATATTACGAGTCTCCGACTTTGGGACATTCTTCTTCTGGACGCAAAATGCTTCGACGCATTACGTTGGCAAGCCGGGGATTGGCATGCCTGTTGGCTACCTTGGCTAACGTTCATCCGAAAATGCTGCAAGCAGATTTGTTCAGTGCAGCGGCCACCACCACCCACCTTTCTTCCGTTGAAATCGATCGGGGCGCTCACTGGCACATGCATCTCACATGCTAAGCAGCCTGATAGCTTTGGCGATACCGCCTTACTTGCCGTCAGATTGCATCCTGTCGCCAAGGCTCATTGTCATTTCCTCCAGGCTTAGCCCAACCGGTCAAGACGCACAGTCCATCTATGGAACCTCCCAACGAAAGGGCTTCTATCCCAGGGGACGGTCGGCAACGGCTTTGTTTGTCGACTAAAGATACTATACGGACACACATGGATTCCTACCCGATCCTTCCATGCCTGTTCCCTTGGCATAGTGCGTCCATAGCCTCGGGTTTAGGGGGAACGAGGTTGGGTCACACAAGAACAGCCACTGATCTCTAATACCTTGCCTATCCGTAACGCTTTCAACTGCAGCATCTATCGGAGCAACTTTCACGATCGCGGTCTAGGCATATGCCGCATTTCCTCCTCGTCGACAGGGGTCATCTCGGACTCTGCATACCTGTTCAAGTAGCTGACGGAGCTTCAAACAAGAGATTTTCCGGCAGGCAGGGTCTTCATTACGAAAGGGTGTTCGTGTTCCATTTTGACAACGGGTTTGCAAGCCACTCGCCATTGTCCCCGAAAGCCAGCCGGGTTGGATGAACCACATACAGGCATAGGTAGGCCGTACGTGGACAATGCACCTCGGTTGGCTGCGAATGATAGGATTCGACGACACGTCGATTCCCGCCCATTGTCGATAACAACGGCCGTAAGGTCAGCCAAAGAACGCGGAGTTGCTGAAATCGCCCACCATCGACAGAGTTAAATTGCATGGCGAGGCGACGTTCAATGCAGTGCTCCGTCCGCAACATGGAGAAAACTCCGGAAATCCTTGGAATTGAGACTCGGTAAAGAATGCCACCGTCCGAAGGTTTAGATTTTCTTGCTCAACCGCTTACCTGCAGTGCACTTCATCACATCATCACGCCTACCTGGCATACGGCCGAAGGAAAGAGGCTCTGCACCAAGGCTATATCATACAATTCTGGTCCTTGCTTTGTCAATGCAGCGAAGATCCGGAAACAATGGTAACCATGGATCGTGTACCCAGGGTGCCAGGGAACCCACAACTAACGGTCTTGTCTCTTCTCTCCCTCGCCCAACTCTCCACCAACAGCAGCCATCGGCGTGGCCCTAGCCACCTTCGCATCTCGCATTCGGCTAGCACGATTGACAAACAAACATACTACGTACACAACGACCCCCCCAGGTTGATGGCAGGGGTAAAGCCAAAAGAGCAAGAGCGGCTGGTCCACAAGCACGGTTCATCACATTTGCTGCGCCAATAATAAATCACATCACATATCCAAACCTTCATGGTTAGGCGAAAGCGGCCGCCTCCGCGCACTTTCTGTCGTCTCGCGGTGTTTTTGCGGCTAGCTGCAAAGTTTTCAAAGACTCCTTGATGTCACAGAACGAGCGAGCCAACCGCCAAAAATACGACCCCTCCAATCACCTCCGGTGGCTGGATGCACACAGCTCAGGTGAGGGAAGGGAAATCAAGAGACAGCATCACTCATGTAATCTACCTACCGCAAAAGATCGGAGGGCGGCGGTAGGAATCAGGCCACCCGTCTTTGTTCATTCGGCCTGACAGGGCTGAACTCGACCCCGGGTCATGCACCCGAAGAGTCTGATGCAGGGCAGTGGCCATTTTTGGAGTTGACAAGTCTTCCACGGAACGTGATCGCGCCCTCATGCATTCACCGTCGAGTTTGAGCCACGTCGGGGCCATGGCTCACGGCGTGTATGGATGTTCCCGTGCTTGGGCCCCGGGGACCTGCTGAGGGTCCTCTCAACTACGCACGTTGCGCCGAGCAAACAATCGACTTTGATGTCTTGGTTGATGTGATATGTATACATTGCTCTATAGCTGCGCGTTTGTTGCTATGATTAGATTGTGTTCTAGCGAATGGGGACCATCAGCCCCGATGCTCAAAAATCAATACTTCCGTTAACTCCAGTAATGCCACATGCCCCCTTCCCAACCCATCCACTTGGTGACTCTGGCCTACCATCTCTCAATGCTAAGAAACCTCAAGCTTAGGCAGCTCCGGCCTTCACCAAGTGGGCGTACTCCAAGCTCTGGCTTTGACTCCAGCGGCTGGGGTCCTCGGCCATGGCCGACATCTGCTCCTGCTGGAGGTTCATGGCGCCAAGCTGCTTCTGGTTCATCTTCTCCTTCAACTCCTCGGTGATGGCGTCGACGTCGACGTTGAGGTACCCGCGGAGGAACTTGCCAACGTCCGTGTTCTCAATGTTGCCACGGATCTTCTGGGCCTCGTCGCCGCCGGTGCTGTAGACGTTTACGTCGAGCGCCGTGTGACCGTGGGTGCTCCAGCCGATGTGGGCACGGAGGCTGATCATGGCGGCGAACGTCTGGACGGACACCTCAGGGTGGTCGACGAGGGCCTGGAGTTCCTCCGGGTGGGCGTTGTCGATGCCGAGGCCGGGGACGACGAGTTCCTTGTTGACCCATTGCTTGAGCTCCTCCTTGTTCTGAGTCTTGCCGCTGTTGGCGGCGATCTTTTGCAGGAATTTCTTGGAGAGCAGTTCGGCGGATGCTGAGGCCTTTGCGAGGGCTTTGGGGTACCAGTTGTAGACGGGGAGGTGTCCGGGCTCCTCTGTTAATCACGAGTTAGCTGGCTGCAGGCATGCTTTTTATGAGGGTCGGGACAAAAGTTGAAGACTTACGCAGAGCAGTAGCGAGGCCACCGGTTTCGTGATCGCTGGTGGCTACCAAGAGGGACTCGGTCTTGCTATCCTTGACAAAGTCGGAGACGAGCTTGAAAGCCTTGTCGTACTCGAGGACCTCCCGGACCTGGGCGGCGGGATCGTTGATGTGGCCGGCGTGGTCAATCCTGCTGCCCTCAATCATGAGGAAGAAGCCCTTTTCGCTGTTCTCCGTGGCCTTTTCGAGGGCGCGCAGGGCCGTGGCGGCCATCTCGCTCAGGCTGGGGTAGACGTCGCTCATGTTGCGGCGGTCAATCTCAAAGGGGATATCGTAGTGGGCAAAGAGGCCGAGCTGCGGGAACGAGACCTTTTCGCCGCCCTCGAGGGCGTCGAATCCCGCGCGGTCGCCGGCATAGGTCCAGCCGAACTCGTCCTGGGCCTTTTTCACGACGTCGGTGTTGTCGAGCCTGCAGCTGCCGTCGGTGCCGTTGGGGAGGAAGTGGCAGCGGCCTCCGCCGAGCATGATGTCGACGACGCGGCCGAGGGGACCGTCGCCGACCTCCTGGAGGGCGATGTCGTCGTTCATGGCGCGGGTGAGGACGTGGCTGGCGAAGCAGGCGGGTGTGGCGTCCGTGATGTCGGTGGTGACGACGAGGCCGGTCATGAAGCCCGCGCGCTTGGCGGCCTCGAGGACGGTGCCGCAGGGCTCGTAGTCGGGGAGGACGGAGATGGCGCCGTTGTAGCTCTTTTTCCCGCAGGAGAAGGCGGTGGCGCCGGCGGCGCTGTCGGTGACGAGGGAGTTTGAGGAGCGGGTGCGGGAGGAGCCCCAGAAGTGCCTGTCGAGGGTGAGGACGTCGTCTTCGGGGAGGCCCTCGACGTGCTGGCGGAAGCTGCGCGTCAGGGAGAGGGAGGCCGGGCCCATGCCGTCCGAGACCATGAAGATGAGGTTGCGCTTGCTCTCAGACGGCGTTGGGAACTTTGTCGAGCTCCGGTGCTGGGTCCATACTGCCAGGACGATGAGGGCTGCCGTGGCGAGGAGGGCCCAGGCGAAGAGGACGATTTCGCGGAGGCGCGAAGGGCCCGGGGGAGTGCGGGAGGAGTCGTCGCTGTCTTCGCCGTCGCGGCGGTCGTTGATGAGGGGTGTCCGTTCGGAGGACTGCGCGTTTGCGGTGTTAGCCATGGTTTTCAACACCTTTTCCCAGTTTGCGATTTAAGCTCAAAGTGTTTGCGACGCGGTTGTCTTGAGGAATAAGTTTGGGGAAAGTTTATGCTTACCATCTTGGAAATGTCTCTATGTCCTCTATTGCGTGGCGAACGCAAGCAGGGTAGGGATTTCGCGTCGCTTCAGTTCCTGTCGCAGGTGAAGCCGGGATGGTTTGGGAGCTGACTCTTGTCCAGGTTGATAAGGTCGGGTACCTGAGGTAGGTGACGGGGGGCTGGGTTCCTTTTTCAGATGACGGAACCGAGCAAGGCAGCCCTCCACTATCTCTTCCAAGTTCCGTGCCCTGCAGCACTGAGCACAGAAGGTACGATAAGCTTGACGACCTTGATGACCTTGGCGACTCTCGTCCACTTCGGGAAATGGGTCACGGTCTCCTTCTTCGCTGCAGGGCTTCACCGCATCCTACCAATCCCGACGCGCTCATTTGGAGCTTTGGAGGATCGTTTGGAGTATCTGTGAGAGATGTGAGTGGTTGAGTGGCTCCTCCCCCCAGGGGACCCCACCATTCCGGCCATGTGCTGTGACATCACGCCCGCCTTGTCATCCCGTGGTCACAGGTGCCATCTCACCCACAGAACCTTACCACCTTACGTTGGACAGACACATTGGATAACTTTTGCGAGCTTGGGGATTGGTCCCGCGTTGCGGTCTGGGTGAGCCTCACACAAACTTGATCTCCAAGGGTCTCGCCCGCGCTGTCAGCTGGACTGCTTGTCGTTGGCTTAGACGCGATCAGGTGGGCGAGCATCTGCGGGGAAAGGTTGGGGGATACACACATTTTCATGCTCGGGATCCCCAACATGGTTAGGAGCAACTAGCTGCCGTTGGTCATTATCGATAGCTCATTGGGTCGTAAATATCGGGGGATGGAAAAAGGAGCTTTTGTCTGATTCACATGGCATTTTCGTGGTTTGAAGTTTGGGGCCGATGAAACCTTGTTGCGGATGTCTCTGATCATCTCTCTCACCCTGTCTCTGGGGGAGTGTCTACCATCTAGATTGATGAGGGGTTAGTCTACTTTTACACAAGGTACCATATGCCTTCTTCAACTGACTATCCAAATTCATTTCTGGTTCCCATTAAAACAGCACGTATGTGATGGGAGAGATCAAGCTGGAAGCATGTTCCTCCCACCCGTGCCGATCGTGTGGCACCTCTGAGCTAAGAGTGAGAAGTAAGTATCCCGGATATCAACAGATCAACCTCTATGACCGTAGATGTCTTCGGAGTCAGATTGTTTGGCGGCTTTCTGCTGGCATTATCTCTTGCGGTGTGTCACAAACTTTGTATGAAGAATAGAGTCACAAACCTCGGTGACTATGCGTTGTGTTTGGTTCAACCTATTTCAGAGCCTCGAAGCTCAGCAAATCCTATCAGGCCTTGATCTATCAAGCGAACTCCTTACATGCTCACTTCCTCTAGAATTTCTTGCAATCCGCATCTCTACCTGTGTTAGACAGTCCAGGCCCCATATGAGCATTCTAGGGTCGGACTAGTTCACCACCACCATGTGTAATTATGTTCTCCTTGTTCCCATATGTCAGCACAATCCTATTCTTCTCTTTGAAACCTCTTGTCATCTAGTACTCAAAGAGTTACAGCGTATAAACAAGCCTGCCGCTTGGGAGGGAAGTGCCCTCTTTGAGATTCCTTTCAGAGTGCCCGAACCGTGCCACCCCGGGCCAGATAATATTCAGCCAATACACACGAGTGATTCGTGTCACATGAGCTGCCAGAATACAATAATCAAGAGCACTGAGCAGTGGATAACTTGATTTCCGCTGTGATGTGTTGTTTGAATGGCCTCGACCAGACAGCTGGCTATGGGGCCACGGGAAGGTAGGCCGCCATATCTCGTGGGTAATGTACACGATATATGTACAGAACCTTGATCGTATGATTGAGAAGTAGAGAAAATTATATTCAATTCACTGCAAGCTTATGAGTTCTGTCAGTTCCCATAAAGTATATTTATTCACATCTATTTCAGCATTCATTTCTATGTCATGGGATGGACTTTCGAACGCCGTCACCTATTCACTTTGCATGAGGTAGCAGGAGTTAGAAATATAAAAGAACGTTTACAATGACGGTGCAGAAGAAAGAACCCTCGACCATTACACAGAACATTCCATCATCTTTCAAAGATACTACGGCTTCACACGCCCTCACAGGACCTCACACAACCATGAACGCAAGTTCCAGCGCTCTAGCGATGACACCGACTACTGCTAAGCCAGCCCTCCACATTGTTATTTGGGACACTATCTTTCAGCAGCTTGTTCTGTGAGGGGACTATCGTACTCTGGCAAATTGCGCTCTTCTCAATAAGGAGCTGTCTGAGCTAGCTTCTCGACAGCTCTATGGGTAAGCAGAGCCTCAGAATGGAAATAGAGTTACATCGTCAGCTCGACGATATCCATTCTCTCCTTTCGTCTTTAGAGACTTTTTTTTTATTAACCAGACAATAGTATGCAGTTTGATCCAGCTGAATCCTGGGGTGGGGAGGCTACGGAGGGTCTTTGGGAGACTCTGTCTGCCGACATGATGGTATGCACAGAGCACCCAGGTGAAATGGTCTTTCCTGCGACATACCACCCATGCCTGCTCTACATACGTCACCTGGACCTTCTCAACTTCCTCTCGAACTTTGGGTGCGTAGCCTTTCCTGGCGAGCAGTTCATTGCGGAAAACCGTCACGCTGCTGTGGCTGCCCAGCAAAACCTCGGTCCCATAACTGATCGAAGCATCGCTGCGGCGAACCACATCTGTACCGAAGCCCCGAGCATTGTATGCTTTGGCCACCGTCTTCTTCGCAAGATATGTTCCATGTCTGAGACACGAGGCTTGCATGTCATGATCAGGAGCTTGACGGCAGACTGGTGGATTAACGTCCGGCCCGTCATCCATCTCTTTCGGAAGTTGGAAAGTCTCTCCCTCGTCTTTCTCGATGACTTGGATAAGCCCGCAGCCGCAATGATCACGAGCCATCTGCCGATATTAACAAAGCTTTCAGTGGTACAGGCTGACGACTTGAATGCTTCTTCCTTTGCAGACTTCGTCTCAAATCTACTGCCGAATCAGCTGCGTTCGTTGGAATGCTCTCTCAATAACATACAGTTGCCGCTTTTGGAAGCAATCGCGAAGCAGACTCATCTCCAGGAACTAACCTTGAACTTCCTAGTTCGCCCTCCTTTCGATACATGTCTACTCTTCGGGCTAACAAGTTTGACCTCACTGACTCTCAGTTTTAACTTCCAGCCATCACCTCAAAATCGTTCGAGATTCAGACGCTGGGCAGAAGAGAACCGCAGCAAGGTTGCAGCCTGGCTAAAATCTTGCCAGGCGCTTCGTAGTATCCATCTCTTCCGCTTTCCGGACCTCGTTCCTGCAGTCGCTGATGCTCTTCCCTACCTACATCTTCACAGGTTACATGTTTTCTCGACAGGATGCTACAAAGACTTCTACAAAAAACTCGGGACGCAGCAGCTCGAGTATCTCTTCCTAGCCGAGTGCTCTGACGAAGGCCTTGTCGACCCTAATCCGGAACAGAAGGAACGCGGCGAGCTTGTCATCAAAGCAGTGATGGCCATGCCATGTCTTCGGGACTTACGGCTGCACACATATTCTTCTCTAGACTGCAGTGAGCTCGAGAAAATTGCAAAACATGTGCCGAGGCTCGAAACTCTCTCCTTTGTCAGCCGGAAAGAGGAAAATTCGACCTGGACGCTGCGCGCTCTTGAGAGCTTCAGATACCTCACCAGCCTGACAGTACTTGGCCACACTAAGTTCTCGGCGCGCGAGATACTCTACTGGGTCGATTACTTAAAATGCCATCAGCGCCTTGGCGGCTTCAGTCTGTTCCTGCCCGCACAAGACCGACAATCTTGGTACCGGGGAGTTAGGGCCGCAGATAACACAATCCACGACCGTAACGACCCGGCGACGGCAAGCCTGAGGGAGATGTTGAATTATCTGATTGTATTATCAAGGGAAGACATCTGGCGAGGCAACGACTACGAGGCCGACGAGGAGCGCATGTTCGTGCATCTCTGGGCCGAGATCACGGGCCCAGCCGGGGGGCTGCAGCTTCTGAGGGGTTCGGGGCCGTATGAGCCGTGGACGGGTTTGATGGAGAACAAGGGCGTGCCCCTTGCTTGGAGCGTCTTGCATTGACCCACTGTAAGGGAAGTAATTCTGGTAGCTGGGGTAAGTCAGTAGTTAAATAAAACATGAGTTCATAATGAATGACGAGATGAAGCATGTGGTGAGGTTAAATCAGGCGTAAGAGCAGCTGTTATTGGGTGCACTGCACCCGCTTTGTTTGCTGCACCTTATTTCTGCCCTGAGGCGCCCCGCAGTACCTACTTTAGGTACCCAGACGGCCACTTTACGCGCCCCGACGCGCTTCGCCTATGACGACCGCCCCTCTCTCTTCGAAGCAACCTTAACGCAGTGAACCAAGATTGAACTCGACATCCATGGCGATAGCTTCAATGACTTCATGATATCGACCTCGGAATCTGCGGTGCAAAGATGGCCGTACTCAACTTCACGCTAAGCGAGGAAGCCGTCGCCGCCTTCCGCGACGTCCTCGCCTGCTTGAACAAATTCAGCGATGAGGTCTCCCTAGAAGCCAAGAAGGACAAGGTCAGTCACCTACCGTCTAAGCACCGCAATTTACAGACCTGAATATTGACCGGTTTACATGCAGTTGGTCCTCACCGCACTCAATGCATCCAAGTCGGCCTACTCCTGCTTCACATTCACCACCAATCGCTTCTGCTCCCGCTACCAGTTTGAGGGGAGTGCGCAGTACCGGGACAAGTTTTACTGCACTCTGTATATCAGGGTATGATGCCCCTTGATGCTTTGACATGCATGCCGCCAGAGTCTCATTGTTCTATAGTCACTCGCCTCCATCTTCAGAAGCCGCGCAGGTGGCGATCCGCAACGTGATCGCGAGAAAGAGAGCACGATCGATCGTTGTGATGTCGCTATTGAGGACGGCCCGGGTGTCAAGAGTCGCTTCATTGTGAAACTAGTATTCCGGAATGGTTCGTTTCTCAATCTTGGATTGGCACGACTCGGATTCAACCACTGATCAATGACCCAGGTGTCACATCTACACATCGCCTGCCGTTCGAGGTTGCGGTGCCAGTGCACGCCAAATTCGATCGCGATGAAGCGATCCATCATTGGACCATCCCGTCGCGGACTTTGAGACAATTGATGGAACATTTTGGTCCCGGTGTCGAGCTTCTGGACATCAACTCAGACGGCGAACATGTCAACTTCACATGCTTCACGGAGAAGACGACAAACGGAGACGGTTGGCTTTGAACCTTCTTGGGTACCTATGAATGCTAATATCAGACACAGAGGTCCTCAAGAAACCACTACACACATCAATCGCCATCGAAGTCGACGAGTTCGAAGACATAGAAGTCGAGGATAAGCTCCGCATCGTTATCAGCGTCAAGGACTTCCGAGCCATCATCCAGCATGCCGGCATCACCGGCAACCACATCTCCGCTCGGTACTCCGACCCGGCGCGCCCGATACTGTTCACCTACCCCGGCGACGGCATAAGTTGCGAGTTCCTGCTGATGACAGTCGGCGAGAAGGGCAACCCGGCCCAGAAGACGAAGAAGGGCAAGGCGAAGGGAGCTCAAGCCGCGCCGCAACAGCAGCTCGAAGCCGCGTCTAGAAGACAAAGTACCGCGCCGTCTGAGACTCCGCAGCCCCAGGAGAAGCCACCCGCGCAGAGCATGCCGCCTCCACCGCTGTCGGCGTCTGCATCACGGAGTGGAATTGCCGCGCGAACTTCCCTCTTCGATTTGCGGCCGTCACAGCGACCGCCTCCCGCAACAATGGCTTCCCAAAGCCTTTTTGTGGATGACCAGGACGAACAGGCGTGGGAGCCTGTCAGGTACGAAGAGGACGATGATCCAGACTTGGATGCAAGACTTGGGTGGGATCATAGTAATCAGCCTGTAAGTCTCCCTGGCCCAATCACTCTACCTAGGGTCATGATCTTAACGCGCATTTCTCTGCAGACCGCGTCTTCCATGCATCTTGACCGCAACGTCGCTGAGGAGAATGCCGAATTCGACCCGACTCCAGCCAGTAGCGCAGGATTGGAGCCCACGCAGCGCCTTGACGATGTTAGGCGCCTGGGCCTGTTCTATCAAGGCCCGTGATTTGTTAAAATGGGTGGGGGGGGATGATGTTGCTGCCTGTCCGAGTTCAAATAGCCAGCCGGCTGAACCATGTTTGCACCATTTGCTCAACCGGTGATGATAGTCACCCAGCTAGTCGCGCAGCCCGCGCCGATACCCGCAATTTTAGAACCGGGGGGAATAAATCTTGACGATGCAATGACATTCCACCGCCCCTTGACGTCGTTGTTCTCAACTTGCGGGCCGCAGTTGCCGTGCTCTCCCCATCCCCAAGCGAGCACATCGCCCGTCTCCGTGAATGCAATGACGTGTTCGCTGCCAATGGCAATTTTTGATAATTTGGGTATGCTCGGTGGCGGGAGCTGTCCATGGTCGTCTCTTCCCCACGCCAAGAGCTCGCCGTCCTTCTTCAAGACGTAGATATTACCCCAGCTAGCGGCCACATCTGCCCACTCTGGTGCGGACCTGGGCGCAGAGGACTTGATATTCCACTTATCAGACCCCAGGACGAGCAGTTTGCCCGAGTCCGGTGCTCCAAACAGGCAGGTAAAGTCCTTCCCGCAGACAGCCCTCTCAACTTTAAAGTCGACACCCTCAATCTTCCTCGGCGAGTAGACGACCGCCTCTGGGATTCCACCTTGCCCTTTGCGCACATTGCCCCAGGCGTAGGCGTCGCCGTTACTCAGGACCGCCACGGCGTGACCCATACACGCCGCCAGGTCCACGATCTCAGTCCCGGCCGGCGGGAATTCCTTGAAGAGGGTGGCGGACGGCGAGCGGACGAGGAGTTCTCCGAGGCCCAGCTCGCCCTTCTGTCCGGCGCCGAAGCTGGAGATCTTGGTCTTCTTTCCATCCGCGTCCTTCTGGACGACAAAGGAAGCTTCCCAGGTTGCTGCGATTAGGACTGGTGTTGTCGTTGTTGCTGTGGTGTTGACTGCGGCGGCGTTTGCTTCATCCTTGCTGAGCTGGTCCTTTTGGAACACGGGCTCGTCAGTCTCTGCTGCTGATGTGAGGCCGCATGCGCCGCTGGTGGCGTCGCCGCTCCACCAGATTTGTCCTGATTCCGTGAGGAGAAGCGTGTGGTTTCCGCCTGCTGCGATTTTGACGACTGGCGATTCGGTGTCCTCTGGGAAGAAGATGGCTTGTTTGGGGACGGATACGTCTTCTTTGTGGCCGATGCCGAGTTGGCCCGATCCGTTGGAACCAACGGCGAAGAGCACAGACATGTCGAGAGCTTATGCCTTGATCTGTCGATTCTGATTATCTCTTTCATATGCAGCGGGATGAGCTCTCTCTCGACGACCTGAGCTTCGGAGCTTTGGTGGACCCCCGCGAAATATCATAGTAAGCAAATTCGTCCCCCACCAGTTTCTCGTATGCACCTAAGCAATACCGTGGAGGGGCCTTTCGGCCAATCTTTCCCGCGCCTCCGCCAATGGATCCGCCCAGGCGGGCGCCGCGAAGATCAAAAAGCAGAACTTGAACCGACAACTTTTATTCTTCTCACCATTCGCATCACAACACTCTCGCACAACAGAACTTGCAGACAGCGTCGCGGACTCGATTCTCTTGACTGTTGCAGAGTTTTCCGCCGCTTGTGAGGATGTGAGAGGTCTTTTTACTTCGAGTAGAAACCTTTTGCAGCCACTCGAACAGAAGCTCAGATTCACCGGGGGAAAGAGAAAATTTTCTAACCTGACAGAGAAAGCGCATACTACGCGACAGCACGATGGCATCTTCTTCTGCTCTCCCTTCACCGCAGGCCACCGCAGCCGTCCCCGCCGGAATGGAAAATTTCGTGGTCGGCCTGATTGGTATGGGAGACATGGGGAAGATGTACGCGCAGAGGCTCTCTGCCGCTGGATGGAAGTGAGTAATTGTTCATTCCCCAGCTGGGCCTCTGCGCTATTCGGTTCTTCTGGTAAGCTTTTCTCTTTCTGTTCTCATCCTCCTTCACCATCACATTCCCCCATTGGTCATGATGACAAGAGCGCATTTGGCTAGAGTATCGCCCAAGGCATTCTCGGGTAACCATTCTGGCCCCGGGTACCGCTGAGGGCCTTCCATGATGATACACCTAGCTACCTTAAACTTTACCTGTCTGAACCATCACGATCATTCTGTTCTTTTCTACGACTCGTTCTTGGAGAACAGCGAAGCTAACAAAGCTTTTCAGGAACCTGCAATAGCTTCATGCCGTATCATTGCTATACCAACTGTACAGTCTGCGCTGTGCTAGAAAGAAGAGGAGGAACAGCGAGAATAGGAAAAATATGGCTGACGTCCCGGGTGTCGGCAGGATCATGGCTTGTGACCAGGAAGAAAAGTACGAGAGCCTGAAAGAAGAGTTCTCTGGAAATGTATGGGAATGCCACCAGACCTGCCCTGCCGCGCGTTTTCTAGCGTGGAAACCCCTCGTTGTTCAACCCCGGCTGAGCAGTTTCTTGATAGAACAATGTACAAATCTGCCGAAATGGCCATTACGTCTCTCGCGCCAGCGACTACATCATTTACAGCGTTGAAGCTGCCGCCATTGACCGCGTGATCGCCCAGTATGGACCATGTATGACTTTTTCCCTCCAATGCCTCCCGCCATCTCTGCCCACAGCCCCTGAGCCTACTCTCCCACGAGAGGATCATCATCGTCTAACCATCATGCCCGTCTCTAGCAACCAAGCTCGGCGCCATCGTAGGCGGCCAAACCTCCTGCAAAGCCCCCGAGATCACAGCCTTTGAGCGTCACCTCCCCACCGACGTCGAGATCGTCTCCTGCCACTCCCTCCACGGCCCCAACGTCGACCCGCGCAACCAACCCCTCGTCATCATCGGCCACCGCGCCGCCCCCTCCGCCGTCGCAAAAGTCGAGACCGTCCTCTCCGTCCTCGGCTCCAAGCACGTCCACCTCACGGCCCTCGAGCACGACCGCATCACCGCCGACACCCAGGCCGTCACTCACGCCGCCTTCCTCTCCATGGGCAAAGCCTGGCACGCAAACACCCAGTTCCCCTGGGAGATGTCGCGCTACGTCGGCGGCGTGGAGAATGTAAAGATCAACATCATGCTGCGCATCTACTCCCAGAAATGGCACGTCTACGCCGGCCTCGCGATCCTCAACCCCGAGGCCCGCAAGCAGATTTCCCAGTTCGCCCGCTCCGTCACGGACCTGTACAAGCTCATGCTCGAAGGCAACACCGAGGCTCTCCGCGCCCGCGTCCTCGCCGCAAAGGAAAAAGTATTCGGCCACGACGGCAGCCCCAAGTGGGCGGACCGCCCCCTGCTGAACCCGGACCTGCTGGAGCGCTTCTCCCTCGGCAAAAAGGAAGACCAGACGGAGCCGCAGCGCGCAAACAACCACCTCAGCCTGCTGGCCATGGTAGACTGCTGGGCGCAGCTGGGCATCGTACCCTACGACCACATGATTTGCTCGACGCCGCTGTTCCGGCTGTGGCTCGGCGTCGCGGAACACCTCTTCCGCAGCCGGGAGCTGCTCGACGACGCGCTGCGGACGGCGGTGGAGGACCACACGTACCGCTCCGACGACCTCGAGTTCACGTTCGCGGCGAGGGGGTGGGCCGAGTGCGTTTCGCTGGGTCACTTTGAGACGTGGAAGAACCGGTTCGAGACGACGCAGCAGTTCTTCCAGCCGCGGTTCAAGGATGCTGTGGCTGTGGGCAATGCCATGATGAAGGCTGTGCTGGAGAGCACCAAGGATTGAAGTGTGGTTTGGGATTGGAGATAGAATTTCATGAATGCAGTTATGATGGATGATTTTTTAATTTGATTGGCAGAGCCTTGAGAAGCTTGGCTCGTCCTACACTTGTCTACTGTCCACCTCTCTATAGGGGTATATGCCGTACCGGAGAACAATGCAGACAATTCCTGTTCGCAACCGGGGGCGGGGATCCTTTTGTGCAATCCAACGCCTTCATGAACCAACGCCACTGGCCACAGCGCCGCTACTCCTTTCGCCATGCCTCTCTTAAACCTGGGTGACCAAGTCAGGCTCATGCATCTCGACGCTCTGTTCCAAGACGGCCACACCGTTCGCGACGGTGAGGGGCTGGGCGAGGAAACTCCCCTGCTCCTCCTCTTGTTCCTCCATCTCCGTGGCGGCGTCGCCGATATGGCCACTGACGCCGGCCGCAAGGCTCATGGTTGAAGCCGTGGTATCCTGCCACGAAGAGTCGTCTTCATTGGGCTCGAGGGGCTTCTCGACTTGGGTGGCGAGGTTCGGGGTCCCCGGGGATCGAGGCAGGTGGCCGTGGGGGAGGAGAAGGGAGTAAGGGGTCGTTGGTCTCGGTTCGAGTGTCGACGCGCCGGTTATGTTAAGCTGTGAGGCCAAGTGGCTCGCTAGCTGAGCATCGCTGATGTATCTGCTTGTATCTACTGATGATGCGGAGGATCCGGTTGAGGACTGGAAGGAATGTCAGGTATTGTCCATAAATCAAACAGATATAATTCTCTCCGGAAGCAAGGAAAATCTACTTGCCCCTGAAGATGATCGAAGACCGATGTTGGCAAGCAGTTGAGAGTTGCACACAGGTCTCTCGCGAAAGAGGTGGAAGCCGTATCCGGTAGCAGCGGTAGCGGGAATGTTGCCCTTAGCGATACCATCCAGACTAATATACGCTCGGTCTGCTCCGCCGGGGCGACAATAGGAGCAGATCTTGTATTGGCACTCGTCTTTCGACTTGGGAACCCAAGGAGCGGATATGTTGGTCTCTAGAATGTCGTCCAAGTCGTAGGTGCTGGACGAATGCGTGCCATCGTGGCCTTGGGTAGGTGCCGGCTTCATTCGAAATGATTCTCGACGAAGAACGTCTCCGAGCTAGACGGAAGAGGATTCATCAGCATATGTAATAGGGTCTTTGGCGTTCAATCATCTTACGTGTTTCCGTTGGTTGAAGATGGTCATGAGCTGGTCGGTCGTGTAGGTGGTCGTAATATCCCTCGGGGGCATCTCCTCGAGAAAGCTGGCGGCGTTCCCTGATCGTTTCTCTGGACCGCGGTTCCTTGGCTGAACAGCAGTGACCAACTGCTTACCGATATCGTCAAAGGTGACCTGCAATGTCAGTGCCATATCCGTATCGTGATGCTGCGTGATGCTAACCTCTTCGCCATTTGAGATGGAGTTGCGCAATATTTCCTCCTGGTCTTGGCTACACCGGTACAACCATCCGAAGTGACCGTAGTTACCACAAGAATCGCATCTGAGGATGTAGCTGTACACTCGAACCATTGTGACGTGTGTACAAGCGCCGTAGGGACGCGCCAGGCGGTGTGTGGGTTGGGGTGCCATATTGATATCGGGCAGCCCAAGTGGCGGCACACAATTCTCGAGGAGATAGCCGCCCGATGATGAGGATGGGTGTTTAGAAGATACTCCTAGGTGCGGCGGTCATGGAGTAAGGTGTCGTAGGAGGTGAACCTGGCTCTGCACTGTGTATGTTGAGGACCTGGGAGAGTTCATGTGGGTGATTGCACTTGGGAGGAAGGTGCGGCTGCTGGTCACGGTGGGAAGGAGCGCCTGATTCACTCAGCTTTCATCTCAACATTCACCGTGAGATGCATGAGATGAAGGAACAGCCAATGAGATTGCCGCCATAATGAGTTTTCACATAGGAACTGGAAGGCGCGATTTGTACCTCAAGCTCCCACTCCTTCATCATCTACAGTTAGCCGTGTCTGCAGCCTCATGTTTCCGTGGCCTTGCTTTTTATGAAGCCTGCGTCCATCTTGGTATGCAACACGGTCGTGCTGTCTTGCCTCACTACATACTATTTTCGTTGTATTGTAGTCGTTCGATGAGCTTTGTCAAAGCTGTTGTTTTATAGGATGGATCACTTTTAGTTGTTCCGTGTCTTGACGAACAAAGGCGTCAAAATGAATAACGGTCACTAGGCGCCACAACTTGCCGTTTTGAATAAGTTTATCTTGTTTGATGCATCTCACAACTTATTAGGGGGGAGATGTCTAGATCATGGTCGAAAATTGAATTGATTTGATACTTGGTCTTAGAATCGTGAGTTGAATGCTAGCTTTCTGGCCCATGGTTGAGGATGAAGGTGCAAAACACGCTTTGAATCAACCAGCCCACGTTTATTAGACCCTGTACGATTCAAATCTTATCTCGTATTCTCACTGCATCTGTCAGATATTGGATATGCAGGTCAAATTTGGTGCGAACTCATGAAGACACTGATTCCATATCGTTCATGAGTATACGTGAGCAAGAGCCGCTTCTGATTTATCATGATAGTGAAATGAGGCAGCATAGGACTGCCTCTACATCTACATATTCAAGGCACGTCCCTACTAGAAGTATGCAGGGCCTTGGAGGTAAAGCGTGTTTGGAACAACACAACTTGACATGGCTCATCTGATAATGCCCGGCACAGACCGAGGATGTTTGACGAAACCTTTTCACCGGATCCTACAAACACCCTCTGTCCAGATTTTGAGCTGCAAAGTGTGGCATTGGTATGCATGCAGAAAGAATGTCGTTCGGATGACCTTCGGACGATCCGGGAGGGCAGGGCGTGAAGCTTCGTCATTAAACTAGTTGAAGTGAGGGGACGGCTGGACGGGGTCAACCCGGCACTGCGGTAAGATGGTCGGCAGCTGCACACAGAGAAACAGAGTTGAAATTCTCTCCCACTCGGTTAGGATGAAAAGTAATAGTGTAAAGTGCGTGAGTGCATGAGAGAGGATGAGCTGGCGTGCGACGTGCGTCTGTCTGTTCGGTGCCGCCCGTCATTCCATGGGCTGTCTGCCGTCCCCTACTCTCAGGCTCCAAAATGGACCAAGGTGAAAAAAAAACAGACCTCGGGCCATTGGTAGAGGGCAGCCAATGAGACGTCCTTCTTGAACACACCCCTGCAGCTCCGTCCAGCTCTAGCCCGTCATGCAACATCCCGGTTGTGTTGCGCGGAGGACGACGAATGAGCATTTCGCAGCAGCGAAGCTCTGGTCTTTCTGGTCCAGCGTCGGAACCACACCCCATCAATTCAGTCAATTCCCTCCCCCCCCAACCCGAGGCCTGTCTTGTCGTGCTTGTTCTGGCCTGCCACACCCTTTTACGGCCCATAAGTGCCTCTAGTGGAAGTCTGCCGTGTCTAGGTCGTATCCGTACGCCCCCCAGGGCCCCCGATTGTGTCAACCACCTCGACCATTCGACCACCACCACACATCAACAACCCACTCCGTCGCTCCCTCTCTCTATCGCTGCCGCCCAACCTCCCCTCCTAACGACGGCTCAGACGCTCTCTTCACGTCCTGCGATCTCGAAGTAAAGTTGGTATGTTGCCCTGATTCCTTCACCTCCTACGGACTTGTTCGTGTCATTGTGAATTGAGGGTCTCCAGTGAGCCAAGCTCCAGTCGCGCGCAATCAACCAATCGCACCTGGGTCGGTCGGCAGAGCGACGCGGTACACAAACCATTGGCCCCCGGCGCTGCCACTCCCACTCTGGAGCCGCAATTCAATTGACGAACACCCCCCGGAAAACCCATCGCAAACACCCTCAAAGACGGGCCTCCCAAGCTGATACTCCTCCCTTCACCGCAGTTTCCCCCGCGATTTTCTCGATTACGTTAGCGATACCCCGGAAGCTTTAGCCCACCATGTCGGTCAAGTTCGAGAAGGACACGATAAAGAAGGGTGTCGAGGAGGTCAAGAAGGGCCTCATCGGGGAACCTCTGCCTGGCACCAGCGGGAAGCACCCCATCTCCGAGGCCATCGGCACCGCCATCACCGGCGGCAAGAAAAATGCGGGATCCAAGGGCTATCTTGCGGTTCGTCCTCCAATACCTCCACTCTGGTCCGTCATGTGTGGGCGATACGATAGAATCGCTCGCTGCATCATGGTCGGGAATATGGAATATGCCAGGCCGAAATGCTGACGCTGTGCAACCCAGGCCTACATCAAGCAGCTCGAGCAGAACCCTCTGCGCACCAAGATGCTCACTGCTGGTACCCTCGCCGGTGCTCAGGAGCTGATCGCATCCTTCCTCGCCAAGGACCGCAACAAGCATGGCAACTACTTCACCTCGCGTGTACCCAAGATGGCCGCCTACGGCGCCCTCGTCAGCGCGCCTCTCGGCCACTTCCTCATCTGGGCCTTGCAGAAGACCTTTGCTGGCCGCACCAGCTTGCGCGCCAAGATCCTGCAGATTATCGTCAGCAACTTGATTGTGAGTGGCATGACCTAGCGAGAGCCGTCCATGATGAGCATGCTGACCCAAATTCCGTAGATTGCGCCCATCCAAAACTCCATCTACCTCACCGCGATGGCCCTCATTGCCGGTGCCAAGACGTACCACCAGGTCCGCGCGACCGTCAAGGTTGGGTTCTGGAAGGTCATGAAGGTCAGCTGGGTCACCTCCCCGCTGTGCTTGGCCTTCGCTCAGAAGTTCCTCCCTGATCAACTCTGGGTGCCCTTCTTCAACCTGGTGTCCTTCATCATCGGCACCTACATCAACACCATCACCAAGAAGAAGCGTCTCGCTGCCCTGCGCAAGAAGCACTTCGGTGACGGCCGTTCTCCCTCCATGGGAGGCCGCCCTGAGGACTACCCGGGCCCCAAGGACTACCCTGGCCCTAAGGACTACCCGGGCCCGATGGGAGGTCCCAACCCCGCTTACTAAACGACTCTTCTATGGTGAGATGGTTGAGAGATGACAGCAAAATAACGCCCAGTTGATGAGAAATCTGGTAACATCTAATACGAAAACGATATCAGTCCTTTGGGGCGGATTTCTGGAGTTGAGGGGCGTGGAGGCAGTGTGAAGATACGCGAGCTGGGAGCAAGCGGCTTGGATGGACCGCAAACAACCGCCCAATATCCCTGTACAATTTGCTTGCTTCAAATGTTGCTATCATGTTATATGTCCCATGTGTCGGTAGATAGGTTCAAACGCGCTTAGATTTTAGGTTCACTATGATTGGTATTTTTGTCCGAGGCCCATCTCCCTAAGGCTATCTGCTGCGTGATGTGAGATGAATTTGCATCACGCGTTCTGGTGATATATCGCCTTGTTCTACAGCGGCCCACTCAGCAGATTTGGCCGTGGCTGGCCTGCGTATTTCAGACGTATTCTTGCTCGGGATCAACCTGAGGTACCCTTTCATCCGATGCCTTGACGCCATGAGAGAAGCCTATATAGGGCCCGTCAATTCCATTCCTGTCACCAGCCAGGAGGCGCCCGTCTAGGTCGACGGGTCAGGTCAAACTGGCTGGGTGGTGGAGTGGTTCATGGTCAACAAACAAATACGCCCACAGCCTACTCGACGACAGGCTACGAGTTCGAGTTCGATTCCCAGCAAGTGCACCAAGAGATGTAGCCTACCGAGGTGAACTCTTTTTTTGTCTTTTAGGGCTGACTGCCTCGGTAGCTGTTGGGCACTGCTAACGTTGCTTGTATCGCAACGACTCGTTCCTCCCGCATGTGTCTGAGTGTCTTTGTTGAGTGATAGATGGCTTGCTTCACTCCCCCGTTGTCGCCTCGCCGGTGTCAACCATGAAGCCGGGGCTCCAGTACTCCCATTCGGGACACTGCTTGTCTACCCACAACATACCCTCACCAAGAAGATCCTCCAAGGCAGTCTGGGCTCGTGCCCTCGGCCATCGAAGATTAACCATTAGCATCGAGATGCTCACATATCCCAGCACTTGGACAGCCTCCAGCACGGCGCTCTGATCCGTATTGAGCTCCTTGGGTACACTCCGGATGTATGACTTGCTTCCGACTTTGATAACACTGTGCGAGCTACCCAGCGGCTTCAAAGTACCGACAGCTCTTAACACGTCGTCCTCCGTCACCTCGCTGGCGCCTTCCATGCGTCCCTTCATGATTCGCTCCCGCACCTCGCGGACGCCAATCAACCCGCCGTTCTCGTCGCGCGTCGCGCTGCATACCTCCACCACGCGCACGGCCAGCTCAAAGTAGAAGTCGTTGACCGACCGGCCGAGCAGCTGCGCCCATATCGACGACGATCCACCCCCGCCCGAGGACGATGAGGAGGACGCGAGCGGGTCGACGCCGATGGCGGAACACATGCGAGCGAACTGGGCGCGGAAGGACGGATTTGAGCGGATATCTTTTGCGTGAGTCTGTGCAAACTGTTGGAGGAGGGAGCGGAAGACGGAGAGCTGGGTCTCGAGGGCTTGGGAGTTGGTTGTGCGGAGGTTGGAGCCGTGGGATGCGTATTGCGCCGAGGTGATGCGGGAGCGGTCGAAGGCCGCGAGGCCGACGCCCTTGCGCGACATCCTTTGCAGTGTTTCGTCTGTCGGATCGAGTGTGTAGGATGATCGAATGTGTAAGGTAGGATGGTGGAGGTTGAGGTCCGGTCGGGGGGATATGTCACTGTAGTCGCGGAAGAAGGTGGAGGCTGCGAATAGAGGGGCGTTCGGTGGTCTTGGTGGATGCCGTATCGGAAGGTTATCGAAGCCGGTGAGTGACATCCAATGCGGTTCGGTTTGCCGGCGGACACTCCGCGCTCAATCTCGAAAGATGACATAATCTTTGAGAGACACCCCACTAGTCCATTTTAGTCTCAAGCTGGACTCGGCTGTGCCACGGGGCCCACCTAAGCGATTTCCACAATCGAGCACAATTCCACATCACGTGCTTCACCCTCCCCACCCGGAGAATCACCGGCCGCACCAGCCACTAAACGGGCCCAAACCCCCAGCGGAAAGGGCACAACCCTTACTGAAATCCAACTCGCAAAATTTACGGTCTGAGTCTGTCCCCCAAAGCACCATAGACGCCTGCCTCACGATCGCGTTGCGAATTTCCTAACAGTCCCCCCTCCATCCCGCAGCAACCATGTCGTCCACCCAGAGCGTCCAGTGCTTCGGCAAGAAGAGAACCGCCACCGCCGTTGCCCAGTGCAAGGTACGATACCGATCAATTTCCTCCCCCGAAGAAAGAGAGAGCTCCGAAACCAAGATTGCGAAGGAGGGGGCGAACGATATCTGGATACTTTGGAATATGGAAGGCTGACTGTATTGTGAATAGGCTGGCAAGGGCCTCGTCAAGGTCAACGGCAAGCCCCTCTCGCTTGTCCAGCCTGAGATCCTCCGCTTCAAGGTACGATTATAATCCCGCGCGAAACTCGTTGAAGACTTGGTCGGCAAGAGATGGAAATCTGGAATGGAACCCTTGGTATCAAGGGAAGGGACGCATGGAGTGAGCGCTGCGATGTCACGTTCTGTCTATGGACGCGAAGAGTCGTGCGCAGCGCAGCGCTTGCTCTTTGCCTGTTCAATTCGCGAAATCGGTTCGAGAAGACAAGGCGACCAGGGTCTATACGAGAAAACCGCACATCAAAAACCAAGAATCCCGAACGAGAAGAACTAACCCGTCTCCCGCACCACAGGTCTACGAGCCCCTCCTCGTCCTTGGCCTCGATAAGTTCGCCAACATCGACATCCGCGTCCGCGTCACCGGTGGTGGTCACACTTCCCAGATCTACGCCATCCGTCAGGCCATTGCCAAGTCCGTCGTCGCCTACTACCAGAAGTTCGTCGATGAGCACTCCAAGAACATGCTCAAGCAGGCCCTCGTCCAGTTCGACCGTACCCTTCTCGTCGCCGACAACCGCCGGTGCGAGCCCAAGAAGTTCGGTGGTAAGGGTGCCCGCTCCAGATTCCAGAAGTCTTACCGTTAAACGGTGTGTCTTGTTTGGTTTCTGGGAGGTGTGGAACAGCCTGGGGAAATGGGGGATTATACGGCAGTCAAAAAAAAAGCCTTGGGAAGGAAAACTGTCGGGTTTCCCGGGTCCGGTCAGCTTTTGGTGTTTCCCGCGAAAAATTTGGCAGTTACTGTTTTACGGGGGAGTCAAACGTGGATCAAAAGATCTGGGTTCCGTTTCCTTTCTCGTTCGTCTTTTAAAGACAACAAGACTTTCGACATAAGGGACGGCCCAGAGAAAGCATTCGATTTCCGGGTCGATGCAATTGCATGGCATGCCTCGCGGTATCTCTGCTTGGCTTGGTTTGTAAAGGGTCAGGCAGGCAAATGAAACATTGAAACTTCATGACACGGCGTTCTGGGCTCGAGCTATGCGTGTGCCGTGTTTCTTTTTAATTTCACTTCCTTCTGAGGCTCCTCTTGTTGCTACGTGTGGCTGGGAAAAGTGACGTCCACATAATGCACTGGTAGGTGTAGGACGGTTCTCCAACAATGACATTCAACAACATCCCCACGTGCACATCGTCCCTCCCAAAGTCGAACTTGTCCATGGTACTTAGTCCACGCTCCTCGAGGACTCGCGGGGCCATACGCCATGGCTTCGCTTTTCTGCCACGTACTCGCTCACAATGAGTTGCAAAGTGTCTTCCTACCTACCCCACGATCTCCTTTCCGCGCTCATCCTACATCACACGGTAAACTGAGGAGTGCATCTCGAAAGAATCTTGACCTACGCATTACAGTATACTCAATTCTCTTTACGCCAGCCAAGACCTGTTGCCTGTCTCAAGCCCACACTCTTTTGTAACTTCTCCAACAACCCGTACTCCGCAGGCGGGGGAACTTAAGTACAAAGCCACGACTCCGTCTCTGGAGCCTTCGTAAGTCAACTCTGCTACTCACATCATCGCTTCAGTCACGTCTGCCCGACAAGGTTGCGCAAGCACTGGCAGTATATACACATCCTGCATACAACAGGAAATGAGTGCGCAGGCACAAAAAAGTCTCCCAAGGTTCTCATCACCAGGGACAAAAGAGAATGATCAGTGGGAGGCTTGAACTCCCGGCCTTGGCATTACAGAACATTTCTGATGAAATATTAGTACCACGCTCTAACCAACTGAGCTAACCGACCAGTTGATTTGTTGAAGGAGATTGGGCTTGAAGCCCTACAGAAAGGACAGATATCGTGAGATTGCGGGCCCCCCACCTGGAAGACAAGGGTGGTGGTGGTTCAATGAGAAAGAGAAACGGTGGGTTTTTGTCCACTAAGAGCATTAGACACTTGCGGCCCGCCAATTCAGGTGTCTGTTTACAGGGTGTCGAGATGGGTTCTTGGGTTTGAATGGTTTCGTCATGGAGACTGCCTCTTCGCATGGTGTTGATGGGAGGGAAAGGCGTCCACTAAATGGCTTACATGCCTGAAGGGCTCAGCTCAGCTCAGCTTACAAGCATTATTTTTGCCGCTGCATCGAGGAGAATGTTATTGCCAGGCCAATGAGGTCTTATCTTCATGACTTTATTTTTCAAGAGAAAGAAGCAAAATCTGTATGAGTTGCCCAGTCCTCACAGTCGGCAATCATGTGTTCTCTCGCAATTCTCATGAGTTTCATGGTGCGGCATTCTCAGGTAACTTAAGCTTTCGCCTTGTGAATGTCGAGCCGACATTGGCTGCCTAACCACGCCGCGAATTTAGCAAGACAAGAAGTGCGTCTACAGTCTCCGGAACCAGGATTTCGAACGCCTAATTCATGCTCTTCGACAATTAAATAGAGACACGTCACATTGGCTCATACTCTTTCAGAATCGACGTCTTCGACAACCTGACCGTGACGTTCCCCAAGATTGACTGACCCGGATATGTCTCCAAACCCAGCCCGCCCGAGCTACTCCATCTTGTCCACAACGTGGGTCAACAAATCGAGTCACCACCAATCATCACTCTGTCCCATTCACACCATGACAGCAATCGCTCGAAGACGCGCATCTTAGGCCCGCTCTCTAGGGCTTGAAACAACGCACAGCTCCCAGCTCCCAGACAAAAAAAACATAATTGCTCAACTCGGCCTCCGCTCCAACAACAGCCCAACAGCTCGTCTCGAGCTAATCCCCGATGGCACAATTGGCTAGCGCGTCAGACTGTTAATCTGGAGGTTGGTGGTTCGAGCCCACCTCGGGGAGATGCAGTGGTTAAAATCCACCTGGGAACACTTTGTTTTGCCAATTTTGCATATTGATTCGCTGGCCGATGTGCCTGTGTTTATTTATCCGTACGATGATTTACGATGATGACTTCAGCACCACCACTGTCGAGCGCTAAGGTTGCTTTTGCAAGCCTCAAAGTCTATAATTCTTGTCTCTGGCCACAAACTTCCGACCAAGGTTTAAGCATCGCAACGATGTACAACGACATGAGAGTACGCCCGTGCGCTCCATTTTGATGTGATGAACTTCAGACATCCGCGGAGAACTGTCTGAAGCATCGTGTCCGCTGGCCATGATGAGCTGCAGTATAGTAGTTGGTTCGCGTTGGTGACCTTCAGAGGGTTCTTGAGACCAATTGACTGCTTCGAACAACCAATTCCTTTTGGCTCTTCGGTACCGTCGAAGTGAACAAGATCGAGGCTCATCAAACATCTACAGCGGCACGAAATCAGTCATTGGCTGCCTGTGGCGTACCCGTCACTCAGCAGGACACCGTAATGGCGTGGTTTAAGGCGCTCCTATTCGCCCTTCCGACTTTTTTCATCATTGTGCGAATGGTGAACAAGTGTATAAAGCTGTCGCCTTGGGGTTGGGACGACACGACCATCGTCATAGCATATGTATGTTTACCCTTTCACTCTTGCTCTTGATGAATCTCTCTGACAATTAAAAAGGCCGTACTAGCAGCTTTCCTTCCAGCAGCCTATCTAGGTAAGACTCGGATTACGACTGAAGTACAACTCTTACTAATAGTCTTCGTATAGCTGAAGCAACTGGTGCAGGGAGGGATATCTGGGTTCTATCAGAAGACCAAATCACATATTTTCTTTTGGGATGGCCGCAATATCAATGCATCTCTGCTTCCTCACCTCATGGAGTAACACTGACCAAGACCAGCTATTCATAATATTCGGCATGCTATATATGACCTGCCTAGCCTTCATCAAGGCCTCGATCATATTTCTATACCTTCGAATCTTTCCCGACGAAACGTTCCGCCGAGTCCTATGGTGTACTCAGCTGTTCAACCTCCTTCTTTGGATCGCTTTCATCGCCGGTATCTTTGGCTCTTGTCAGCCCTTGCACTTTTTCTGGCATGGGTGGAAGAGGGATATGGAGGGCAAGTGCTTCAACTTGAACGCCTTCGCCATCTGCCATGGCGTGTTGAACGTGGCTCTAGATGCCTGGATGCTTGTCCTCCCTGCGACTCAAGTCTACTCGCTGAGAATGCAACCCAAGAAGAAGTTGGGTGTGATGCTGATGTTCGGCGTCGGAGTATTGTAAGTAAGATGATTCTGTGATGTGGGGATCTTGCTAATGGTTCAAAGTCTCACCGCAGTCAGTGCCTATCGCATCAAGGCCCTTCTCATTTTTGCGACATCATACAACGTCACAGGTAAGATCGCATGGAGACTCGCCGTCTACTACGAACAACTCTAACATCAACCGTAGCCGACTCGTTTCAATGCTCTCTCTGGTCCCACATCGAGCTATGTGTTGGTATCTTCGTGTCTTGTCTCCCAAGTACACGTCAAGTCTGGAGGAAACTGTTCCCCAAGATCCTCGAAGTAACACACCTGTCTTCGAGATCAGCTAGAATGTCTAGGTCAGCAAAGGGTTCACACTCTGCCAGCCAAGCCTCGCGATCGGCAGTGGACCCCAATGACCGTTCACAAGTTTTGTCCTACGAGGAGTCTTCGATAGCTCATCTCGTTGGAGATTTCAACAACATCGACCTCAATAACCTCAGCGATGCGAGCCCGATGGAGGCAGACCCTCCGAAGACGCCAAAGAACCACGTCGAAGTCCAACATGGCCCTATCTCCGGCAGTTCAAGAAGTAGTGATGGGATCATGAGTCAGAAGGCTTGGGATACATGAAACCAATTCAGGTAGTTGAGGATGATTATTGAACAAGAGGCGAACCTTCCATCTCAGCGACACTTCAATTCGATACATACGCCTGCCGGAGGGCCCGCACCCAAGACAATCTCGGATAGATATGAGGCTGATAAGGCAAGCAACTCTTATTACATTGCTATGCGATCCGATGATACAGAGAGTGGCAATGATGGCCTTGGCGGGCTGAGAGTACTGCCGAAAGAGTACAGTTTCTATCACGAAACGGGGATGCGTCGTCCAAATTTAGCGGGAGGAGAGTTGTTCTGGAAATCGCAACTTCTGCTCAAGATACCCAGAGCCCAGAGCGACTGTTCGGAATCTTTGTCAAATGAGGAGGGGTGTTCTTGAGCCGAGCTTCAATCTTCTTCAGCAACGCGGAAGCATCGTAGAGAGATGTCACCATACATACCCGTACACAGCTAGAAATAGTCAATAAAACACCCAAGATAGGTGATAGCCTTCATTCAAGCGATACCGACCAGGAGATACTTCTACGACATGATAAGGCGCCGAAGAGGCTCACTGACGACTGAATGACGATCAACCAATCAAAGAGATCTTTCGTTGTCGATCAACTAGTAGACCCTAGGCCGAATGCTCCGCCATAGAGGTTTCGAGACCACAGAGGATGGGCTGATAGTTGCCTAAACTAACATTCGTCATCCTCAATCTTCACGTACCTTCAAAAGGCGAATGGGATAGAAAATGGCACAACAAGGAGGCACATATCGCATCTCGCCAGGCACGTCTCCCGCATCTCACTCTTCCTGTCTTGACTGCTTCTCGAGAGAAACCATGCGACTGACAGTTGGAATACAGAGCAAAAGTCGCCTGCCAAGGAGAGATCCAGCTCCAGCTCCGGTCCCCCGGCGCAAAGTCGATGCGACGAGAAGAAGACGGGGAGCGAAGAGGATTGGGAGATTGTCAAGAATCCTCAAGATGAACAACCACAGGGACAAATCCGAGGTTTCCACAGCAGTTTCGACCTGCGGCTTGGTTGGGGTGAGTGGAAGTTTAGTGCTTTGAGTTGGGAGGTGAATGCTGGGAGGCAGGAGTGTGATTATCACCAGCAGCAGCAGCAGCAGCAGCAGCAGCAGCAGCCGCATGCTGGCCGGGATTCAACCGCGGATGGAGAGAAGAGGAAGTAAGATGAAACGTAATGAAGTTTACGATTTTGTGTTTGCTGGCTGTCGTCGGTCGACAATCCTACTCAAAAGTTCTTGGAAAAGACGCCGGCCGTGTTATCCAAGTTGCCGTGTGTGATAGCAAGTCAAATGGGAGATAGGCCAAGACGCCCAGCGATGTTCAACTCTGGAGCGCAATCAACAGACATACCCGCGTGCATTTTGCCCTTTTGGAAATTGAGATACGAAGAAGAAAAAAAAGTAAAAGTATGAAGGACTTGACTTTGCTTTACTCCTTTCACCCCCTTATGACGGCTATGGCCAACATTTATAAACCTAACTCGTTTGCCGCGGGCAGCCCAACTCAATATATATTGCATACGAGGGAGCAGTGACGAATTGCCAATTACTTGGTTCCACTCAACTTCCACAGCGTGCGCATATAGAGTTTATACTTGATAAATCCTCTTTAGATTTGGTTTGCTTGGCAGAGGATCTCTAGGTTTTTTGATGCCATTATAAACCATGATCGCCTCCCGGGCGTACCGGACAGCGTGGATTTTACCCCGTGGGAGGAAAAAGAATATATAAAGATCCGTTGTTGCATCCAAGTGGGTTGAAGATAGCCCGGCTCTTCGCACCAGCATACATGACCAAACATTCGTCAACATGTACGCCTCTATTCTTCTGACCTCTCTTCTCGCCGCGGGCGGTGCCCATGCCGCCGTAGCGCAGGGCTCATGGGGCGTTCGCGCAGACTACTCCCGTAAGTGACACTAAAATCCAAGACCCTTCATCCGAACTCCGACCTCCCGGCCCGCTCAGCGGAGGAAGGGAAGGAAGAATGATTACGGGGAGGAAACTTGGGTCAATCTCTTCCCATCCCAGCACCAAAAACTCACTAACCAAACCCCCAACACAGGCTGCGACTCCACAACCCCCCTAGAAGTCGTCCTCGACGGCGCAGCCAGCCACTCCTCCCCCTCCCCCAACATCACAGACTTCTCCATCCCCGCCCCTTTCTCCGGCTCCCTCGTCATCAAGGTCGCCGGCGCAGTCGGCTACGGCTCGCCCTATCAGCCCCAGCAGGTCGGCGTCGAGGTCTTCGCCGCCGCGACGGCCGGCGACCCCGGCGCGTGGGCGATCGCGACGGTGAAGCCTGGTGTCGGCCAGCCGGCTTCCGTGGCGCAGATTGCTTGGAACACGCGGAGCGACGTGACTGTTGCGCCCAAGGAGGGCGAGACGGTTTCGCTGGAGACGATTTTTGATGGGGGCAGTTTGGTTGTTTACTATGTGAGTCTTTTCGCACACCCTCCCTGACTATGCGATTGATGGATTGGTTTGTGAGACGATGCTGATATGTGCTGTTTTAGTGCGGCCTTCCGGAGGCTGGTGGACCTGTCGCGTAAGGCGGGTGGCTGCGAGGATCGGACGAAACGGGGAGACGCACCTTGGATTAGATAGACTTTCGATGTTGAATAGAGAAATCCCAGACCCTTGACCGGTTCACATGTGTGAGCATCAAGAGAAGTGCATGGTGAAGTACCCTGTTACTATTGGCACCTTGCGTGGAGTATCTCAGTAAAACGCATTCGCGACATAGGGGTCAGCTTGACTGTTAACGCTCGGAATTCCTGATTGCTCGTATTGCTAGCATACGAGAGTGGTATACAAGAAAGATCTAAATGGGGTCTAATACAGAAAATTTGGGGGGGGGGGGGGGGGGGGGTATCACAACACACAAGGATGACAGGAAACCAACAGTCACGACCCAAGCCTCGACATAGGCCTCGACCTCGAAGGAAAGCGGGGGCGGGGGCGGGGTTCCTAATCCCTCTTGGCCCTCCTCTTGGCCCTCCGCGCCCTCTTCTTGCTCTGCTTCTTCCGCTCGGCGCTGATTTTCCTCTTTTGCCAAAACGACTCGAGCCAGGCCCAAATCCAGGAGCGCATCATGATGATGATTGTGCAAAAGACTACAGGGCAAGCAATGACCCAGCTGTTTTCTTTGTCAGCGTAATGTCGAGGTTCATGAAGTAGGTCTCGACTTACAAGAATTTAATGCCCATGGGATTCTGGATATCCGGAAACGATTCAAAGTTCTGTCCAAAGTACCCAGTCAAGAAGGTCAGGGGCAAGAAGATAATGGTGATAATGGTCAGCTGCTTCATGCTCTCGTTCTGGTTCGCCGAAATGGTGTTGAAAATGAGGTCAATCAAGTTATCGGCGGACCGCTTGATCTGCTGCATAGACTCGGTGATGATGACGCAGTGATCGAGCACGTCGCCGAGGTACGTGTGCGTGAGCGGCGTGACGATGACGCCGCTGGCCGGATTGCGCAGCTGGCGCTGTGCCTCGTCCTGCGACAGCTCGGTGCGGTGGTCGCGCAGGACGTTGACGAGGTTGTCAATGGGGTTGAGAAAGGTGAGCATCTTGTTGATCTCGCTGACGCAGATGTAGAGGCTGCGTGTCTGCTTGATACTCGGGCTCGTGAGGACGTCGAGCTCGAGGTCGCCGATGACGTCGCTGTAGACGGCCGTCAAGGGGATAGCGAGGTCGATGATGGCGTCGATGATGGCCTGGACGACGAGGGAGGCGTCGCAGGACTGGCGGAGGATGGTGGAGGGGTCGCCGAGGCGGACGGTGATGGGACGCTCGATGTCTTCGGCTGACATCTCGAAGAAGGAGATTACGGTGTTGTCTGAGGTTAGGAAGATGGCGACCTGCTCGGCGGAGACGGCGAGGCCACGGGACATGAGGGAGGAGTGGCGCTCCATGTACTCTGTGCGGACCTCGTTGGCCGAGGCGTGATAGCGCTGGAGGGTGCGGACAAAGGCCGTTTCCTTGAGTTGGGAGAGCTCGCTCATGTTGCGGTTCAGTGTCCCGGTTCCGTAGCCGCTGCCGTCGCCCTGCGTGACAATGGTCGGTCTGCCGGCCCTCTGCCTCCCCGTCTCGGGGTCTGGTCTCGGCTTGCCGCCCATGGTAAAGGCGCGCTTCAGCTTCTTCATACCCTTGGCGGACTTGGCCGTCTTGACGCTCGCAACGTCATCCGAGTCGTCGTCGCTGCTGCTACTGCTACTGCTGCTGTCGTCGTCGAGGAGGAGGACGAGCTTCTGCAGCGTCATGACGATGAAGGCGTGGTTGGCGTACCAGTCGGCCTTTGTGCGGTTCCTCGTGTTCATGATGTCTTCGATGGCGAGCTTGTGCAGCTTGTAGTACTTTCCGCAGGCCTGGATGACGTCCCAGCTGAGACCGTTGACGTTGATCCAGCGGCTCTGGACCCACGGCTCCTGGGGTTTCCGCAGAAAGTCGACAAACTCTTCGTTCCTAAGCTTGTGTTGGACCATGTTGCCCTGGCTGAAGTCGAAGACGGAGATGTCGCAGTCGGCGCGGAGGGCGGGCATGGAAGCGTGGCCGCCGTCAGACTTGTTTGGGTCGAAGCCGGGCTCGGAGCCGGGTTGCCAGCCGGGGCGGGACATTTCAAAGTCCCCGTAGTCTTCTACCGGCTTGAAGGTGCCTGCGCGACGTCGCATCGGGGATATGTTCTGATCGGTAGAGGCGCGGGTCAGAGGTGCGCCGACGTCGTTAGGAACGGCGACACGAACGCGCGCGGTGGGCGAGGTGGGAGAGACGGCATGGTCGCGGGTGTCGATCTGTAAGGAAGGGAATCGGACGGTGCGCGCGTGGTCGTCGGGTTCGCTGATGGTCTTGGACATTGGTGCGCCGAAGGAGTCGCTGTCGGGTGACATGATGGTCGCACACTTCCCCCCTGGGGAAGATAGATGGAGTAGGTGTGGTGACGGGAGGAAAGCAGAGATGGGAGAGATCGGCGAGTCGGTAGGTAGGTAGGTAGTTCAAGACATTAACATTTCGAGAAACGAAGCTTTTCGTCGCGTGGCGCTTGATGCGCTAGGGGTTCAGGGACCCCAACGGCGTAAAGCTTGGCTTGGCTCGGACGGAGGAAACAAGAAAAGGAAAGACGGCAAGTTTCGCGGTGGTCGTGGCGTGGGATCGTCGAATCAGCACCGAGCGTCACAGAATGGCGTTCCTCAGCCGCATCTAGCAAGGTCGTTGTCTCTGGCAGTGTACGGATAGGTGAGATCTAGTCCGAGCATCTCAATTGGGCGACGAGTTGTGATGGCTGACCACAAGGTGAGACTGGATGAAAATGGATGGATGGATGAACTGAGAGATTTTGGTGGCTGCAGAACGTGGGATGGTTTGATGTTGTGTGACGCCGGGAAGAGAAGCGAAGCGAAAGTGAACGTGGAAAACACGAGCCCCCCCCCCCCCCCCCCCCCCCCCCTTCCCCCCTCCCCTTCTTCCTCGGCACATATTCCAGGAGAAATCAACGCAAAGCAGGGCAGGTTACGCCGTTACGGACATTCGCGATGAACCCCCTAATGACGTCGCTTGGCAGCAAATTGTACTCCTTACAGATACAGGTAAGAACTCCACTCATTACTTGTAGCATCCGCCATTGGACAGTACAGTGAGTGATAGCGATTAAGCTCTCGGCCGGTGCCGGTTATCCGCGTCAAGCTTCCCCTGCTGCAACGATCACCTCTAGATGACCCAGTCTAGACTCTAGGCTTGACCCATCACACCGGAACAAAGTGTCAAGCTTTTCACTAGCGGTCGTGATTGATATCTCGGAACTTGAGTGCCGTCTGGTGTTGGCAGACTTCAGCATTTGGAGAATCGTGTCCTATTCCGCCTACGCCATCCGTACAGTGCTGGTGATCGTCTAATTCCATGCACTCTCCTCCCCCCCTTGACCAATTTCACTCATAACCATGCCCAGATACCCCAATTCCCAAATATAAAAGTCGTCAACGACGAAGAAAAGAGGTATACCAAATGTCCAAAAAATCACACAAAAAGACGAAGCTGCCCTAGGACAAAGAGTACATACAGTCTTGTGCTCTAAGCAACAATCTTGTACGTCTCGCTGTTATCCTCCTTACAAGCCGCCGTGACCAAACGACCCTGAGTCCCAGGAACAACACACGTAGCCGCATCATTCACAGGCGACCACAAAAAGCTGTCCCCGAAAACCTTGACCAGCTGTCCGGTATTCGTAAGCCCCTCGCCCGCGGCGCGACCACCGCACGAAAACAGCGTGACCGTATCCCCGTCCGCCCGTCGCCCGTCAGTGCTGACGCACCCGTTGGTTAGGCTGCTCACAATCAGCATCGCCCCGTCTTTTCCGTCGTTGTGCTTTCCCTTGGAAATGATGTCAAACTGCTGGTTGGGCGAAGCCTTGTCGCATGCCGCCACGGCGACGGGGATGAGATTCTGACGGAAGTCGCCGGCAGTAGGATCAACCGAGAGACACTGCCCGTTGGGCGCCTGGATAGCTACCTTTGTAAAAGCGCGGGTGGCCGTAGCGTCAAAGGCGTTGGCCTCGGCTGCGGCAGTTGGGTTGAGGGTGCCACCGGCGCGAGAGACGGAGACGGGTGTGGTGGGATTGGCGGCGGAGATGTTTCCCTGCTGGCCGTTTCCGGCAGCTGAGGTTGAAGATGCGGCGGGCTGTGCTACCGCCGGAGCGGATGTCGCCTCGGGCTTGGCGGTCGCGACGGGAGCGTTGGCATTGCCGCCGCCGTTACCCTGGCCGGGCTTGACCGTGGTCGTCAGCGTCATGGTGACGGTCTCGTCGCCATCATCACATCCGGCAGCAGGCTTTCCCGTGACAACGGCCGCCGCGGTCGTGGTCGGCGCAGGCTGCTGAGCGCCGATATCCGCTCCATTACCGCCTCCGTTCCCTCCGCCAACTGCCGCAGGCTTGCCGCCAAAGGCAAAGGACTGGGCCTTGTCATCGGCGTTGCAGTCCGCAATGTCCACCACCTTGCCTTTGACCGCGAAACACTTGCCCTTTTCATTGTTGGGCTGGAAGGTTGAGGGTCCCGCTCCGCTGTCTACGGCAAAGAGCTGGGAATCTGTGACGAGGCCCTCGCCTGCTGCGCGTCCGCCGCAGGAGAAGAGGTTGACCTGGTTACCCGCCGCGCGACGGGGGTCAAAGTTGAAGCAAGCTTGCGTCTGGCATCATCGAGTCAGCCAAACATCTCTCTTCTCCCGGTATATACACCAGCGAAGCTAAGGTGCACAGGGAATGTAACGTACCAGGGTGCTGACGATGAGCATCGAGTTGAGCTGGTCATTGTGCTTTCCAGCCGTGATGACGTCCCAACCTTGGCCGTCCGTCGCGCCGCACTCGGCTACCTGAATCGGGGTGAGGTTGGCCCGGAAGTCTCCGGACAGCTTGTCGACGAACAGACACTTCCCGTCGGCCGTCTTGATCTGGACGTCGGAAAAGGCTCGCGTGGCGGTGTCGTCGCGGGGTTGCGCCTCCTTCGTGGCCTCCTCGTTGAGCTCCGTCACGGCTCTGCGTTGAAGGGCGAGAGGGCTGGCGGACACGAGAAGCGTGGCGTAAGCCAGAAAGGTTGCTGCTTGAGGAATCATGGTGATAATAGGAGAAAGCTTTGGTTAATGAACGAGGGAGAAAAGAATGAAAGCCTGCACAGCAGGGTGTGTGTTGTCAAATGAAACGAAGGGAAATGGAAAGAGGAAAGACGGAAAGAAACCACGAGAACACCAAGGTCGATGCAGCGATAGAGAATGCGTATACTTCTTGAAAGTGAACACGGCGGCAGATGGACCCTTATACTCGGCCCATCACGAAGACCAGTCCATCTATCGCCTGTCGCCTGTCGCCTGTCGCCTGTCGTCTCTCATCCGTCATCCATCATCCGTCATTGACCATCCAAGCGCCATCCGATTGACGCCAAAAGCCATCATCAGTCCCATGCAATCTTGTCCTCTTCCTTTTCTCCCCAGAAGCGCGAGCGCCAGGGTCTGAACATGGTTTCACGAGCTTCCCATCCTGCAGCGAGGTTTCGAATTTGGCGGCCTGGGCCCGAAGAGATATGGGAATGCTCCCTCGGCTAAGCCACCCCTGCTGCGCATCCTTCTTCCCTGCCGTGCCGTGCAAGTGACAAGATGACAGAGTGCCGTCCGAACACTCGTTCAACGGATAAGTCGGTGGAGATTGAACTCAAAAGCCTCTGGCTATGCAACCGCATGGCAAGGAGCTGCCAGAGTTCGAATGCAGCTAATGAGAGAATCAGCCTCCGGTTGGTTGGGATGGCCCGGCGCGTGAAACGGCTCGTGTAGCAGGGCGGCAGATCCTGAAGGGATGGCGCGGGGATCGTGGGGGGAAGATGAGACGAAATCGTGGGAAAAAGGAGCTGTTAAAGCTGTTAGTTGGTGTGTGTATGTGCAGCAAGGGGGGAAAAAGACAGGGACTCGGAGACTCAGGGACTCCGAGGAGAGAAATAAGAAGAGGTCCGCGCTTGTTGGCCCCTGCACGGCGGGCCGGTGATTGGATGGGAGCGCTGCCGGCTACCGAGTGGGGCTACACGGCCCCTCCTGTACCGGCCGGGTGGAGCCCATGTGGGCGCTTGCCGGGCAATCCCATCGGGGGATGTGTCTAAGTCCTTTGAGAAACCCAGATTTCAAGCTTAAATTCATGCTCAACTTCTAGATACTAATGTCTCACGAGCGCCTCTTCTTGTTTTCCATCCCTTCAATTTGCTGTCGTACTGGGCTCACGTCTCACGACGGATCCTCGTACGACTTAGGGCCACAAGCTGTTCCGTTCCCTCTTGGTTTCGAGATTGTCTTGAGCTCCCCTTTCCTGATCGCTCACGAGGTAACTAAGATATACATTCGGCCGTAGAACTCATCATAGCAATCCATCATAACCCTAGGGAAATCAATCACCGTGTCAAGAGATTGTATGTTCATTATTCGTATTCATGGCTTCCCGCCCTCGGCTGTCTTTACATGCCGCATGCACAAGGTAGCTAGGATATGTACCTGAATTCAGAGCCAAGTACGCCGAGAGTCTTTTTCAACCCACCACCACATTAATCGGGCTTATTTGATGCCATTCAACTCATTAAACCCGGCCTGGACCAAACTCTGCCTCCCCTTCCGGTCTCCCACACCAGTCCAGTAAAACAACCCCCCAAGAGCCTTGCTCTTCGCATACTGAGCCTTAATGGCCACCGATCTCGGCACATCAAAAGTCATGAACCCGTACCTGGGATCAACATACGTGGCAGCGGCGGCAGCCGTATCCACAGCCGCCTTATCAACACTATCATTCGACATGTCGCAGTAATCAACCTCAGCCGACCCCTTCGTCGATCCACCCGGCCCTTTCGCATTAGGAAAGGTGCGCGCGTAGGCCGGAATCCCGAGCAGGACTTTCCGGCTCGGGAACCCGTTGCTCGTGACGTAGGTGATGCCGTCGGCGCAGGCGATCTTGAGGTTCGGGTTGTTGCTCGCCAGCGTCTTGGAGGCCAGCAGCTGCGCGTGGTTGCCCGAGACGTCGGTCCAGGGTCCCGTGAGGTCGTAGCACATTAGGTTCAGGTAGTCGAGGAGGGATGCGGCTCGTCTGAGGTCGATGTTCTTGAGGACCCATTGCCCTGGCGGGAGGGCTGATGTGATGAGGTACCTGCCCGCTGGCATCTGTTGGCGGACGTCGCTGAGGAGGCTGATGTAGTCTTTGCCCTGCTTGGCGTCGCTTGGGTGTTCCCAATCAACTTGGACAAGTGTCAGAGCGAGATCATCAGGGAGAATACGAGGCAAGAGGAGAGACTTACTATCAACGCCATTGAGCTGCCACTTGTCGCAAAAGGCCTTGATCTCCTTGGCAAAACGAGCGCGGGCGGTAGGATTGGCGGCCAGGGCAGGGAACTCGGCGCTGCCCGTGCCACCACCCACGGAGACGAGGGTGCGGATGCTCGGCTTCGAGGCCTTGAGCTTTGCGGTGGCCGAGAGACAGCCCTTTGTCCCGTCGACTGGGATTTGTGTATCGGCCCACTCGTCAATGAGCTTTAGTGAGCCGTCGGTGTTGACTTTGATAAATGCGTACATGACGTGAGTGACCGCATTGACAGGCATCGAGGCGGGTGTCTGGCCCTTGTACACCCGCCAGTTGGGGTAGTAGACGGCGTTGACCCAGCCTTGAGACATGACGGGCTGGATGAATGCTGTGATGGCGATGAGCTTCAAGATTAGAAAGGATAGTCGTCTCGGTGAGGTCGATGTCGAAGTCGAGATCGAGCTGTAGGTGTTTGTTGATGTCAATGCTGAGGCTGACGGCGGGACGGCGCGGGGGAGGGTTCGTTCTCGGGCCATTTTGTAGCTTAGGGCCCGTCCGGGTGCGGCGGGGTGGCCCAGTTCGCTTACGTGGAGGCCCCCGGGGGCTGTGCTTGCCGTAGATGCCGCTGCAAGGCGCCCAGCTCAATCGCTATTGGGGAGCTGAAGACAGCCAAGGCAGGTGCTGTATTGGGTGCAAGTTTCCTCCTCTTCTGCCTTCGTATTCTCTCCGTAGACTTCTCTATCTTTTTCTTTTCGCTTTGCCACGATTGAACTGACGACGACCGGAAGAAAAAACAACAACAAACAGGAGAAACAGATCTCAGGTCATCGAGACAACCTGCTTCCGGTGCTGGTCCTTGTTCCTAAAAGAAGAGAGACACCGCACGCGACTTGCGACTGGGGAGAAAACAACTCTTTCCGGTTCCTGATCTACCTGATCTCCCTTTCGTGCCTGAACCTAGGCGAGTTCTTATACCGACTGCATCGGACATTGGCTAAGTTCTCGAATTCCAGGGGAATTCTGGAGGGATACGATTAATTCCTTGGCGGTCTTGTTCGATAGGCCACTCGACAAATATGTGGACGATTCGTAAGCCTGGTTCTTCTCGGAGAATGCGACCATGCACGTCTTTTTAGCCAGGCCGTTGCATTAAAGAGTTGCAGGTTCCCCCACTCTTCACCATTCGGAGCAATCTACACCTGCAGACGGGGAGCAGCTGTAATAGCTATGTGTCCGGAGGAATGTCGACCGCGTTCTCGATCGAGCGGCGAGAATCCCGTTCGACAGCGGGCTCCCGGGGGAGGAGAGGGAAAGATGCGGAAGGGGACTGGAGGAAAACAGAACTCCCTTTAGCTTGGCTCGCCCTGCATCCAATTTCTGCCGCCAAGGACCGCGCGGCAAACAGCAAAGTCGTCGCGGATTGAAGACTGCAAGGGCACGCTGACCGGCTGATTACCTAGGGAGGAAGGAGGCCTTTATCAAGGCACATGTGGCCGCAAGGCTCATATCGAATGGCATCGACCGCGGGGACGGGGACCGATATCCCGGAGGACTCGCATCGCGATCAACCCTTCATCGGAGTCTTTCAGCCGGCGAAGAGAGCATTTCCATGGCACGCATGGCTACCGCTTGGCGGCAAGGCATCGGACGGATGGCCTTGGCCGATGAGCGACAAGGAAAGACCAAGATGAATGCGGTCGCGGCGGCCCGAGACATCTTCGCGCTCCGGCGTAATCGGACGCATGCGGACGGATGGCCGTCAAGCTTCATTCAGTGTGGAGAGTCGACTTGGCAAAGCTCATCACATCATTGCTATACGTTGATTTCTGCCAACTGGACCTCTATCGAGTCCGAGCAGCTGCCACGGAATGAAGCACGACATCTGGTCGACTGCAGGGCCAAGACGGCCTTTCGCAGAGATCAGCCGTTGGCAGCGGACAGATGCAGCGTGGAAGTTGAACTGAGGGAACTTGACCTTCGGACCAAATCAAGTGTCTCGGGATTCCTCTCTGGAGCTGCTTCTCAGCCGCATCAACAAACCTTTGGAAGGCCCCAGACATGTCTCATTTCCTTCAGCTGGGTCAACATGGCTCGAAGGCCTCGGCAGGAGTACACAAGGACAAAGGAATGCCTTTTTGATGATGGAGCACCGCAGGCTCACAGCATCAGAACCATCTACCTAGATCGCTTCGATTGATCGTCTACCGACTTTTGAAAGTAGCCTCTTTGCACGAGGAAGCCTATCCGCGCGATCAGCCACTGTAATGAGGAGCCCATCCAGATGACGTGGCTGGATGGGTCCGGCATTGATTCTGTGTCAGTGATTCCAACTTCCAAGCCTCGTACGTGGATGAAGCTTCAGGGCAGAAGCACCTCAAAACGCTCTTCGAATCTCTTTCTACAAATGCGAGCATGTTCAGGGACAAAGCGTGAGCGTTAGGTGGAAGCTTGGAAAGAGCAAGGAGCCACATAGGTCATCGGCTCTATGGACACGATTTTCAACCTCACAGGATCATGAAAGCGACGCCTCGTGGATTAATCTTCTCGTAGAGACAGCCATCTTGATTTCAACGCCTACTTACGATTACAGTTGTCCACGATTCGTGAGAACCTAGAGCCCACCGGTTTGCTGAATCCTCACCGCTCGCCCGGGCATCAGACTTCCGTCTCGGAGATCCAAGACCTCCTAGACCATATTGATCCATGGTCTGTAGACCGTTGATTTCTTCCATTGAGTCGACAACCTCTGGGAATACAATACCTTCAGAGAGGTTGGTTATGGGACATCACTTCATGCTCGAGACAGCCCAAAATAACATCTAGGACATTTCTGATGGACCACCAGAGGCAAACCCCGCGTTGCCTCTTCCTCCCCCTCTCCTCCCCTACCTAGCCTCAATTAACACTACCTATCCCTTAAAATGGCGTGATGAGCTCAACATGGCTGGCGGGAGGCAAGGGAGAATGACAGCCACCCACGTTGCAATCACGGCCTAGGGATTGGTGGAAAACGAGGGCGCAGACGACACTACGAGCTAGCTCGCGCGTAGAACGCAAGCGCTTCAGGTGATGTCATCCCCAGAGGAGGAAAGTATGAGGAGCTTAAGCATAACCCATTACCACGAGGGGTCTTTTCAGGTCCCTACACGAGAAGCCAAAGGAGCCAGCCCCACGGATACCTACCGGTCCAATGCAGCGGAAGAGCATCGGCGCAGGCGCCGTGGAAGCGGAGAGTTCTAAATTTCCAAGGACGCAAGCACTTCCTGCCGACTTGCCCGGTGTGGTGGTCTCTCTTCCCGCGAGAATGATCTGCCGCGGTTATGGACTATCGCCAATGGATGTGTTCCAACCTTCTCTTCACACGCACTAAGTCTGTAGACTACATTGATTCCAGGGAACAGATTTCAAACTACTTTGGCCCTGCGTTGGCTTCCTGCAACTCGTCTCCGAATAAAGCTTTTGATCTTACCCGGCGACTCGGTAGCCAATTCGCAATGGCTTCGCTTCCAATGGTGTTGGATGAAAAGAGGAGACATCCGATCACGCGGTTCGGATTGGGCTCTGTACCTTTAGGTGATGTCGCGTAGCTCAGGTGAAGTCCGGACGGTTCTGTCGAGACATTGGGCAAAACGTCGAAACGTTGAAACTTCGTCTTTGACAGCAGCGTCGCAATGACCGGCCGGTTCAATTAGCAACACACGCGCGTCCGTACCATCATTCAATTCGGCAGCGTCAGCTCGGCGCTTGACTCGTAAAGGGGGTTCTTCACTCGTGTTTGACTGCTGTCACTCGCAAGTCGCAGGTGCAGAGGAGACGACGTCTTGGCAACTCAATGCTGTTGCGGATCTTGAAACCTTCCATCGCCCATGCTTCAGGTACAACGGTCTTGGCGTCCCATCGGGGAATCCGGCGGAACATGAAGGAGAAAGATGAGGCTGCGAAAGGATGTTAGACAGCTATGGAGTGAATTTCGGCGGGACTCTGAAAGAATTGGGACCTTTTGGAGTTGTCCGCCTCGAGAAGCTCTTGGAAGATGGAGACGATGAGAGACTCCCCTCACCCAAATTTGGCCCCCGGCCGTCGATCTCGGGCGTCGATAGTCCTCCGTATTCCGAGTGCCACTCTGGGGGTTCCGTTTCTTGAATACGATGCGACGGCGTTGGCCAAGCGGTCTAGCACGGCGGCGCCGTTCTCAGTGCGCGCAATCCGTATCTCCGTCTTTGCCAAAGGGACTTTAGCAGTTCAGCTGGGGCAAAACACCAAAAACTCTTACGAGACCAGACCTTTGACGATGCGCCGCCTGACGTGGCCATGCATCGTGACGAAGAGCAGGGAACATCGCTACAACTTTCCGGCTGACGTCAAGGCCGTCGCCCCGCGGGAGAAACCATGTCTCGTCAGCTCACGGGTTGCTCCATGTCTCGGTCTGAATTTCAGAAGAATAGTTATCCTGGAGCTGGTGTGTGCCGCTGCTGTCTTGGGGTGTCCCACACCGGGCCCGCTCCAAGGCGACGAGCATCACCTCCCCAGATATCATCGTGCACCTTCAGCGTCGCATTGCAGCTGAGAAGTGTTTGCTTCAAGCCTAAAGGTGGTCTGAAAAAAAAAAAAAAAAAAACAGGGACCTGTCACTGGGCCTGCGGGCTGACGAGCGTTTGGTGTAGTTGGTATAAAAATGTCGGCTGATTTATCTGCACAACTGGCAATGTACATACAGAGCAGAAAAAAAGCCTCTTCCGTTGGTTGTGCTTCTAGCCGTCGATCATGAACCTGAGCTCAGCGACTTGCATCGGCAATGTACTCTGCGGTCAGTCAAGCGGTCAGGCAGCCGGGAGGTGGGAAGGTGGGCAAGATGAGATGCCGCGCCGGGTCAGCACAAACCTCCGTCTTCTCGTCTCTTTTGCCTCCTTTGCGCCCGACGACTAATTAATACGTACCTCAAAGAGACCGAAGTTGCGGTTGAGAGAACCAACACAACGACGCCGCGATGCGACGTACGACACGACGCGGGGTTCCGGCAGGCTGGGGTCTTCCTAGTCTCCTGGGTTTACTGGGTCCGTATGGGGATCTCTAGCTTTTTACAGCCAAGACCCAAGACTCTTGGCCCTCCTAAAGATGGAAAAGATGAAAGATCGGGATCCCACGTAGCCTGTAGGATACGGGTTGCGGCGGCGTCGAAGACTTCTCATGGGGACGGGACATTGCCTGGGTTGGTCCCAGCATCATGGTTCCTGTTCTACCGGGCCTGTCTCTCCAAGACTCTCCAAGACCAGATTGATTAAGCAACAACCCCCCAGTCAGTCAGTCAGTCAGTCAGTCAGTCAGAACTCAGGACAGTCCCAAGAGACTCTAAGCGGCTCAAGCCAGTTCGGCACCACTGCACCAGACCTTGATCAACCTTCACAGCAGAAACGAGTTCGTCCCTTTGTTGCGCCGTGAATCGTGGCGCTGCACTATGCTTGTTTCAGCCTCCGTCTCCGAGCACCGGCCATTTTATTCTCGCTCTCTATAGTTTCTATGTATGGATGACGATGGAGCGGACTCTGCATAGGTCTGCAGCAATAGAGCAAGAAAGCCAACATGAACAACTCCCGACGGGCCTCGAGAACATGCGCTTCCACGGGGCGCAATGTGTGGACAGGGGTCCTTTTCTGACCGGTCTTGTCAGCAGCTGCATCATGGGAGCGCTGTCTCTTCTCTCACTCAACCTTTCTCAAGTTCCTATTCAACAGAGTCCGCCGGTCGCAATGCCAAGCCACTATAAACCGAGAGACCCGATCATGACAGGGGACCACGAGAAGGAAACTGTCAAGGAAGGCCTGGGCCGCCGAGACTTGGCTTGTTGTCTGCGCATTTTTTTCCGATTTTTTGGGGGGTGAGCAACAGCGACGGCAACTGCGGCAGCTGACGGACGAGACCACGACAGGCCAAGCTTCGTCGTCACACCATGACAAGTTCTGAAGGCGGGAAGTGCACTCGTCGGGAAGGGGAAGAAAAAAGGGCCAAGATATCGTCGTCTTACGCGGAGCCATTCCAATATTTCAGGGTTCTCGAGGTCACGCTGTACGGCATTCATGGGGCCATGAGGTCCATCCTACGAGAATTGACCAACACCCCTAGTTCCTGCATCGCAGCAGCATCGCAGGAGTTCCACGACGTCCTCGTATTCCACGCCCGGCCGAGAGGGCTTCCCAGAGAGCTTTGGACGATCGTCATCCATAGAGACTCCAGAGAGCCCAACTGCGAGCCAGTTGCAGTCAGCGGTTGGGCCTTGGCACACGTCCCTGGTGCATTGGGCATCCTGGCCTGAGTTCGAAGTCGACAGATGGAAGACAGAGTGAGAGCGTGCGAACAGGTTCATCCTTTTGCTCAGCGACTCAGCAGCTCAGCTTCCGTTGTCGTCTTACCACACCAGCCAGGGGTCGTCCTCTTCTCTTTCGTCCACTTCCGTCCCTCCTCTTCCAAGTTCCTCCTCCTCCCGCGCGTGTGTGTGCGAGACAAAAGCCGTGAGCTGCTGCTGCTACTGCTAAGCGCTTCCCTTACCGTATTCCGCCCCAGGCAGACGGACAACAATTCGCACTAGCACGATGTAACTTAATCCTTAGCGCAGAGCCCGCCCTACTGGGAAGCGACGTCAAGATAATCGGCGGGACGATCTATGGTTATCCGCGAGAGTGGAGAGGTTGGCAGGCATCTGGATCCTCCAGGGTTGAAAAAAAATACTAGTTACTAGTATTTAGTCTAGTATAAGTATACTAAAGTAAGTATAGTATTAGTACAATAAAATCGATACTAGACCTAGTATTAGTAAGTATTAATATTCAAGAGAAAAGTTCTAATATATTTAAGTAACTAACTAATTATTAATATACTAATTAGTATCCTTATATAACTTAGTTAACGTAGTTAATTATATATAAAATATTATAAAAATAAGTTCTTACATAATACTTTTAAAAAATTTAGATTTCTTTTTTCTTATTTTTTTCTTATTTTTAATCTTTTATATATGATTACATAATATTTAATACTTTTAGTATACTATGAGTATACTTAATTAAGCTTAGTATTCTTAGTATACTAATACTAACCTAGTTTAGTATTAGGGTATACTAATACTAGACTAATTAGTATTAGTACTGTCTAATACTTACTTAAATATACTTTTTTTCAACCCTGGGATCCTCGTCTTTCCCCAAATTCTCACCCCCAGCCTCCACGCTTCCGCGAATCCGCAGCCCGTGGTGGTATTCCTGGAAATCCTGGAGACGCTTGACGCCCTAGGGGCAATTGAGCCCCAGAGACTAGTAGTCTGGATAGAGAGAGAGGGTGAGAGCCTTGTTCGGCATTTCTCCTTCATTTCTAGTGCCGGATCACCTCAGCATCAGCAGTACCGCGCCACAATGCAACTGTCTGTGTTGTTGCTGCTGCCTTCAGTCAAGTCGAGTCGCCTTTCTCACGAATCTCGGGCTGTTTACTTTCCATCTGCAGAAAGCACACGCCTTCTGCGACAAGGACCTGGTTCCCGTGCAGCGACGAAAGGGGGTCTCTTCGAGAGGAACCCCTCGTTACAGTATCAGAAACAATTCTTTTCTCATCGAGGACGCGCACCACGTTTCTGTCCATTTGGGCGTCGTCTTCTTCTTCTGGATGGGGGAAAACTTACCAGCCTCAGAAAAAAAAACCACCGGCGCGGCCCTTGTCCCGCAACGGCGCCCCAATAGCTTCGCAACCAAGGCAAAACAAACCTCAAAGGCCCATCCCGAGACAGTATCGAGCGGCGCTTGTGGCTGACTCCACCCCGTTTACGTTTGGCTGAACCCTTCGCAACTTGCTTCTTCGTGGGTGATACTTTAGGTACCTCACTGGTTCGCACCAAAACTCACCGTTTTGACTGGTACCGTTCACACCACATCCCAGCCATCTCCGATGTACTGCCCAACCTGCCTGCTTTTACCACCTTCTCCCCTGCTACATGGCGTCTGGTTGTGCCGTCGTTCGGGCGAGAGCAACTGGTACATTTCTCGAGCGAGGAAACCTGGTCGAGGATGACAGAATGACAGACGTCTCGAGACAGCGCTCGAGCTGTTCCCTTCCATCCACATCCCGAAGTACCTACCTACATGCGTTACGATTTTCCTTTTTCTTGTTGGTCGCCTCTTCTTTTGCAAAATACCCTGTTCTGCGTCTGCCTACAGGCCATTTTCTCGCCCTCATGCGAGGAGGGTGATCCCTCCGTCCAGTCAGCTTACATGCCTCTAAGCCTCTTGACGTCAAAACGCGCCGCGGATCCTCTCCCCCCCACGGCACATCATCTCTCCCGTCGTTGCTATTAACTTACCCTGCCCATCATCGTGACCAAAGTACCGTGGTTCGTATCGGAGCCTCATCGGGTGCTATTCCTCGTGCCCGCCAAGGCTCTATGGCGGGCCTAGGGCTGAGCGGCCAGTCCGTCGTAAGAAAGAGGACACGCGAAGGACGAGGGGCAAGCAAGTCCTGCTGCTGCTGCGCGATGCGAAAGGCGGGATGGATGGGGCACCGTCTTTGATCCGCAGTCGTCCCGTTTTCCCAAACCCACTCCCACGATGAGGCAGGTTGAGCTATCCAGTCCGTCCACCACCCCGCCGCCAGGCTGTGCGGTGCGGGTTCTCTACCTTCTAGCGGGATTTCTCATTAGACTCTATTCTAGGTACGGGGATGGGTCGACCCATACGTGAACTCTTGGCTTGGGCCCATCTTCGACTCTGACCGTCAACTGTTCCATGTTTCCCTGTTCAGACCTATCTCCGTTGCGTCCCAAGTTTGGGTCATATAAGTCGTCTTCCCCCTCCCCTTCTGCCCGACCTCTCAACTCTGCTTCATCCTGCATCCAGCTTCCCCGGCCAAGATTAATCAAGCATCTTGTAGCTTCATATCTACTCACGTCCGAGTCACACAGTCTCACTGACCTTCACATTTCCCTGTCACTTCAACTTCCCTCAACCAACCGTTACCATGCATTTCTCAACTGTCCTTGGCGCCGCTGCACTGGCTACCCTCGCCAACGCAAGGTACGTTCCCGCTCGCCCTTCTTGGCCTCGGACACAGACATGAAACTAACATCACTCTTACAGCCCTCTCGTCCGCCGTCAAGGTCCCGCAGTCGGCCAGGTTATCTCAAAGTGCACACAGAACGGTGTCGTCGCCCTCACCTTTGACGACGGCCCCTTCACCTACACCTCCCAGCTCCTCGACACTCTCGCCTCCAACAACGTCAAGGCCACATTCTTCGTCAACGGCAACAACTGGGGCAACATCGAGACGGCCCCGGGCCCGGACAACATCCGCCGTATGAAGGCCGAGGGCCACCTCGTCGGCTCCCACACCTACTCCCACCCGGACCTGAGCACCCTCTCCTCGGCGGACCGCATCTCCCAGATGACCCAGCTCGAGGACGCCACCCGCCGCATCGCCGGCTTCGCACCCAAGTACATGCGCGCGCCGTTCCTGTCCTGCGACGCCGCGTGCCTGAGCGATATGGCCGGCCTGGGCTACCACGTCATCGACACCAGCCTCGATACCAAGGACTACGAGAACGATACCCCCGACACCACGCACATCTCGGCTGAGAAGTTCAACAACGAGCTCAGCGCCGACGCCGCGGGCAACAGCTACATTGTCCTCTCGCACGACGTCCATGAGCAAACTGTTGTCTCTCTCGTCCAGAAGATGATTGACAACCTTAAGTCCAAGGGTTACCGCGCCGTCACCGTCGGCGAGTGCCTTGGCGACGCTCCCGAAAACTGGTACAAGGCCTAGAGTCTCGGTGGCTGGTGGTGAAAGTTCGGGAGGAGAGCGAGAAGGAGATGAAAATAGCATGGAGTATCGCACTGCGGGTTTCTTGGGAAGGTTTCGTTGGATTACACTGCTTGTTCTCTCCGGCTATACGTACATACAATCATGGGTGGATATACCAGGAACACCCCATCGGCGCAAGTCATTGCACGGAGATACCAATGTCTAATCAAATTACTAGTACTTGATATGAATCTTTTGAAGTGTTCGTGTTGTTTCTCGATCCCAAATACCCCCCGCCTCTCACCAGATCTCTCTCATCCGGATCGATGGTGTCACGAAACAGGAATGGTATCAGCACTTGTCAAGCATCTTGCCACGTGCTTTCTCACGTGGATATCACACTCTCTTAGTATATAGACTGCTCTCATGTGCTCATTCTAGATGGGTTACTTCAAGCCACTTTAACCCACTTCATATGCCCATTGCTGCGTGCCATAACTCGTGACAGATGGTCTCAACCTCGTGTAAGTCATATGAGGCAGCCCCACCACGCCGTCTTCACAACACCCACCTTTAGAACACGACCCCCACAACTTGCCATCTCACTCTACCCGTAGGTACCTTATGAGACTATCGTGTATTGTTCCACTTTCATCGATGAGTAAGCAATTATCTCAGTTCGCTTCGGTCCGGTGGCTCAATTGGTAGGGCGTCTGACTTCGATTGATTTCATCAAGAGAAATCCTCTGGATTTTCGGAATTTTATCAGAAGATTGCGGGTTCGAGTCCCGTCTGGATCGAATTGATCAAGTACTACCTGGCGTCAGCATTTGGGTGACTTGAATTTTCTTTTTTTGTGAGGCAGTGAGAGATCGTGTCCTCAGAAGGGTCTAAACAGACTTTTAGATTGTGATGGTGTTGCGGGAAGTCTATCGGTTGATTGACTTTAACCTTCCCTTTGTCTGAAACATTGCATTGGTTTGCGAGGAAGCCCCCCCAAATAGCGCCTTTATGTAATTGCCTTGTCCCCAGCTCTACGCGGCTAGGGGGTCCTTATTCTTGAGCCCATGAGAGCCCATGGGGCTACGCCAGTACACATAGGGAAGGTAAATGAGCGATAAGTAATCTTGGGACATGGTATTTCATTCGTAGAGAAGGAGCATTGAGAAATAAACTTGTGGCTCTTAGCTGCTTTACAGCCTGATTCTATCCACGCACCCATCGCAGAGCTAATGCGCGGTTCCTGGTGGCTTGGAAGGAATCTGACCCGTCAGGATCCCGATTTCCATGTGCTCTCTGACACATGTCTCACGCCACTCAGATCGGCGAGATGTCGAGTGTGCTGACCATGGAGCTAGGGTGTACGCTGCTTCCCGCCAGCTCACTGCTCCGGTGTACCATGTATTAGGATGGCAAGAAGGACGTCAAGGATGCTAGTTCAGCAGAGCCTTTCTCGTGGTACCTAGTATGAGAGAGAACAAGTTGACTGCGTCGTATTGCGGAAGCTTGAACGAGAACCGTTGGCTTGGAGAGCGAAGATGATAGCTCAGTATCTTCATAAGTCCTCGCTTTGGTGATGGGTTCGCACCGAAGGAGTCGCACCAAAGGTTTTGTTGATGACAGATCACCCTTTGTTTCTTGCTATGCTAGTCAAGGCCATAAGCAGTTTGTTATTATAAATGTTAAATTTCAGTATGTGATCTACCATACTTAGTGATGGCTCGCGAAAAGCGTTGGTACACATATCAAGACCTTTCGGCCGGTGCAAAGCTTAATAATCTGGTATTGAACTGCGTATGTATATGCAGAAGGAGGAGGCTGGTGGGCGTAGCCTATGATCCCTCCGTTGGGTGTAAGTAGGTAGAAGAGCCGTTTGCACAGCCCAGACCACCTTCCAAATCCACCTTTTCTGCCAATATTCCAACAAAAAGACATGGTTTGCAAGCTAGGCTAGAGTGTTGACGAGTATCACGTGAATAAAAGAGGAATGAAAGAATAAAGAAGCCATAAATGTACAAGGGGTGAGTTGGAGTACTCATAAAGTTCGCGAGAAAACCTGAAAGAGTAATAGATTCTGAATATATCTGTAGAAAGTAAACGAAGAAAAGCCCACAGCACATGTCAGATTACACGTATCAAGTGTTCTCCTTCTCGATAGTCTTCACAAGGATATCCGCTCTCTCCTTCTTGCTGAATCACAAAGTCTTCCTTTGTCGATCCAACTGAAATGCGAGCAATTCCAAGGCGTCTAAAGAGTTGTCCTTCGCTATCTTGTAACTCGAATAATAACAACGAAAGTTCGTACATACTCATCTTGCCACTTACCTCGCGAGTTTCAGAGTCAATCACTCCGACCTCATGCCACTTAGCTGGCATGCAGTATAGAAAAGACTTATTGTTCTGTTCGTCGAAGTTGTTATGGAACATATCCAGCTCAACGACATTTTGGACCTGCCCCTCTTTGGTGTTCAGCCCGTTGACGACTATGTTCCAGACTTGGCCATCATGGTCATTGTCCCTGCTGCGCGGCCCTTCGTAACGGAAAAGTTTCATTGGCTTCAATTTACCCCATAGACGTAGCCATCCGCCGGAGATTAGGCCGGTTTTGTCGCCAGTGACGTATTCGATATGGAAATCCTCAACCTCGATGAGCGGACTATTGCGTGTATAGGGCCAGCCTGCTATGACCGCACCGTCTGCGGCGGCCCAAGACCAACTCGGAGCCCTATAGGTCTTAGGCAGCGAGCTAGGAGAGTCAGGCACAGTAAGCACTCTCCAAAGGAGTTCTGACTCCAAATAGCGACGCCACATGCCGGCGATGTAGTCATCTCCGAGCACCTCCTTCATCTCCTTTGCCACTGCAGAGAGAGCAATCATTCTGTCGCTAGGAAACGTGATATTGCAGCGAGTATACGTGGAGACGATATTGGACCAGCAGTCGTATGCTTTTCGTGTGTCTTCCGCCTCTCCGCGGGTTCTGCCGTGGTCAAGCTGGAGATCCTCGATGCGGGGACCTTCGTAGGAATCCTCGACGGGAGTATTTAATAACCATATCTCGGCCGCACGACCGGACCGGCAATCCCAAAACACCTGGCGCTCGCCGAAAAACAAAACTCGTCGAGAAAGAAGGAGTTCTTGAAGTACCCATGCCCTCGTGTTGACATGTCCTCGCCTAACCTCTTCCGCCCAGAAAAGTCCATCGACCAAAGAGGCTGGGGTTGCCTGGCCTCTTATAGCTTGGTGAATAAGTGGTAGTCGGCAGGCATCGGTATCACGATCATTAAAATAGGGAATGTGTACTGTCCAGTGCAGACAGAGCGGACAGGTTGCAGAATGCGTGTGAGTACACCTTATCCATGAGGACCGATTCGTGTTGCCAGTCGGCCAAGTTATCTCCCGCTTGGATGATACAAAGAGCATCGATCCGGAGGTATCGTACACCGAGTTTCCGAACAACATAAGCTGCATCTCGGTAAAGACGTGGTAGATTCTCTGAAGAAATGCCCTCAAGAAGCTGGGCGGCGTTGCTCTTGGTCAGAATGAGACTATTTGTGCTTCCCCAACAATGACTCAAAGTCATGTAGGGGCCATCAGGAGCTTCATCGTCGGTATTGATTATGCGGCAGACGAATTTCGATGCATTCAATGGACCGATTTCAATGAGGCGTGTCGGATACCATCTCGGATCTGTGGCAACTTCTTTGCACTTCTCATGATTATGCTTGCAATTCTGGAACCACGACTCCGCCTGAGCCAAAGTCTGCTGTGATGACGTGCTTGTGGAATATGTCTTGTGTGAGTAGGGTTGATAGGAGCCTAGAAAGTGATCAGTCAACCCCCTCTTTAGCTACTACAATGAGACTGTGATGTTCATTTCAGTAAAGACTGATGAGATACACATGGCGGTTCTTTTGTCAATGAAATAGCTTTATAAGGTTTCCCAAGTACCAGTGCACGGAATGGGTCTTAAGTGTACGATGTGGTCATCCGGCCGCAATCTGGGAGAAATCCAAAATGGAAAGGCTCGTGGATTGACAACGATTTGAAATAACTCTTCTCCCTCGTGTCCGCGTATCTGGTAAGGCCGTAAAGCGTGTGTGATTGTCATTGGACCAAGAATCCATTTTTGGTCATCCGTTTCCGCGGTACTGCCAGCTGTAAGGATTGCACTGTGAGGAAGAATCGAAGATGTGGAAGCTTCAGTACGGATCCAGTCTCTTGCGTCAGAAGGCAAAATTGCCCAGAGCCGATTACACGCATAACAACCAGCTTTGACGGCACACTCGAGACTTCGGCAGGTTTCGTGATGAGCTAACGGCTGCATCTCTGCCTTTGTCAGTATAGAGTCTATGAACTCTTGGCAAGCCGAGCATAACATCTTCCAGGATGATATTGCCTTGTGTCTGACAACCACAAGTAGTAGTACCTTAATGGCTAATAAATGATAAGGCAATGAAGAGGAGGAAATCTGTCAGCGGCAGATATTTCAACGGAGACTGCGAGACTTTATACATGCAACTAGTCACAGGCCAAAACACAGTCAGCGGCGGCAACCAACCGACTGATAGGCAGGTGAGGTGGGCGTCCAAGTTGGTTTTTGATTGGTTCTAGTACGAATGGTTCAGGTCGATATGCCGGGTAGAACAATTTGTTCTTCCTTTGGGATGCACCTAGAGAAGACGTGACGAAGCTACTCCCCTTGTCATTCCCTCCTAGGCACTGCCACCGCCAACGCCATACACCTGCAACCTGCCAGCCTTACTGCCTGTACGGTCCACAATTTTCATAGTCTCATGAAATATGCACTGCTTATTCTCAAAATTTCAGTACTCAGGCTCCAATAGTAGGCACGTATGAATGGCAAAACTTGGCTTATTTGATAGCCGTGCAGCCACCGAGAGGCTCTTTTGTGGTTGCACCGGTACATGTATGCTTTTGTTGGAGCACCACAATTGAATTGTGTCGTAGGGTATTTATGGCGTTAATTGCTGCCCGTAATTAACGGCGTCGTTTTTGCGACAAATTGTCTGAGATTGGATTGGGTTGCTTAAGCTTCAAGTATCCTCTAAAGCTTTGATCATGGGGCATTTGTCGTCGAAACTCCCTTCAGGGCGTGCCGGTCTGTCCACCTGCAGTACACGTAGCTACGGTCTTTCCCTGGTTGAGAGCAGACACCTCGTTGGGAGGAATCTCCTGGACGCAGCGACCGAATCGATCGCATTCGCCATCTTGTGAGCCAACGGAGCAAGCCGTTCCCACGTTTCCAAACAGGGCATTGCCCTTTCCGTCGATGAAGTTTCGCGGCACCGTAGCTATCATTTTCATATGGTCAACGGACGGTAATAACATGAAGTAATTCGTGCGCTGTGTAGGCAATTCAGAGTCGACAAGGAAGTGCTTACCTGCGAAAGCATTGTCAACGGCGAAGGCAGCGACGGTCAGGAAGATAGCGGAGATCTGCATGGTGGCGGTAGTAGTTGTGAATTGTCCAAGGATCAAAGGTATATGTTGATTATAATAAGGTAGTTGAAGTGCACCTGGCAGCTGTAGAAGAGAAAAGACGGAATGCGATGATTGGAAGTTGTTTGTTGAAGATCAATGTTGAATAATCGGAAATAAGTTGCCTTTATACGCAGCCACGTCAAGGCAATATGACTCTCGTGCACTATAACATATGCATTCTAAGCTTAATTCTTAATTTCTTTCCTTTCTCCAGTTCTCGTGGAGTTGCAGCGCTTACTTTCTCAAACGATGTTGAGACGCCTGACATCCGCGACAGTGAGTTTGACCTACTGTTGATACTTGTTGTCTTATAGACAAGGGATGGATAGGGCGATGGGCCCGTTGTTCAGCTTCTCGGTTTCGGTGTCAATCAGCGCAGGGAACTGGGGAATCTGGGTGATCGCTGGCTCTTCTGGGCTAAACTACCGCTAAATCCTTCCTGTCCGATAGAACCCCGAAAACGTCGATGCATCAAACAGCCAATGTGCCCATCTGTACCTTAGGTATGTACAGTACCATGGTCTTTGTTCACGATAATAATGTTCGGGCAATTCTTCTGTTGGATAGAAACTCCTTGCTGCATCCCTTACCTTATCAAACAATGGAGAGGAAGTATCAGGCCCAATGCGGCTGCTACAACTACGCGGCGTTGCTGTCTTGTTTCTTCTATCCTGAGCTTTCGTGACTGGATTACACCTAATGTATCGGGATGATGCTGATAGAAGAAACAAATATGGTCCATCGTTCAGGATACAGGGTTTGCCTTACCACGGGATGCTTTCTCGATTGAGTCAACGTTGGTATGCAGTTGGAAAACTGACACAGTTGTGTTGGTTTCGCATGTCCGTGGATCCCGCGGAAGCCAAGCGAGTTTTAGCAGATCAACACCGACCGGCAGCCCACCTGGGCATCAGACACACTGCGTGAGCAATGGACAACGTCAAAATAAGACGCTGTTGAAGATGGCTACTAATATTGGCACATACTAGTACCCTATCGTAGTAAAGTAGTAAGCATTTACATTCCCCATGAGGTGCAACGGCCCCCCTCCCTGTTGGCGTGTAGTTACGCTAAGCTGACACCCAAATGTCAACAACTGTTCGGTAACAATAGGTACTTAGTAGCTAAAGCATACACTGCGGCTTTCCCAATTCAACTCCACAGGGTCCCAAAGCTGCTTCTCGAGGGTCACCGATGCCTCGCCAAAGACAACCTTACAGTCGACAACATGCCGTTGGTCATTCGTGATGCGACCTTTGTCCGCCATCGTATTCACCCACTCCATAATGACCAGGAACGCACTCGTATCCCAGAGTCCGTCACGCCGAGGAAAGTCCTTGAAGAGCTGGACAATGGCATGTCTCACCTCAGGCAATGTGCACATGAGAAACACAGTACCCAGAGGCCAGGTCGGGCCGTACTCGATCGTAAAGACCTCTGCTGCCTCTTTGCAACTACGTTGGTCAGCATCGTGCGCCTCGAGGATCTGCCTGCTCATCGATATAATATCCATGAACGCCAGAGTGATGCGCTTGGTTTCCTCCAGATCAGTCCACCCGGCACAGCGTATCACGCTCCAGAGGTACAAGTAATGTATTCTGAGGCTCAGAGCCTGGTAATAGCCCCGGGGGTTCCATATTTTATCATCCTCTGCTTCGACGGCGAGTGGCTGAAAAGCAAGATACCAGGCGTCAGTGAAGCGTACAAAGCTCCGGACACGTGCCTGAGAGCTAGGCGAGCTGTATTCGTGCGGCGGTTTCTCTGGTAAAGGCGCCGTCGATCCCTCGACTACGAACCCAGTGTAAAGCGGTGCATGGTGCTCGACATGGTGGCGGACGACATTCCACCAACGGCGGGCCGCTTCTAGCGTCTCAAACGTCGTGGGCATCTCGTCGACAGCGTATTGCGCCTTGCGTCCGCGGCAACACCACGGTACTCGGCTCTTCGTCTCCTTGGGATGATCTCCGCCGGGGGTCCAGGATTGAAGACTCAGATGCTGGAAACTAGTTATCACTTCTTCCAGCAGAGGGCTCGGTTGCGCGCCTTGAATTTGTGGGCATTGGTCAAGGATTCGGGACCCATGGTTGATGTGGTTCAGTCCAGCTGCCTTGTTGCCTCGGAAACATTCGAAGATGATGAACAAGAGACATGCTAGTAATGTGCGTTCGAGGGACATCGGTGTTGAGTAGAGGATATTCATCGACTTCGTGTAGTGGAATAGAGCATCCGAGTTGAACCTCCCTCGCCCGAGGAGACGTTGTTCTCGTATAGTAGCCCCCACGGCCGCGGCGCCTACGGCCAAAGCTGCGTGTTTGATGGCCGGATCATTCCATGAGAGTTGTGGGATAATTTGAGTGAGTAGATCGGATCGGAACAGGATGGCGGTGTTGGTGAAGGATAGCCAGTAGTCAAAGTGGTCCTTCTCCAGCTGGCTCGAGAAGACGAGAGCCGAGTAGTTTGGCTCCATGAGTACGACATCGAGGGCTTGGTTCTGTCCTTGTTTGGGCTTGGGATACAACAGCCGATGTTTAGGTGGAAGCTTGGAGGACTGAGCTTTGCTTGCTTTATATCCTCCACAATGGCCTTGATACTTCAAGCAAGGTGCGCATGCTGGTCTGCCCTCGTCACATTTGACGCGGCGAAGCCTAGAAATGATCAGTATCACCACTGATATTGTGTGAGGTTAACCCTCTATATGAGGCTTACTTGCAGGTTACGCAGCCACTGCGAACCTTTGGCTTGCTGGCTCGGACCTGTTGTGGTTTTGATTCGAGGGCGAACTTGGTGATCATGGGGCTGAGATCTCTCATGGTAACGTGTATTGAAAGCCCGCAGCTGAATCTTCTGCCGTTCCAGTCTAATCGAATGGAGGACAGGTGGTGCAAAACACTTTCATTATATGGACCATTGGTAGTTTCGAAATGACAGAATGATGTCGAGTGAAAAGCGAAATGTCAGCTGGGATGACAATCCTGAAGCGGGTGATGTTAACATTTTCGGTTCACCGGTAGGGACTTGCCAGGGTTACCTCCGACGTAAGCACTAGCGCATGTCTGGCCAGATCAATTCTTTATTGCCATGCACACACCACGATAGCAACGATGTAACGGGTCTCTTTATTTTGCTGCCTGGCTCGCTTAAAATCACTCGAACTCCGGACCCAACTTCTGTCCAACAGCCATTTGAATCACCTGGATATAACACCTCTCATACCTGTACTGAGATCCGAATGAGGAGATGTCTTTCAACTCTGGCGCCCAATTCGATTCTTCCCACGTTGCCAGGTTTCTCTCACCCATGTCGACTTCAATTCCGACAACAGAATCAGAGTCCGAATCATGTGGGGCCAGAGACTTAGAGTTGTATCCAACATGATCCTAGTGAGAGAGAGCCCTCAGCCAGTAGATTGACATTAGGCTAACCAGACGTCATTGGCCTCAACATGTGATGATCCTAGCTCCCTCAATAACGGCCGTATCAATGTCACATTCTATGATCCTGACGGTTAGCTAAACTGACGATACATCGACATGCTGGAGCCAACTCCGGGATCTGCCCACCGGTGAACTTCAACCGCGGCACGCCCAACAGCGAATTAAGATACTTACTTTGTTTAGGCAGCTACCACGAACCTTGCCCTTCAAGAATCTGTCTTTCTATTCATCTTCCGTCTAATTCTTTGCGCCAGTCAACGTGGTTCCAGCTTGGAAACTGAAAACTGATAACAACAACAGCAGCAGCAGCCAAGAATCAGCCGTGTTTTGATGGATCATGAACCCCGCCTGAGGGCCCTGGACAACGTCCCCAACCTCCGAGCATAGGCCGCAGTTCCCTTACTCCACGCGAGTGACTATCGACTTCTCACAAACTTGGTGTGCCTTCCATTCGCCACCGTAGCACCCCTCGTCCCATCGGCTGGGTTCACCTTGTAGATGTTGACGTGGGTGAACGCCAAGCTGCCTCCGACCTTCTCAATCTTGCCCTCGATCTCAATCTCGTCACCCAACTTGGCGCCTGAGAGGTAGCTGATGTTGATATCGACGCTCACACCCGTCGCTTCACGGAGGTCCCACGCCGCGATCGCCAAGCCGCCAGCCCAGTCCACGATAGTCGCCGACACACTGCCGTGGATGCTGCCGGATGTGTTCAGGTGATTGGCAGTAACAGGTAGGCGCGCGATGATGAGGCCTTTTGAGGCGTGAGTGAGCTTCAGGCCGGGGTTGAAGAGGAAGGCGTAGATTGGGGATGCGTTGCAGCGGGTTGAGATGTAGTTCTCGATGTGAGCGAAGGTGGCGGGGTCCGACTGCGCAGAGGGGCCGGTAGCGGGTGGTGGCTGAGATGGTGTGGAAGACATTGTGAAGCCTTTGGTGAGTTTCTGACTGCTGTTATTGGTAATGACAGAATGTGAGGTTATTTGCAGAAGTCATTCAAGATGCCGGAGGTCAACGACACTGTTGAGTTGTTGAGTGACACAATCCGGGAGCGGAGGCACGTGCGCCAAAGATTTCTTTGCGGTCGGGCGGACTCCGTCCGAAGTCGGCCCGGACGGTCCCACTTTTGCCGTCGATGCGGAAGAACTGAAGGTTGTGAACGATGCTCAACACTGGACGTCGCAAGCAAAGCGATCAAGAACTACCGATGGAATAGAAATCGAAGTTTCTTATATGAAGATGACCGTTATGAGATACCCTTGACAACTCCCAGCAAGTGGTTAGGAGCTGATCGAATGCAAGCAGCAATACTAATTGAAACGGATCGTGTCACCCGGAACGCGTACCCATCTTGAGATGAGATGCACTTGGTCTTGTAGCTGGCAGAACAGCAACTGACAAGGCAATGTGGAAGCTGACACCAGAAATATGGCTCGTCTGCCGTCAGCAATTGCGACCAATAAGGACAGCACGAGATGGAATGCGCCCCAATATACTCGGATCAATTGTCGCGACTGCAAAGCGAGTAATGCAATCGCGACATTGCTCGAAGTGACGACATTCGCATGGCGCTGCTCTGTCCAACTTGGGCTGGCGTCAACTGCAGATTTGCCCTAGCCGTTGTGTGGAACAATTAGCAACATGATCATTGGGCTGGTTTCGGCAGCGTGGAGCCAGTTCCGTGTCAGCAAGCAGGGATTCCTTTGAGGCCGTTATGTCCGGCCGGTCAAGATGCCATTGTGAGACCCACTTGGAGAGCCGATGTGTATGTTGACATTAACCGACGTTTGGTATAAGTGAAGAGGATATTCACGATTCTCTGGACAATTTGGTGGTTTGTAGGACTTCCGTTTGTAGTGTCATTTCGTTCCTTATACGTTCTGCTGACAAGATGGCAAAATCAGACACAGCACCAGCAACTTTTGCGATTGACGAAGATGGTGCTGAAGGGGCGAGCATACCATTTATCGTTGACTGGGAAGGAGAAAATGATGTTGAGAAACCGACAAATTGGTCGGTCTCCAAGAAATGGGCCAACGTCCTTCTCATATCGACACTCACTCTGATCTCGTGAGTTTGACCTACCGTATTTACGGCTTGAGTCATGGTGATTGTTCGATATTAATAATTCCTCGCAGTCCTTTCGGCTCTTCAATGTTCGCACCCAGCACAAGTGAGACAATGAAAGAATTCCACTCCACCAACGTCGACCTCAAATCCTTCAGTGTTTCCATCTTCGTCCTCGGCTATGCCTTCGGACCTTTGATTCACGGACCACTAAGCGAGCTTTATGGCCGGCTCATTCTATACCACGTCAACTCTCTCCTCTTCATCCTAGCCAATGTCGCTTGCGCATTGTCGGTTTCTCTGCCGATGCTAATCGTCTTCCGTCTCATCACCAGCCTCGTTGGTTCTTGCCCGTTAGCTATCGGTCCAGCTAGCGTCTCGGACTTGTTCGTCCAGGAGGAACGAGGCAAGGGGCTTGCTGTCTGGAACCTCCCGGTACTTCTCGGCCCTGCCATGGGGCCGTTGGTTGGAAGTGTCAGGCCCATCCCAGTACACTCGTTATAACGATTGTCACACTATGCCTATGAAACAATATGGTCTTACACAAGCATGACTAAGTTTGCCAAGGATATGCCAGTATAAAGGGTCTTCCACTCACTATATAGATAGTCGGGATATTCCCATAGCCACTCGTTCTTCATACTCATCAATACATCCCATTGACCCCCTACCTGATAATCGCTGCCCAACAGGAAGTTACTTATCAGCGGCCACGGGGTGGAGATGGAACTTTTGGTTTCTAGCAATTGCGGTATGCACTCTACCTTACGCATCAAATTCTGGTCAGCTGTAACTCAGAACTAACAAGATGTCTAACAGATGGGAGCGATTTATATCCCTACGCTGTTACTTCTCCGAGAAACTCATTTGCCAACTCTGCTAGAGTGGAAAGCTCGAAGACTGCGCAAGAAGTACGGAAATCCAGAGATCTCATCCATCTTGGCATCAAAAAAGTCTCCGCGGGCCACCTTTCTCAACGCGATTGTTCGACCGACCAGGCTTCTCGTCTACTCACCTATCGTTCTCACACTCTCTATCTGTGCTGCAGTGAACTACGGCTTCGTCTACATCATCTTCACCACCATGACCTCGACGTTCATGAGCCGATACGGTCTAAGCCACGGCGACGTCGGCCTGACTTACCTGGGATTCGGAATAGGAAACATCGTGGGAAACGTAACTCTTGGCGCTCTTTCCGACAAGCTTGTAAAAGCCATGGCCCGCAAAGGAGAGATGAAGCCCGAGTACCGACTCCCGCCACTGATACCAGGCAGTCTCCTAGTACCCGTCGGATTATTCCTGTACAGCTGGACCCTGCAGTACAACGTTCACTTCATGGTGCCTCTGGCTGGCACCCTTTTGGTGGGAGTCGGTACCATTCTCATCTTCATGTCTATCAACTCCTACTTGGTCGATGCATTCACCGAGCACGCGGCCAGCGCGGTTGCTGCGAGCACTGTGTTGCGTAGCTTAGGTGGAGGACTGCTTCCGCTTTGCGGAGGTAAGTTGTATGAAGCCGTGGGTGATGGATGGGGTAATTCAATTCTGGGGTTTATTGGAGTTACTTTTATTCCTGCCGTGTGGCTGTTGTACAGGTTTGGAGAACGACTCAGGTTGAGTTCTCGGGTCTAGACACTAGTTGCTTGCCCACAAAGCGACTGATCGTTGAGAAGGCGTAGCAAACAAAATCATACGTAGAGTGTTGTAGATTTGATGCGAAAATTGTTGACAGAATGTTCTTTTCGGTCTGCTGGACTGTAATGCCATCGCTTGTTCCAGTCTTCTTCACGAGCCCTAAGGAAACCCATCCTCATGCTTTTTCGAGACGATCTCCATATCTTCTCGTCGTTTCATGGCCCAATATCAAACCGCCAGAGCGGCACGGGGACTAAATGATTCGAATCCCAACTCCAAATGCCAAAAGCATCCCCAAAAACCAGTCTCAAATTCTTAATCCTTAGAACCACCTCTCAACATCTGGCTCACAGCCCACTTAATCTGCTGATAACGCCATCAGCCAATCCGCTGACTGGAGCCGAGCATCGCCCCCAGGCGAGCCGCATACACAGAACCCCCTTAGCCAACACGCTGTCAGCCAGCACCCCAATAGCACGGCGTTTTGTGTCTGTGGTTTACCTGGATTTTTCTTCCCGAGCGCTCTTGCTTTTCTCTTCTCCAGCTTGTGTACGCGTCTCTTCTTAGAGTCCGCTTTGGCAGTGCCTGACCCTCTACGTACCGGCGGTACCGTATCGGTGGCCGCGGCAGCAGGTGCCTCCCAGTATTGGCTTTGGGATGGAGCGCGGTGGATGTCGATGTGTGACAGATCTCGCTCGATTTGTTCGACGCTCTCGGTGTCTTCCGCAGCCTCTATGGCTGTCTCGGTGGTTAAATCAATGGTTGGCTCTGCAGGGCGCTTCTCTTTCCGAGTGTATTTGGAGCGTAGGTTCTCGCCAAACTTGGCCGCTACTTCTGCGGGTACCTGTAGTTGAGGCAGGGGAGAGGATCCCGCGTCGGCTGTGTCATCATCAATGTTGGCTCGATCATGATGAGTGCGCTCGTCATCTGCGTGATCGAAGCCGTCAAACACAATGTCGTCTTTCTGGCCCCCGGCATCAGCAAGGTGAAGCCGAAGATCCTCCTCCTCACTGTCATAGTCGACATCGTCAATACCGGAGCTGGGAAGATTCTCCCTGTGGTTAAGTGCGCAGAGCTCGTTGTTCACCTTTCTTGCTTCGGGTTTGGGGGGAACCGAGCCATCGAGAATAACATTCTCCTCCTAAGAATGAATGGTAAACTTGATGCCCGATGCCGCTCCTAGTTTTCTGACGAATGGAAGGCATTGACCAGGACGCTTGAAAGTCCCACAGGGGCCTCGACTGAGATGAATCTCAAAGTGAGGCGCTGCGCCTTGGGTTTTGAGATGTTGACGAAGGCGATCGAGGTCTTTGAGCGAGGCGTTATGCTTCTTATCGATCTTGATGTCGAAATATTTCAGCATGGCGTATGCTACATGGGTAGCCAACTTCTTCTCGATGTGCCCCGCCCGCCAATCGCCGCAATTCTTCGCCGTCATTGGCTTTCCTCCCCCGTCGTAGAAGGTTCGCAGATTCAAGCCCAGGTGACGGGCCATGTTCTTGACGCGTTTATGCCACTTGGCGTGGTGGAGAAAGTTCTTCTTGTCTATCTCTCGATGAGGGAGGAATGACTTCCCGCTCACTGTGAGCTTCACGACGTTGAGCTGGTTATTCGCATCCCGCTGGCAAATGAAACCACAAGTCTTGATGGTAAAGGTGTACTTGACGTACTTCTCGTTGTTGGCACCATGGTACTCGATGCTGCCCATAGACTGTAGGATCCGGAAATCTGGTCCAGCCTGCCGATAGATGAAGAGGTCATCACTCGCCTCCCAGATAGCATACTCAATCTTGGCTTGCTCGGCGTTGAGACGCATTTGCCCTCGGCCGACTTCAATCAAAGCATCGAAATGCGGACGGCCCTCTACCATCCTCTTGAGGAAAAAGATCTTCTCTTTTGGTCTGTCAGAGATGACGACATGTTCGAGCACTGATGCTTCTCTCTTGATCTCGACGTGACCCTCGTTGGTGTTTGTAGACGTTGGACTTCGGGTTGCGGAAGGCGCGCGGTGCGTGCCGAGATTAAGTTGGCTTGAAGTACGAGGCTCGACGGTGGGCAACGCGACGTCACATGATCGTCGCGCCAGGGCAATAACTAGATGAGGTGTTTAGCCAGGTGCGTTCGCGTAACAAGGACAGGCTGTGTTACCAGGACTAGGAAAGCGCCGCTTCTCCCCAGTGCTGGCAGCACCTTGATTGATCGAACGGACTATATAATCCATGCCGTTCTCTTCGTTCGGTTAGTGACGCTGAGGATTTGAGACTCGGAAAGTGAAGTCTGGTGAGAAGGCTTCTGACTTCGAGATACTAAGGTTGGAACCACAGACGTTCTGGAGGCTCAAACTTCGAAAGAAGATTTCTACTTGCGCCCTTTCGTCAAGTCAGTGGCGAGAAACATGGTACACAGAAAGCTGTGAGTGGAAAAGTGAGACGCGTCGCGAACGCGATTGTTGGGAGAGCTAGACGACGGAAGGTGCGTATAGGGCATGAGAGAGCTTACCGAGGAGACCGACGAAGTGAGTGATGAAGAAACCGTGATTCGCGAAAAGGGTATGAGATGTTGAAGCAGCGATAAATCGGTCTTCCAACTGGAACGAGCCGCGGAGAGTTGAAGTTGCAGAAGATCCGTGAGTGAAGCAGAAGCGGCCAGGTCGTGTGTAAAAAAAACCCCGAGGCAGAATGGAGAAAGAGTGTAGTTGAAAGGAACGAGCTCAGTGAGCAGCTGCGACTGCTGAAATGAAACTCAAACTCGTGTTTGCGTGTAGTCGCGATGCGTTCCGGGAAAGACTGTTAAGGTAAGAAGGATATCGTAGCCTGTTGGGAAAGAGAAGGGCTGGGAAGATGTGAGACTGAAGTGAGGTGTGAATGAAGCAAAGAAGTGAATGGTAGGTGGCGCGCGGTAGTCAATCTTGAAGCATTGAATGACCGTGGACCTGGTGTTGATCGGAGAAAGAGCGTGATAAGTAGTCTAAGGTAGTCTAACTCACACGATTGATGAGTATCGGAAGGAACACTCGCTGTACAGAAGGTGTCTGAGAACGTGTGAATCACGGGTGATGGCCGGGTAGCTGAATATCGTGATGTCGGCGAGGAAGTGGATGAGCACCAGAGACGGGTTGGTGAGGTGGGTATGGAATCCAATCACGACAAGGCAGATACGCAGCAACTCACGAGGCAGCATCTCATTGGGAAGGAGCGACAGCAGTGAGACGACGTGAGGTCCGACGTGAATTCTGCGGGGCGTGTAGCACACACACTACATGTCAAGATATCGAAACACCAGGTAAAGACGGAACTTGAATTTGGGTGTGGTTCCAAATGTTGCAATCATGAAACCCGTAATCCATTTTCAGACGCCTAACCCAATGCCCATTGCCGTAGCCATGACCCGGAACCTCATTTTATTTTACCGCAAACAACTTTTAAATCGTGTTGAGGGAATAATTTACTCGTCATCCTCCTCCTCCTCAGCCTCAGCGGTGGTCTGGGCGATACCTTTGTGGTGCGTTAGCATAAGTGCTCTGAGAGAGTTGGACATGTAGATGGCAACTTACGGTCCAAATCACGCTGGCCGGACTGGGTGATGCGGCGGCCACCCTTCTCCTCGTCCTTCTCGAGGACACCGATCTTCTCAAGAGCCTGGCAGATCTTGCGGTCGACGGAGCCGGAGGCGTCAACGTGGTGGGAGGGGCGGACACCGCGGTTCTTGGCGGAGCCGTGGACCTTGCGGAGGCGGCCGACGCCGACGGTCTTGCGGACGTAGATGTGGCGGGCGACGGAGGCGGCGCGGACGTAGAACCAGTCAATGTTCTGGGGAGGGAGCTCCTTGGCGGGGCCGGTCTTGACAATATCAACCCAACCTGATGGCAGTCATTGGTTAGCGATGAGGCGTTACACAAGAAGGATATTTGTGTGGAGGTTAGACGTACCGGGGATGGGCAGCTTGCCCTGACGCTTCAAGAAAGCGGCGTACGCGTTGATGAACTTCTGCGCCTGCACCGGAGAAAAATTACCAATTAGCATGATTCCGTCATCAGAAGTCTTTCGACTCCCTCGCGCCTGCTCCGTTTCCTCAAATTGTGTATCCCTGTTCTCCCAATTGTATTCCTCGCCGACATGTCCTTGACAACTCGACGAGCCCGGCCTGCTTTGCACCTCCTGTCGGTCACTTTGTATCTCTTTTTCCTTTCCCCATGTGTCATGATCGCGACATCCGCGAGATGCACTGAGGGTCTGTTTCAACAACCTCAAAATGTGATCAGGCTTCGGGGTGTACTCGCGAGATCGTGACCGGAGTGCAGTTTGGCGCAATGGGCTTTCGAGGATGTGGCGCGGACAGTACGGTGTCATCGGAGAGTACTCTTGTGTTGATCTTGGTCGCAATTCGAGGGTTCGAAGAAATCTTGCGGTTCTTGTTTTGTGTTCGGGCTGAGAGGTCTCCAGACGGACAAGAACGTGGTGTTAACCTACATCGACATCGCGAACGTTGATTCCACCGGCCATTTTTGCGGTATTGGTTGGGTATTGGGGGGAGAAGGGTGGACTGGGTGCGGCGCTGGGCGATAAAATTTGGCGATGAGGTCGGTCGGTCGTTCAACAGGTCGAGAGGCGCAAATGCACGAAAGTTGCGATGGTAAATTTTTGGTGGTTCTCAGAGCTTGGCGCAGGGCTTTCTGCCCTGCGGGGCGGCATGTCACGTGTGTCACCCAGCCAAAATGGGGTTTTTTTCTCGACCACACCGGTCACCGGGCTGCCACCGAGCCTCTACATCAGGTCCGAACGCTGATTATCTAAGATTTCGAGTTCAAGGGCCACCCCAAGTGGGGCAAACGCTCGAGTCAATGAGGGGCTCACGCTCAGGACATTAGAGCTTCACTCTCATGACTTGATACTGTTCCGGATACATCAAAAAGATAACATCTCCTTGACTCTATGGTCACCGAAGCTTCGAGCCTCGCATCATGTTTTGGCTGTCATGACCAAGCGGCCTTATACAGTAGCATCATCAATCATAATGGTCAATAGTTATCCCATCTTGAGAAGCAGGCTAACATGCTATCACAGTGTCACCATTTGTCAATTTTCATTCAAAGCAGTTGCGATCGCATACATTCATTCTATCACTATCCCTATTATATGCCTGACCGAGAGGCGTATGCAAAACTCCTCCTAATGCAAAATCCAAAATGTCTCCGAAGGGAATATTCTCCACACCGTGCAACAAACACAGGCTCACCGACCCAGGTATCATTTTCACCCATTGCCCCTTTACCAGAATTCGTTTCCCATTTCCAGTTCTTTTTTCACCAGTTCTACATCTTCCGTTTGCACACAACGTCCGTCATGGTCAGTCCGTCACACCTAGGCCCAGTTGGCCAAGACAGCCATCACACAAGCACCGAGCGCGACACAGCCGAACGCAAAGAGCTGCACCTTGAGCGGTGAGTTTCTCATCTGCGGGTTGAACATGAACTCGTGTGCCAGCAGCTCGACCAAACCCGTGTACATCAGAATACCGGCACTGATAGAGTCGAAGATTCCGTTGACAAGAGTCTGTGTCTTGGCGCTGTTCGGCTGAGCGGCAATACCAACGGCAATAGCGATGGGAGTCGACAGGCCGTAGATGATGGCGAGAATGTGAGGCCAGTATCGGCCGTGGGAAGGCCAAGTGGCAGTGGCAAGTCGAGAGCCCAAACCGAGACCCTCGAAGAACTGGTGGAAAGTGAGAACGATGAGAAGGACGACGAGCTCGTCGCTAGTGGCGAGGACGAGTCCAATGAAGATGGAGTGGAACACGACACCGAATTCGAGGATGAAGATGGCAATCAGCTGGCCGGCGAGGCCATTGTGAGTGTCTCCCTCAGTGTGGTCACGAGCGTGGCCTAGATGATCCCTTCCACCGGGCGGGTAGCTAACGTCGTCGGGAAGTCCAGGCACCTTCTTGGGGTCTACAAAGCCAACGCCCCTCTCAGCGTCGTCGTGGGGGCAAACCTCGGTAGCGCTCGTCCCATCGGTTCCAATGTCCTTGGTCTTGTTGGTCATGCTTGAGCTGTGGCCAAGTTCGTGGTCATGGCTGCCGAATGCTGACTGGGCGACGTTGGATGCGATCATCTCAATCAGGAACATGACCATGACAGTCATCAGGCCGATGGCAAAAGCCCAGTCGTAGCTGCCCAGCATTGGCTCCAAGCACTCATTGTGCAGAGCCTCGACACCAGGTGACAGCAGATGCATCCAAGCGGTTGCGATAATGACACCGGTACCGACGTACTTGAAGATGAAGAAGGTCATCTTGGGAACGTGCATTCTGGTGGTCCTGGCCAGGAAGATGGGGAGGAAACCACCGAAAAGCGAAGCAACCATGATGATGAAGATGGAGGCGATACGCAGTCCCTTGTTGCTGAGATCGACGGCGGCGGCGCCGCACTCGTTGACGGCATCGGCACCTGAGCCATCATCCTGGCGGAGGGCGAGGAGCTTCGCTGCTGAGATTTCCAGAGGATTCATCTTTGCTGGATTCTTGCTGATTGCGTTGCAGAGATCTTGCGACGGGTGCTTGCTTTAAGGCTCTGGCCTTGGTCACCGAAAATAGGTATACACCCGGAAGGCTGTGACAGCAAGGTGGACGAGCTCGAGGTACAAACGGTGGTACAGGTTGGAGCAACGGCTTTTTGATCGACCGGAAGTATGCGTCAAGTGCCGGCGGAATGGATTCGAAGCCTGTGCGTCTCCGAGGAACTGGTTCGACCGGCGGCTAGATGCGTGTACCAAGGTCATACGACAGGCCAAAGTCGTCGGAGAGTCGCAATGAGATGGCGACAGGGAGGAACAACGATGAGCTGTAGGGCGCGGGAGAGAGGTGTGCGTGCTGGAAGATGGATCCTCGCAGGTCTTGGCTCGCAGCTTGGCGTCTTGGTAGATGGAGAGGATTGAGGCTCCAAGACAGGCGCTGGGCAGTATATATTATGCGCCGAATGCAGGGGATACTCTGATGGAATCGATGAAGAGGTGGAAATATCTTTGACGATTCTCAAAGGGGGGAAGGGTGAGTGGGCTGCGGTGGTTGCGCGGCGTACGGCGTTGCAAGATGTGTCGAGAACCCGGATGGTCGTCGGTCGCGGAGGGGGGTTAGGAGGGCATAAGAGGACGGAGGGAACCCCCGCTTAAGCAACAAGGGTGGACTCGACGAGGACGGAGGAACCACAAAAGCAAACGGGAAACCCGGCACCTTGCAGACCAAAGAAAGAGAAAAGATCTTGTTTCGGTTCTACCGTCCGGTGGTGGTTTTTTCTGTGGTTCTTTGGGATGGCGTGGCTGATCAAAGGGAGACGTCAAGGTGGATTGTTATGTGCTGATTTTCTTTGGGACTCTCGATCGATGTTCTATCGCAGGCCGTCTGATACCTAGATAGATAGGTACTAAGAAAAAGATTTACGAGATGGAATTATTGGACTATGAGGGACGAAAAGAATATCCTGACTTGCAGGGAACCCGTTTGGACAAGTCGATGGCCTCGGAGCGGACACGAAAGGCTGTCTAATCTTTAGAGTTTCGACGGTTCACTTTGTCGAAGTTGACGGTGATACCGAGCAAGAGGTACCTTTGAAGAAACGAGCTTTGCAAACTCGGAGAGAACCTGGAAAGATCCAGGAACGGTTGACCAGAGCGACACACGGGTGTCAGGCGCGGACGGCAGGCGCAGGGACGGGCACAGACGGATGCGCAAAATGGGAAAATGAGGACCTTGATGGCCAAACGTCGATGCAGATCCACTTTCGCACCTTGTTCTTACCTCACGGGTCTCTTATCAAAGACAACCCAACACCTGCTCCCCTGCAGCTTCCGCATTCATGAAACAAAGATAGAGCAGCGCAAATCGGGCAATATGTACATGATGAATGCTGTAATTGCCCTCAGCTGTATCCTCCATCATGAGCAGAATCATACAATCCGTGATCGCGAAGCATCATTGCTAAATCAGCTACGTGTACCATAAATACAAGCAGCTGTCGCCATCGTGCAAGAACGACTGGAGGTTGGCCAACGCACCTGCGCTGACTGACTATCAGAGTGAGGACCTTGATGGTTAAGCTAGTGCGGAGAACCTTGATGGCCAGCTTGCGGACCAATGAGAGGCCGAGTAAATAGGCACAAAATCTGATGGCGTGGGGCACCCGCGGCCAGCTAGCGCGACGGACCAAGGATGGTGCCAGTTGGATCCAGGAATGAGGTGGGATGTCTTGACGTCGCGAGGAATGCGCTCATTATTAGATACTCACCCAATGGTGAGTGGTATCTCTGATTTTGCTGTGTTGCTCGAAAGGGGCAAAAATACCGACACAGTTAAACCATAATTCTGAATAATGATTGGGGATCAATTCTCGTGTAATATGTTACGGCTGAATGAGTTGAGATAATCTAAGAGAAAACTGATGTTCAGCTCTCCTCCGATCTGCCACAAATCTTAGACAAGCAGGAGCACGTGTTGTGTCTGTCAAGTGCTCTGTAAAGTCTTCGATACATCTTCAAGTGTAGTACAGATGATTGTACGCCCGGTGGCACTTTGAATGCGGGTGTCTTCCATCGTTGATCACCGCAACGCCAAGAAAGCTTGGCCCAAGCCGTTTCTGCTAGTCAAGCTTCAGCCAAGCCGCTCGCTTGCTTCCGTCCATGATCTCGTCATGAAGACCCCAAAAGATCAAGGTGGGATAATTCTCGCAAGTCATCAAAGACATCGAGAGCCGACCCGACACTCGGCCGCTACTGAGTTTTGGTTGGTCCCTCCCGGCTTCCATTTCCGAGAGAACAAGCGTCACAGGCGACGTTGCATTCTCTTGTCCCTTTTCATGCAGCTACCACGGCTCTTCCGACGCCATCCTGCATCGATAGTTACGGCGTCACCTCGGGTTGCGTCCAAGGAGACCCATAGCCATGAAGCCGGTATCTGTCGAGTCCAACCTTGACAGGCGGTGGCTGCTCAGGTGCTAAGGAACTCCTACATGCAGGCGTGTCAGGATGCCGGGAACTTCTGCCACGCGCCGACTGCCTGATTCTGCGACCGAGACGTCGGGAAGAACGTCGCATCGGGGAAGATTACCGGTGGGTACGTGTAATATGGCAAAAAAAAAAAAAAAAAGGCCCAATTAACTCCATCTCATGATGAAAATTGGATTTCCACGCCCACCGTGCGGAACGGCGAGTCGAGCTTGCGCAGGTCGATGGCGCTGCCGAGACTGAACAGGAGGGACTTGACCCTCCCCTCCCACAAGACCCCAATCTTCATGTTCTGATCCAGCCGTGCCTTGATGACGCTGCCGTATTCATCCGCGCCTCTGGGTGACCCAGCCGTGCCGGCATCCGCCGCCTCCTTCGTCCCATCCACCGCAGCAGGATCGTCGTCCAGTCTCCACTCCATCTTCGCCTGAAAGCTGCGGTCTCTCGGCTTATTCTTCCGCTCCTGCTCTGGCTCTTCCACGACAAGCCTCGGCTGCAGCTTGGGAGCCTCGGGCTCCTCGTCCAGCCTCCACTCCAGCTTGGCCTGGAAACTGCGGTCCTTTTTGACAAAGCTCTCGGCCGAGAGAGCGGGCTCGAGGTTGCGGGTCAAGTTCTTACGCCACAGCTCCATGCCCACGGACCAATCGCTCTCGTAGCTATACACGTTGAAGTCCATCCTCGTCGCGAGACTGCAGTGCTTGCCGGCCACCACCGCGTAGCTAGCGCTGATATTGCCCATCAGGGGGTTGATCGTCATCGTCGCCGTCAGAGGGGTGCCGCGGTGCTCCGGGAGCGTCGCAAAGCGCCCGCCGAAACTGACGCCGCCAGACTTGTTAAGCAGGCCGTAGTAGATCTCTCCACCGGCGCTGAAGCGTCCGTAGATTCGTTCTTTCGCTTCGTCCGTGGGTCCGCCCAGCTTCCCGCCAGCTCGTAGAGCTTGTATATCTTCTGTGTCACCACCGAAGTTGTATGCGCCTCTGAAACCCAGCAGACCACCATCAGACGAGCCCAGACCTTCGATGGCGTACCTGCCGACGTCGTACTGAGCCATTCCCAGGACCGTGCCTCCGTTGCGCAGAAACTTTCCCGAGACGGCGCTGAGCTGGAGTTGCAGCGCGGGGGATATCCTCTTGACGACTAGGGCCTCGAGCATAGACTCGGGGAGGTACAGGCGGCCGTATAGCAGGGAGGCGGCGGCCGGACTAAGGAGGGGGTATGGCTTCCAGTCGGTTCGGGGTGGGAGGTCGGCGAGCGGTCGGTAGGAGCGCAGCAGCGCCGGCAGCGGTATGGCATCGGATTGCGGGGTGAGGTGCGCGCGGAGGGGCACGGAGGAGTAGAGGTAGGAGATGGAGCCGTCGACTACACCTACGGAGCCGAGTTGGTATGATGTCGCAAAGTGAGGGGTCGCGAGAGAGGAGAGTGTGAGGCGTAGGCCCTGCGGTGTTGGGAAGTTGAGGAGTGCTGCCGATGCCGTAATGTGTCAGTGTTTGTCAAACGTGGAGTATCGCGAATGAGCCCTGCGCCATTCATCAAGCCTACCATCTGCAGTTGCGTTGAGCGTCGAGTACGAGTTGTCGCGGTTCCAGCCGGTGGCGTCGTAGAACGCGCTCTGCACGTAGCTCATGAACTCGCGCATGGTGGGCGGATGTTCAAGGTTGCCTCACAAGGCAACGTGCTCGCGACTTGCTATTGTTGCCGGGACATTTGCTTGAGAGCGCCGTGGGGTGTTTCGCGGATTGATGCCGGATGTAGCTCCCATGTCGGCTGCTTTGATTCCGGGTAAGTTCTGGCATCACCGGCCCCTCGGAGCGGGTCCGGAGCTTTTCGATTACATAACCAGGTTTTTCTTCGGTGCCCGGGAAGTATCTTACTTCAGCAATCAGCTCAAGGACAAAAGGTAGCTCGTAACAACTTCGCTGAGTGGTAATTGGATGCCGATTAAGGCACAATATTTGGATTTCAATGTCTTGTTTGCCGTGGTCAGGGGGGATGTTCAAGAACAAGCCAGTATCATGTCTTCCTTGGTCCACCTTATCTGCGAGCAGCTCCATGTGCGAAAAGGATTGAAAGGCCGCGCCCCGATTGGTGGCCTTGACCGTCAACTCCATAAACAGGACCTTGTCACCTTACTGCTGCTGGCGATATGGATAAGATGGGCTTGCATTGACACCCGATCATGTGAGGGAGTCCCGTATCTTGTGAGACAGTCCGCCACGACCTCTTCTGTCCCGTGAATTACCTCAAGACTAAGATCGCCTGCTTTTACCCGAATTATCAAACGACCAACTTTAAAGATTTCGGCATACAATCGCGAGCAGGGGTGATTTACTTCGTTGAATTTCTCACAAATCAATTCGAGAGACATACGCATCAACAGCTCTCTGATGCAGCGTAGGCATCAACATTCTTTGGGCAGATTTCTTATTCGGAATAACGAGCTCAATCCTTCGGAGATTCAAAGTAATGCTGGTCAGCATCTTCACGTCGAAATGCTAATGATTCGATGCATCACACGCCCGAGGTTCGTCTTTCACGTGCAGCGTGCCTCCCATACCGCATGCTTGGGAATCTATCTCACCTCATCCGGCTTAGTTCCTAGAGAGGAGGCACAGCACAGTGGATTGTTATGTACTCTTGGCGAAATATTCACTCTCATGGGCCTGGAAGTGACGGCCATGTCCGTGGTAGAGAGTGTTTTGCCCCGGTCCTAGGTTGTGCAGGATCGAAAGCCATCTAACGAGGTGTGGATCTTGGTATTGTCGGTTCATAACCATGATTGAACAGAAGACGCGTCCTGACCAATGAAAAGTAACGTTTGGCCGATAACCAATTTGTCTGCGGAAGAAGCGGGGCTGAATCATTGCTTCGGCTCGTCGAGAGTAACTCGGCTTCGATCGTGTCTTCAGCATCTTCACTTGCTCCTGTGACCGAGTCTCAATTCCGATTCTTTCGTAAGGAAGGAGAGGCAAGTACTACTGGATCTCGGGCCTCAATGAAAGTGAGCCCTGATCGCGGTTACTTTCACGCCGCACAATTACCTGCGCAACCAACATGGTGTTATTATCGCCCCTGAAAAGGCACAGTCCCGCGCCAACCAACGCAATCTCGGCCCCCAATGAAAGTACCAACAACGATCGACTCGTCACAACGGTGACACGAAAGAGGGCCAAACACACCCGCACTCGCCTTGGCTGCGGGACTTGTCGGTAAGTGAATCGTTGGCTGCAACATCCAAACACAGTGCCAATATGGGCCTTTCTATCAATACAGTCCAAGTGCTACAAGAGGCTTGTGGACAGTGAGAGTAGCAAGCTGAGTGAATCTTCTTCGGGCACAGATTTCGCCATGTGAGATGTAGCATGGAACGGCCTGCATGCCTACGATGTAGCTCTACAGGAAGAGTCTGCGACTTCATTGTAGACTCAAACAATGAGCGACGCGATTCACTGTTAGCAAAGAGCGCATACGTATCAATTACGCCCCGGCCGAACCCTAATGATGCCATCTACCAAACAGCCCCGCAAACTGGCCGCTGGATCATTTTTTATCAAGGCCACTCGGCTCCAGAGTTTGCTGGATACTTCGACGTTGAGTTCTGGAGCACCACCATCTTGCAGCTCAGCTATCGAGAACAGTGTGTCCATCAAATGCTCGTTGCAATTGGTTCCCTCCACGAGTGTCTGAAGTCTGGCTTAGTCCAACACTCAGAGCCGAATGCCGTCAATCTGTACAAAGTCGCCGAAGCAGAGTATACGAGAGCTGTCAGTCTTCTCAATACGCACATGACCCATCGAGGATGGTCAGCTCTCGAGGTAACACTCGTGTGCTCTATTCTAGGTATCATGTTTGAGTGGCTACGGGGTGGCTATCAGGATGCTGTTCGACATCTCACAAGCAGCTTCAAAATCCTATCAACATGGTTATCCCACAACGCACCGTCATCAACTACCACCTCCTTTGGGTCACCAGGCGGCCATCTGATACGGAGTCAAATAAAGCCAATCTTCCATATTTTGGTTGTGCAATCAAGAATGTTACCGATACCACCAAGTGTTCCGCCTAGGGTAGTCCAAACACCGGAGCAAACCCTGCCCGAGTTTGCTAACGTCGCACACGCTCGAAATGTTCAGCTCGACATCTTGACATATGTCCTCGTGGTCTCGCCAAAAAGCGCAGGAACCAAAGAAAGAACCCCCCCGATCGTAGCCGGACCTTTACGCCAATGGTCCGACAACTTTGCACACTTCCTCTCACAACAGCCTCACCTGGCCTCCGATCCCCGCGTAAAGATACTCAAAGTATGGCGCATAGTTACAGAGCTGATCTCTCTGTCACATTTCTCTTCGGATGAGGGCTCACCGCATGAGCTGGTTATGCAACTCTCTACCTTCCTGGATGACATTGAGAACAGGAAGATATCAATCGACATAGGAGCGGTTGCGCTCTTCTTTTACACCGCTGCTTACTGTCGTCATTTCGAAATCCACAGTCGAGTCATTGCTTTACTGAAGTCGGCAGGTGGGCCTTGGGGACATCACGTTGCTACCAAAGCTTAACAAGAGTACTCTAGAATAGAGGATAACAACTTGGGACCTGGAACTTCTTGAGTTAGTTCCTGCATTAAACCCCCCAGATGATAGACCTAAATCAAGATATTGCATCTGTTCAAGTAATTCGTATTGTATTTGACCTTTCCAATATGGACAATTGGGGCATCTATTGACAGAATCTACGCTTCAAGCAAATCATAAGTAAATGTATCCATGTCGGAACTGAAAACTTGGCCTGTGTTCACAGAGGTCATGACTGGGCCCACTGAGTAACCTTCTGGAAAATCAGCTTGGCATCTTGCTCACTCGAGGACATCTCAGAGTAGTATCGCTGAAGATCGTCCTCGGTTGGCAGTGTCGCTCTGTAATACGGCACGTTCATGTTGAAAATTTGTCTGGACAGCTCTCCGTAAATCTCGGGATGGCCTTGAAGCGACAGAATGAGCCCAGAATCGGACACAAGAATCTCATTGTCCGGCGCCAGTGGCTTGAAGCCACTCGGAACGTCCTGCACGAAGCGCTTGTGGAATTTTGTGATTTTCTAATGGGATTGGGGCGTCAATGGCCGGAAACCGGGGGCTGATTACAGCTAGTATATCTCAATAGAAGGGGACTTACTAGCGACTCCTTTCCAAAGACTGCTTTGCCGTCATCGTTCAGAGCAAGGTCCTCGACGCCAACCTAGGGTTTCCGCTTAGCATTTGCCTTGGAAGGCCTGCACGTTTCTCGCGCTGTTGCTCGTCACTCACTCTTGGATGTTCAAAACTCCCGACTTTGCCAGAAAGAGCTGTTGCGATTGCCTGGTGACCCCAGCAGATGCCGAGCAGCTTCGTCCTGGTGATGTGTTGCTGCCCCACCACTTGGCGAATCCATTCTAGCGTGGTGTCGACCCAAGGCTCATAAGTCGCCTGGCATAGGTTGCTCAGTCCGCCGGTGATGACGATGAGATCGTAGTCCGCAGGCGCAGGGAGGTGACCGTCTTCCTTCATCGGTCGGTATGCGTCGATGATTGCATCTGGAACTTGGTGCAGGACGTTATCTCGGAACGACTGTAGCATCCCCCTGTGCTTTGGCTCGTCGATCTCGTAGGCCTTGACGATGGCGACCCTAAACGGAGTTGCTTGGGGTAATGAACCCATATTGATGCGTAATGTGTATTATAGCTGAGTGTTTATTCTTTGGTGTAGTGTAATGTCTATGAGGAGTGAAGTTACGTTCGAGATGTGTAGGTAGGTGTTGTGGTGCGGGACACTCTTGATAAGAACGAAGTGGATTGCTCCGTGTTTTTGAGTCAATGCCGTCGGAGTTTCGGACTCATAGATAAGCTAAAGCGCGCTCCACCAGCCCGGCAAGGTGGCCCGGCTAAACTCGGAGCATCCACTTCACACCATCTCCGGGAATCGGACGCTGGAACGTTAATCACGAGGCGCCCCGAATCCATGTAATTAGTAATGAAAAGAAGCTTGGTCCGTGTTATCTATTGCATGGTGCTCTACGCCCACCAGTTATGAGCAAGTTTACCAAAAGTAAAAGTGCGCCCTGTCTTCCAAATGGGTCGGTCATGCTTCTCAATGTTTACTTGATGAAGCTTAGGGTAAGCTTAGGCGATGACATGATCTAGCCATCGCTGTTGGTCCCTGCAGATGGACCGGAGTAATGTGGCCGAGGAAAGCGGCGAACAAAGAGTCTTTGAGTCGCCGCTCTTGCCCCACATCCCCGGTCCCGAATTTTGAGACAACACGTTCAACGGCTCCGATTACCGAATTAGGAAAATTTTCACCACGTCGTACGAACCAACTTGAACATCATGAGCCAAAAGTCCCAGACACGCAAGAAGGGTTCTCGTAGCAAAAAGCATAAGTAGTATAAATGTGGGGGAAATAAGGATAATAAGGACAATAAGGGCGATGACAGTCATATTCTGTTCCGCGCAATGGCTGCAGCGGGGGTGCATAGCGGGGCAGCTTCATCTACTCAGCTACTGTGTAGTTGTCCCTCAATGGCCTGTATAGATATGGATGAACTGATAGTTTTCATAGACGAATTAGCTCGATCTGAGGGCTGGTCGCTTGAGGCGAGCCGTTGTCGTGGATGGCTGGGATGGCTGTTCTACTCGATGAACTGTTTTCGATCTGTGGCCCGGATGGGGGTTTGCAGTGCATCCTACCGTCTTGGCAGCCTCCACAGACGGCGCCCCATTTCTAAGACATGCCAACCAACAGCTTGGGAACCCCTACGTAATGCCTAGGGCTGTAGATTATCTTCAAGAAGTCACGACCAAAGTTCAGCTTGCGACCAAGTTGAGTATGCTGATGTCGCCCCCTCCATTACCCTTTGATGACTCCATGTTGTCTTCAAAAGGTAGATTTTCCTAGTTCAGGGGCTTTTGGCGGGCTGAAGAGAATCGGGGCTCATTTGTTGTTTTCAGAGACTTCGAAAGTCTCGATGGGCCGTCTCCTTCTTAACTCGTTGGATGTTGCCAAGCAACGCCAATGCAACCCAGCCTTGCCAGCTCGCGCATCGCCTCAGTTGGGGACTTTGGTATGCTTGTTGGTGCCACAGAAGGAAGCACCGCTAATTATGATGTGTCACTAAATGTCTTGGAAGCGCGCGTCCTCTTAAGGTCGGCGGCAACCCACCATAACAAGCATCGTGGGAATCGCCAACTGTCTTTTTCGACCTCTTGAGCTGCTATTTCTAAGCGTTGGTTGCGGAAACGATGGTGCAGCTTACGTCGGTCTTCGCACGAACTCTACCTTTTGCGGCGTTTGCGGTCGCCGCTCCGGCCGCGTCCACCCCGCCGCTCCGGAGACATGTCGCAGGTGACGAAGCTTGTGTCGAGATTGGAAGGGTTTACGACGAAGCAGTTTCGGCCAAAACTACGGGTATGTTGCGGGGGTCCTTTATACGTGTCCCATGCTTTAGGGCTGTTGGATCTATGAGCAGTCGGCAGAAAAGATGGATCTGGAAGGCGGTATGGGCACTTACAAACGGCCCTTTCACTTACATACCACTTCTGGGAGATCGTGGGCTCTGCCCACAATCTCCTCCTTCCACCTCCAGACGCAGCAATAATAGACCATTATTGACACTTCGTTCCAACCGTACGGTTGCCCTGCTGACGTGTATACCAACATTTCCTCTCCTCAAAAACATCCCCGAGATTCAGAACATGCTACACAAAGCGATCATACCAATCCCAGCTATCGTAAAGTTGACCCTTCTCCATGTCGCCACGTGGTAGAACAGATGACACGAGTGCCATGGTATTATTGAACATTTCTTGGCGTCTTGCTGGTCCAAGGAAATGGCGGAACTGAGTCTGAACTAAACGATGGACAGTCAGGATGCCTGAATCTTTGTCACGTTTGACCAGCGAGCGCGTGGTAAGCTTGCGCAGAGAATTGGAGAAACTATTGGGACATGAGCGTGAAACTCCAGATCGTGCCAACTGTGATGGTTTGCTTACCTGAATCTTTGCTTGAAAAAGTGAAGGTCTGGTGGTAAATCTTCAGCGTTCTCAGGTTCAAACAGCTTCGACGATATACTGTCGGGCATCAGAAAAGAGACCACCCCTAGGTGGCAGAGACTGTTTGGGTCAAGAGATCGAAAAGTCAGATCCCACAGCGTTGCAAGCTCATCCATGCCATGAGCCGAGCTGGGGTCCTCCAGGAACATGTCGGTGAACTCCTGTATAGAGTAACCGTCGTCGTAGATCAGGCCTGCCATGTTGAAGATTGCCAGTTCGTGGCCGCTCAACCTCTCAGACAGAGTACGGGCAGACAAGCCCTCGGAATGCATGTCTCTGCCGACACTTTTTTTCAAATAAGAAGAGGAGAAAGTCTGCACCAGTTTCGGCGCCGATGATAAATCCTCAACCATCATCTTTGGGATATCCAAGTGAGAGAAGTCAATCAAGCTACTACCCAGGCGGGAAACGCATCACAAAGGTCGAGACCGAAGCAATTTCTACCTTGATGGAAAAACATAAGCTTGCTCCAGAAAATACGCGTCTCCAGAAAATCGGAGATGGGGAGATCAGTGCTGAGAACTCTGACATTTACGAGATTCTTCAAGCGTCTTCAGAAACCGACCCCGAACCGCGACTATTGGACGTTATCGAAATTGGTGACCGTCGGGCGAAGATCTTCCTTCGCAGGGGTGATCATGTCGTTGAAATGACGAAGATGTGCGAGGAGCTCAGCCAGGCGCGTGACATTGCATCTACTCAAGAGCAGAAGACTGCGATATCCCAGCTAATACACAGCTTCCGTACCGGGAATTATGAATCCTTCCGAGATGCTCATAAGACCTGGGTCAAGGATAGAGCCCCCAAAGTTGAACACTGCATGGGCTTTCTATTCGGCTATCGCGACCCTTGTGGCGCAAGAGCTGAGTGGCAGGCAGCGGTAGGTATTGCGGATCGAGAGGAGACAAACAAAATGAGCCGGCTCGTGGCAAGGTCTACTGAACTCATTCGGGCGCTTCCATGGGCAGTCCCTGATGTGAATGATGGGAAAGGGCCATTCGAGCCGAGCGAACTGGATGTTCCAGACTTTGCAATCATCCATGGTGAATAATAGCCACACTCCAACTAATATCAACAGCTTGGTATCTGACATCTTCTAGTCATTGCGAATGTGTCGAGCACTGTGTGGGAAGCCACTAATATTACCATTGTATGAGCCATGCACAATGTTTCACTCTTACTTTGGAGAAGTCGCGCACTAATTAGCACTTTTCGTAAGATGACGAGGATGGAAAACGTCACGGCGTCAAGAACATGGTCTATGGCAATCGTATGCAGCTGAAAAGCAGCCCGGGACGGCCGTGTTACTATGTCCACCCTTCAGAAGCCGATGCCTATATGGCATGCGCTCACTCAGTAAGATTTGTTGGGACCGCTATCCACGAACTTCTTGGTCATGGTACCGGAAAAATGCTCTCGGAGACTGCTCCTGGCAAGTACAACTTCGACCACGAAAATCCTCGGATAAGTCCGGTGACAGGCCAGCCGGTCCAAACTTGGTATAAGCCGGGAGAGTCCTGGAACAGTGTCTTTGGAAAGCTCGCTCCGAGTGTAGAGGAATGCAGGGCTTTTCTCGTGTCATCCTACCTCGCTGATAACGAGGACATTCTAGCCTTGTTTGGCTACAATGAGGACAGCACACTGACCGCAGATGACTCTAAGAATCTCTCTGAAATGATATCTACGAATCTAACTAGGAATAGTCATCTACTATTCATACCTTCACTTTGGTGTTCAAGGCCTCTCTGCGTTGAGCAGCTTCGACTCTGACGATAAAGTCTGGGGAGGTGATCATGACCGAGTAAGCTCAACTAAAACATCTCCTCGCCGCACCGTTGGTCAAGTAGCTTACACCATACCAAGGCTCAGTTCGAAATTCTGAAACACATTCTCCAAGACGGCGGAGGCGTCTTGCGTGTGGAACATAACCCTGAGGCCGGCACCCTTCACGTGCGCGTCGACCGATCCAAGATCCTATCTTACGGAAAGCCATCCATTGGACGTATGCTGAACAAGATTCATATCTAGCATTCCACAGCCGATGTAAAGGCTTGCTAGCCATTCTACGAGAGCCTCAGTGTCGTTGATGGCGAGTACGAGGTCTGGAGATCCATTATCGCCTCGAAGCCTGAGCCGAAATGGAAGTTTGTGCAGCCAAACACGTTCCTGAAAGCGGACGGCGATGTGGAGTTGGTGGAGTATGAGGCTAGCAATGTCGGTGTCATTGCGTCGTTCTTTGAGGGGAATGTATGAGAGTACCATTGATCACAGAGGGTGAATGCTAGATCATGCCGGTTAGTCATTCGTCTATCCACTCCATGTCTCGTATGCAGCACCCAAGGGCCATTCACGTTCAGCTCGTTGATGGGATGTGTCTTGTGTTGCTCGGCGAATGCTTTGCTTAGTCTGGACCAGTGGGGGTTCTCTTCGTACTAGTCGCTGTTTCACGGGTTCTTTGACTGCGATTCGATCTACCTTGGTAAGTGGCGGGCTCGCCAGGTGATTTTGACGGCCGCACTCTTCTTCCGCCACGTGACTGCCTGTAAACCGTGCCTGTCCAAACCGCCTGAGCATTTCGGGGGCAGGCCTCTTCGTCAACGCCTCAACCTGAGTTAAGTTTTCCTGCTGATACTACCTAGTAGAAACCGTACCCGTCATACTTCTCCCATCTCCTCTGATTCCTCTTAGCCACTCCATCCCTGTCTTGGCACTTCCCTCTCCACCACTCAGACTGGTAGGTTTCCAACTGCCAGTCGCCCCATTTCTTGACCTCACTAGTTGAGATCAGTATAATGTGGAGCTTCGGCCGCGCCTTCGACAGCTCTCGCAGTACTTTGCTTGTCCAGCTCATCTTCGCGATGCGAAGCTCCTTCAGCTTTGGCACCCACTCCGGATGATTTCTTAATGCCTCGAAGACGATATCGTGGCCTGTGTTACCTGGGCCTCTTGAGGCTTTGCTAATTTGCAGAGTCGAGAGGTCAGGGCAATGTTCGCACAGCGCAAGGAACGCCTTTTCTGTGAGGCCCGATGCGCCTGGGAGGTAAAAGCCTTTCAGCTTGGGACAGGCGCGGGCGATTTTGATGATATCATCGTCAGTCAGCTCCTCGGCCGAGTTGGTAGCGTCGTAGTCGACGTCGTGATAGACGAACGAGAATGAGGTGAGGCGTTCGCAGGTTTCCGTGAAGGAGAGCAGCGTGTCAATGTGTGCCCTGGCAATGTCGTCAGTTTCGTTGTGGGTGCCACCCAGCTTTGACTAAGCCCCAGTATCTCAGATATTCCTGAGTCTGTGGGTAGAGACAACTCACGGCGTCAGTTTGTCTTTGAATGTGACCGCCCTTGTCGCATGGCCGAGCCACTCGACACGATGTTTTTCCCATTCGAAATCATACTGGAAGCAAACGCTGGTAGATCCCTTAGGTCCCGTGGGTCGCGGTGCTCTTGCAGTCTTTGGCTTTCGGGTTTGCTTCGGTGCCGGTGGTGCTTCATTAAAGCTGAGATCCTCATCGTCACTGAAGTCATCGGCGTCAAAGTGCACAGCAGCTGCGGCATTTTGAACAGATTGAGGTCTCGACATTTCTTGATCGGACTGTGGCTCAGACTTCACCGAGATGGGAGATTCTGCCTTGACGCTGCTCTGGGTGAATGAATGGGGTACCTGTGCGTATGAGCCAGTCGCGAAGCGGCTCACCGTCGTCTCGTCGGACATGCCGGGAACAGCTGATAGCCTGCCTTCATGTTTGAAGCCCGGCTTCACCCCATACACTGCAGCATCTGCCGCCTTCTTGCCCTCATACGATTTAGTGGTCCGTGTCGGCGGCATGGTAGTCTTTTGATCCCTATGGGGGCAACTTAGCAATTGTGATCCTTTAGGTCGGAAGGCTGGGAGTAGCTGGGCATTTACGTATGACATTTGAGCGTGGGGGTGGATTACGTAACTCTGCCCAACCTCACAGGGGCACTTGTCTGAACAGTAGGCAGGAGTGGCAGGTAATTACGGAGCGCATGCACTAGGACATACAGCACATCCGACAACACAAATGATGGGCAACGATCAAGTAGAACTCTCTTTTTTTTTTTTTTTTTTTTTTTTTTTTAATTACCTAGACACGCTAGATCAAGGCACCGAATGACCACATCGTTTTACGTGCAAGGACTCATGCCACGAGGACGTGCTAGTCGGTTAGATCCCCACAGAATCTCGCGCCCGCTTGTGGCTGAAGTTACATCAACCATGTAGGCTGAATCACGCAATTATGCTTCTATTCGATAGAAAAATTGCCAATTTAATCATTGACTCAAGGATGCCGAACATACTAAGGCAGTGGCCGCTTATTAGCTTATCCGGTTGTTGCTTTACCTTAGATCGTTCTCATCTCGCCAAAACTGGCGCCTATTAGCATTGTTGGCTGATTAGTAGATTTATCGTGGTCTCTCTAAAGTCATTCGGCTCGGGCCCATAGCCCCAGATTTCGAATATCTTACATTCTCCGCAAATGGAATGCCAGAAAAATAAGAATTATTGGCGACGTCTCGCTTAGTTCCAAGTTTCAATTCTTCTATGGTAAAGTATGTTCTGTCCTGTGAACCTCGCATGACGGCTTCACCTAGCCGCCTGCCGTTACTGTGGGTTAGGACTATGTGGTCCTGTGGTCGATACGAGGGAGGTAAGCGGACATGAGAGATTGGGGGTTGTGGGTAGAGCGAGAGGCTTGCCTCTTAAGTCGGACGGCCCGGTAGGCGGGTAATTTGTGAGTTCAAAAAGGCTAAGTTGATCGTACTCTAGGACGATCGACTTCAACAAGTTCAGTCTAAGGCGGCTGTCAATATGACTAGACTTTTTAGGCAGCAATTATTAGCCAAAGTACTAAGGTATCAGAAACACTGGAATGAGCGAGAAGTTTAAAATGTGCAGGAAGTTCTTGGCATCAATTCCCCGACTAAGGTGCTTGTAGTCTGTAGACATCTCAAAAGTCATTGTTCTACCTCGGAGGTCTGAGACAGCATTTTCATCAATCGAAGACAAGTCGCGGTTCCTCTTGAGCTCATATTAAAGCGCAAACCGATGTGAAGCACACTATCAGAGGCGCAGTGCGCTCGCTGAGTCATGATACCAAAGCCATGTGCAGCTGCGAAGGAGTCGCCGAACTATCAAGTCAAGGTACTATCATGACTCAAAGACTTTGACTTTTCTACGACCGCGATGAGGACCGTGATCCGTCTCAAGTTGCCTCTGAGTGGTACTAGACTGCATTGGTCGACTTACTTCAATATCGAATAAAATCATTTAAGAAGAGTATTGCAATCTCTACTACTATCATATGTCCCAGTGCCCATCCAACTCACCCATTCTTTTGCACTACTCTCGCTTAACAGCTTTGAAATTGTTATCACCAACAACATGAAGTCCACAACCATTTCTGCTTTCATTTTCTTCTTTCTGGGCACTGCTTCAGCTGTCGATCTAGTCTGCTACGGCACCGGAGTTCCCTCGCCCATCAACAAGGGCGATATTGAGTATGCAATTAAGAACCGGCCGACTGAGTTAGGCATTCCTGGAGGCACCAAATTTTCGTACCGCTGGAAAACATGTATCGACCCTGAGAATAGCCCTAAGGAGGTTGCTGTCCTTACGACACCCAGCAGTAAGTGATCAGATCCGCCTTCGACATTACATATTTCAGAGTTGGTTGTTTGAGTGCTCTCAACTTTTACCTTCCCACAAGCAACTGCGCGCTAGGCGTATAACCCGTACTGAACAGATTATTCTAGTTACAAGAGAAGGTTCGGTTAAACTAGCGAATGGCGTCATCGAATGCAGCACAGATGGTCCCCCGGATTCCACCTGCTAAATGTTGGCGACTGGGCGAGGGCCTTAGAGTGCTTTGTTTAAAGAGATCAATACGTAATCCCTATAAAATTATCTTCACATATCTTACTTCTTACTTATTGTACATATATTTCAACTGGTCATGTCGTATTGTACACTGAACACACTGATTTTCGCTGCTCCGGAGAGAAGTGTAAGAATTTCACATCGAAAGTTCGGCACGGGATCGTCGAAAACCTGATAGGCAAATTGTGAAGTCCAGGCCACATTTAGTAGGGCTTAACTACATGGCTAAGAACTGTTCGTAAGACGTCACATTGATCCAGTACACAATGTCTTTCCTTTTGGTATACGATAAATATATTTCTTTCTAAGATTCTAACCCACCTGCGTTTCTATTTGTTTGTTTGACTCTTTAACGCCGGTTCCGTCAAGGGTGAACGGCGCCTACACCATTGTTGATTTGCTGATGACCTCTCAGTAAGTAAGGGTTTCTCATTGGCCTCCCAAAACAATAAGACCATGAAAGTTTTGAGCGTCTTGGTAAGATTAAGTTTCCATACGGAATGAATTATTTATACCTTGCTCACCAATGTAGAAGCTGTGACAGGGACGAAAGAAACGGGCGGGGACCTAATGATGCGGACATGAGAGCACAGCATGACCCCGTTCGACAAAAGTTGAGGATGATCCGAAAGCGCTATCATCATTTCAATGACTATAACTTCAGCCGTTAAAAATTACGAAAAGTCACTCCATCTCTGCTCCATTCCAGTTGACTGTTGGTTCTGATGCGGAGGCTGGGCCAATAACAGTACAGATGGAAGTTGGCAACCGACTGTTACGAGCTGGACAAGGCAACCAACTGTGGCACAAAGCAAAAGCTTCGATAATGATGACTCCGGCATCATTGTCCCTTGTTCTGCATTATATAGCTACGCGCCCACAGTGACAAGTTGCGGCGGGCGTAACACCGACATGCTCTCAATCGAGCTTTATGCCAAGTCCACGATTATTCGCCGTAACACACGTACCTACATACGTAAAAGTCACCAACGCCTGGTCAGTTGCATATAAACAGCACGTGTTGCATCACGATAGGCACGTGGACTACAGCACTTGACCAATTCTCAGGTCCCGGGGATTATCTGCTTAGTGCTTTCTAGGGGGCAATGCTGTCATCCGGACAATTAAGTTATAGAGGTCACTCTAGCCGTGCGAACTTATCTCATTCGAGGCTTGTCAATTTTCCTTTCGCTTACTTATCACAAACGAGCGAAAGAATTATGAACATGAGACTCAAGGGAGACAGCCCAAGAGATAACAAGATCTCTCTGCCCAATGCAGATCTCAGTTCTGATTACAAGCACCTTGATGAAATATGTGCTATTTCATATGGGTTGGTATGTATGATCAAATATGGTTTCATGGAAGCAATTGATGAGCATCTGTGCGAACGTCCGACTTTAAATTTCTAAGCTGCGTCTTTCTTGAGTGGTGAGGAAGAGCCCGTGTAAGTAAAAATGAAGCCAACCCCACCTGTCTAGCTGATTCATCGTACAGCGCCATGGGGCAATAAGCCCTTTGGAGTCTGGACGCAATTTGTTGTCGCGCAGATAAGTAATCTGATAAAAGCCGCTGCGGCTTGCTAGGAGAAGGCAGGGATAGAAGCTGCTTAAGCTCAATGAAGAGATAGAACGGAGATGAAATACTATCTAGGGGGGCTCCCTTGTAGGGCTAGTGCGGCTTCTCCCGATATGGTGTGTGAGCCGTGGGAGCTCACAGCAAAAAAGTCAAAAAGAATCAAGCACTCTAAATCCGAAACACTTCGGATACCCGGCTCAGCGAGCCCCCACTTGTTTTTTCGGATCCGGCACGGCGTAAACGGCACGTTGACCTGGCCAGGCTCTGCCCCAGAAAGATCGTCCTTACCCAGGCAAAGCCAAGACTTTGGCAGCTTGGATGAAGGAAACAAATCGACTACATGTCTGGAGAGGGAGTTTCGATTCTCGAAAACATCGAGGTGGAACCGACGACAAGATTTTGAGTTAAGTATCGTTGACCGTCGCAACCAAATCTGAAATTGCCATGGTCGAACCTTAACCTAATCCTTTGAGATGGTTAAATGACACAATCCAGGGAGTGCGCTGATTTCAAAAAGTAACGTGCTCATTTACACGCGTGGTTGGCCCAAAATTTATCCACTGCGCCGCATCCCATCCCTTTACCTCCCCAGGAAGTCTAACCAACAGAGTCACAAACATCAGACGAACCGCCAGTCGAAGTGGCGAATCGCCAAAGGAACCACTCTAGAACGCCGCCAAGGAAATGAAGGAGGAGGAACCAAATGAAGGGAGAGCAGGCAATATCCCGGTAACACCACTAGATCGTGCCTCGCGTGTCCACAAACAAGCAATTCTGCTCCTCACGTCACAACCCACGGGGGCCAAACCGGTGCGAGAGGGCGATGGGGCGATTCAGCGGATGCAGTGGCCCCACGAGTCCCGTCAACGTAGCAGGGATCTCGACCTTCACCGTTCCGGCCAGTCGGCACCATGATCGGTCTAGGTTGCATTGGGGCGGTAATTTCAACTCCAGGAGTAACGCAGATATAAGACCTCAAGCCAGACTTGTGTGCTGAGAGGAGGAATACCGCTGTTTGTTGCATCCCACCAAGTTTCTTCTTTCCCTCGTTCAGGGCCTTTTGCATCACCACATTCATTCACAAACTTTAGTCACTCTTTTTTCAGACTTTTTACACACTCTTTTAACCCTGAATCTGGAATTCATCATGAAGGGACTCATCCTCAGTACCGCTCTCGTCAGCGGAGCCATGGCCGCGGCCGGCCCCTACATGCCCTGCGGCGGCAAGGGATTCACTGGCGAGACGACCTGCGTGTCCGGTTACACGTGCACAGTCCAGAACGATTACTACAGCCAGTGCGTCCAAGGAAGCGCCGGCGGCGCCGTCAGCGCCCAGGCTCAGGCCACCACCATGAAGACATCGACGAGACGCTCTTGTAAGTCCAAACCGGCTTACGCCAGCGACGTCGCGCCTCATGTGACCACGACGACTAGCTCGCCTTCTTCGAACTCGGCCCCGGTCGTTGTCGTGTCATACTCCGCGAAGCCCGTTGACACCAAGCCAGCTTCGTCGACGTCTACTCACGCCGCCTCCATCGTCGTCCCCGTCAAGTCCTCTTCGGCTGCTCCCGTCAAGTCTTCGGCTACTTCCGCCAAGCCCTCTGCCGCTGAGGTGAAGCCTACCACCACTGCTGCCAAGCCCTCGACTACCGCTGCTGCCTTCACCACCAAGGCTGCTTCGTCCTCGAAGGCTGCTGCCCCTACGTCCGCGTCCGCCCCTGCTGCGTCTGCTTCTTCAACCCCCGTCAAGAGCGGAAAGTTCAGGTGGTTCGGTGTCAACCAGTCCGGTGCTGAGTTCGGTACCGGTGCTATTCCCGGTGTCGTTGGCAAGGACTACATCTTTCCCGACACCAACTCCATCACGGTGAGTCAAGAAGAACTGGAGGTAGATTATAGGTCTGATGATTGACTTACACCTGATACCTTAGACACTGATGAACGATGGATACACGACCTTCCGTGTCAGCTACCTCATGGAGCGTCTCGTCCCCAGCGGTCTCACTGGCTCATTCGACGCCGCCTACCTCGCCGGCCTGACCAAGGCCATTGAGCACATCACCTCCTCCGGCGGCTACGCCGTCCTCGACGCCCACAACTACGGCCGCTTCCAGAACAACATCATCACCGACACCGCCGCCTTCAAGACCTACTTCACCAACCTGGCGACGCAGTTCAAGTCCAACGCCAACGTCGTTTTCGACACCAACAACGAGTACAACTCCATGGACCAGGACCTCGTCCTGAAGCTCAACCAGGCCGCCATTGACGGTATCCGTGCCACCGGCTCCACAAACTGGATCTGGGCCGAGGGTAACTCCTGGACCGGTGCCCACAGCTGGACGAGCGTCAACGACAACATGAAGGGCCTGACGGATCCCCTCGACAAGACCGTCTACGAGATGCACCAGTACCTCGACAGCGACAGCAGCGGTACTTCCGCCGACTGCGTTTCCGCCACCATTGGTGTTGAGCGTGTCAAGGACGCCACCGCGTGGCTCCGCACCAACAAGAAGGTCGGTGTTCTCGGCGAGTTCGCTGGCGGCGCCAACGCCCAGTGCAAGGAGGCCGTCGCCGGTCTGCTCGACTACCTCCAGGAGAACAGCGACGTGTGGCAGGGGGCGACATTCTGGGCCGCGGGCGCGATGTGGGGCTCGTACATGTTCTCATTTGAGCCCGAGACGGGCACTGGATACAACTACTACAACGAGTTGTTGAAGACCTACCAGTAGAGGGGGTGATACAATTTTCAAGGCCCAAGGCGGCTGCATCAACTCAAAGAAGTTGATTTTATTTCTTCTGTATAAAGTAAACGGCTTTTAGAACATTCCAGAGCGGCTGGTTGGGACTGTGGCTCAGGGCTGATGGCTTGAGATGTCGCGATGGCTTCAACCATCCAGGGGCCGCACATGCCGCTTCACCCCAGCCGACTACATGATCACAACGCCGAACGATGGGAGATTCCAGCGCAACCAAATATTTCAATTCTTGTATTTAACAATTCAATTCATAACTGTGTTGACAGGCAAACCATTCCGGTGCCCATTCAGCGCGCCTTCTCATTCCTTACCTTATGATCGGATGCTACCGGATGCAGAAGGTGCTCACTCTCTTAGTTACTCTTCAATGCCTCTAACAAGTCTTCTTCAAGCTTTTTGGAGATCAGCTAAAATACCAAAGTCCTTCACGATGCAGATGGAATGGTTGATGTAGCCCGGGCTAATGCACGGGGAAATCGCCCATGCAGGTACAGCCACACCACCGACCAATAACAAAATTTGTGCAAGAAACCAAACCAACAGAGTACCTGACTAGAAGAAAAGCTCCCAACAAAGTTCCTCAGGCTGGGGGCCGGTGTCGGGTGCATCGTGTCACCATGGTGCAACGGCCAGATTTGGTGTCACCGCGGGGGGCTCTAAACGGGTATGCTGCCTGGTGGTGGCTGAGGATCCCTGTCGAAGGCTCTAGAAACTAACCGTAAGCAATGTCGTGGTCCGAATCCCTTCAAAGTTTGGTTCAGGCAGAGTAGGCAGCAGGCCCCCGTTGACGGTGGCACAGCTTAGGACGACAAGTATAAATGGCAGATGATATTTTGATATTTCTGTCGAAGACTCATTGACGGTCGCTATTGTCTTGAAACATTCAGTCATCCTACCGCTCGTTTCAATCACACGCAAAAACTCGCACTCTCAGATCCGAACTAGATTGAAACAACAAAGGGAAAATTTCGTAAGAAACTTTACATATCCCATTCTCGTTATCAACATGGTGTCTTTCAAAGTCGACGGAACCCCGATGGACGATCCGCCGTCCAAGGGCCCGCGATCGGCCCCACAATCGGCGCCATCCACGGCCTGGTCCGGCCCCCCGGGTAAAGCCAACATCCTCACCCGCCGATTCGTCGCTCTACCCCTCATCGCCCTCCTCTACACCGCCGCCGTGCCATTCACGCCAGTTGTATGGGTCCTCAACATTGATGGAAGCTCCCTCTTCGACCGCCTCTTCGCCGGCATCATTATGCTGTCGGCCTGCTATTTCCAATGGCGCATCGCAGGGCTGACGTCGCCTCTCGCCGTCTTCCTTCCTGGTCCTAGCAATACGACTATTCGGAACGGACGCATCGAGACCGGCTCGAGCATGGGATTTGTGTGGCACCCCAGCAATTACTGGCCTTATGTCATTTGTGAGGCGATGCTCTTGGGCGTTGCCGAATTTGGCGGTAACGAGTTGGTGAGACGGGGGATCGTGTGTGGTATCATTGCTGGGCTGTGGCTGGTTGGGTATCATGCGACTCCCGAATCTACAAGACGATGGGCCTATGAGAACGTCAAGGGCTGGCTGTTTTGGATGGTGCTGGATGAGATGATGCGTGTCGGAGGCAGAAGCTACAGCGGACGTCGCCGGAGATGAGATGGACAGCTCTAGGTTGAAAATTTGGCACCTTCAGCATCAAATGTATCGGATTTATCCTCCATATCACCCCTACCATGCTACTTGTCTACTAATATCCCGAGAAACACATTCAGTGGACGGCTCAGGTGAAAAGTGGTTAGTTATATCGGCGTCAGAAGTTTTGAAGATATCTTAGCAGTGGAATCATCTCTCGCTCACTTGGCAGAAAAGATCAAATCCCTGAGTTGCATGTACCCAAGAAACATACAGATAAAGGGGCTCGCTTTCGGATGCCGGAATTCAAGCGGATGCTTACATCAGCCAGTTGGGTCGCGTCCGTGCCGAAATTGGGGACCCACAGGTCGGCCTACCCCGCCACCTAAATCCGATTACCCCAACCGGGCCGCGGTGGTTCCTGGATTTTATCTCGTAAAACCCCCACACCCGTTCATCGATTGCAGTTGCGCAACGATCACGCTCTACAGCTTACAACCTTATGGAGTCATTGAGCTTGATCACTCAAGCAAACTCGCCGTCTTAGCTTTGTCGTTCAAAGCTTGCGTCTGAGGAATCATCGTATCAGATCGTGAGGTGCAACCGAGCCTCCCGAAAGTCACTCGCCAAGAGCCCCATGTGGTGACTGATCAGCGCGTCCAAGTGGACATGGACTCTTTCCTGAAGGAGCAGGTGCCATCGCACAAGACCAACGACAAGATTAAGACTTCTTGGCAAACCACAAGTCACTCTTTCTCTCGTCAAGAGCAGAACGATACATTAATGAAGATCCGCAATGAGATAACGTTGCGGCGGGGGAAGAGCAATCATGAGGTCAGAGACGCAAGGTCGGTACTACCTTACCTCAATGACCGCGTCGCGTCTACTGTTCAATTACTTATCTATCAACAGTCTCCCCCGTCGTCTGCTTTCTTCTCTTGCTTTGCTGGCTTCTGTGAGCTTCTGCTGGTGGCTGGTTCGAACGTCACCTGTCAACTTCCATTCAGTCTTGGGCGACATGCAATTTCGCGATGGCAACAGTGGCCTCCAGGCCGTCCTGGGAGCCACCCTCGGTGCCTTCATCGCCGGCCCAGTCGTGGCGGCGTCGTGCAGCCCGTACACGCCTTTCGCGCCGATTGATCCCCAGAACTGGGTCAACCCGGACAACATGACTTGGGGTGACTTCATCCCGCCGCCAGGCACGAACTGGTCGGACCCGGCGCGCAAGGGCTCCAGCCGCAACTTCAATATCGCCCTCGTCGTCGTCGACTACCCCGATAGACCATTCGTCATCACTCAGCCGATGCACTCGACCATCTTCAACAACCCGCAGCCCGCAGGTGCCGATATTGCTCGGGAGAACGTGCCGACCTTCTATCGCGACCTCCTCAACACGCCGATTGAGCTGAACAATGGCCACACCCTTCATGAGTACTGGATGGAGGACTCAGTGGGCCGCTTCGGAGTCGATCTGACAGCTTTCGGCGCGTACCAGCTCTCTGGCAATGGCTACCAATACGGAATCGATGGCGGCTTTAATCCCGGCGCCTGTCCCGAGGGGGAGACTTGTGATCTGAACATCCGTACCGATGCGCTTGCTGCCTGGCGCGCCGAGGTCGGAAATACCACCGCCGATGCTTTTGAGCTCGTATTCATCCTCTCTGCTGGCCAAGATGAATCTTCCACATGGCAAGAGTTTGGTGAGATGAAGTTCAACGGCCCCGAGGACGTACCGGATGGATTTGGCCCGCCGAAGAAGGCGAACAGCTCGCAGACCAACTATGCGCGCACGCGTTACGTTCCCTGGACATCCTGGGCGGCGGCGTCGACGCTCTGGCCCAACGCTGGCGGCGGCTCGTCTACTCAGGGCGAGAGCTCTGGCATGGCAGTCTACGCTCACGAGCTGAGCCACTTGCTCGATATCGGCGACAACTACAACAACCCGTACGGCCTCCCTCTGCGCAGAGCATACACTGGGCCGTGGTCCATGATGTCGCGTGGCTCGTTCAACGGTCCCGGTGGTCCCCATACACGCTGGCAGATCCCGGCGCTGCAGGGTGCGTCGATGGGCTCATTGCACACGCTGCGCGACAAGTTCCAGCTCGGGTTGATTGACAAGACTGACATTTTGTGGCTGTCACGCGAGGGGTTGGCAACCTCTGGAATTGCTGTTGCTAACCTGGTTGCTCGGTCCGTCGATCCGGGCGATGGATTGATGGGTGTCCGCATCATCATGGACGGCGACCGATCCCCAGCCTGCAACATCACTACTGAAGTGCTCTGCGACGGCGGTAGCTGGGACAACTACGATATTGAAGTCGTGGACCGCATGGGTTCGGACTCTTTCCAGCCCGATTCCGGCGTGCTGCTCAGCAAGTCCAAGAACGTCGATAACCAGCCCTTCCAGTGGGTCATTGACGCGAACCCGGAGGACATTGAGCTCATCGACTTCTACCGACCCAACGGCTCCGTGGCGATGATCACCCTCGGCGACTATCGTCAGCTCGCTGATGCGCTCTTCCACGCAGGCACGAACTCGGGCAGCGAGTTCGAGTTCATCGACGTGCCCAACAGCTTGCACTTCTACATCGTCGATCGTCACCGCGATGACGAGGGCATCCTCTCATACACCGTTGCCATTCGCTCACTGACCGGTGAAGGCGGCGCGAGCACGCACGACGTCTCACTGGAGAACGGTGCCGTCACGGGTGCCAAGAATGGCACGGCCACCAGCCAGGGCGTCACATGCTCATTCCAGCTGACCAACAGCGGCACCTACGTCGCCGTCGATCCCGATGCGGCCCAGCACCCCGAGGATGTCTCTGCCTTCCTGGGTTCAGACGTCTACAGGCTGAGCGCCGAGGTTGAGGGTACCGGCTGGCGTGTGGAGTTGCCCAACGCTCTCGTCACGGCCAAGTTCGGCGAGATCAAGACGGCGTACGTTTCGGTCGGCGCCGCGTCCGACGCGGCGAGCACGGCGGTGGTGACACTAAAGGCGACGTCGGAGTCCGATCCGTCTGCTGCTGCGACAGCGGAGTGCCAGGTGACCAAGTCATGAGGAGTTTACTTGCGCCAGGGAAAACACATATACCGGCATTCTTACCGTTTCCAACATCGTCAATCAAGTATTTACCTAATACGGCGTTTCTGAAGTTTCTCATGCATGATCGAGGCCCGCCAACGTGGGGTTCTGCCGTGACTCGATGCAATGCAGTCCCGCTGCGGGGCCGCTTAGGGCTAATGAACCCGTTCCCACGCCGGAATCTTTATAAAATCATCATGATCAATAGCCCAGATCGTCTAGTTGGTTAGGATGATACGTTGTGGTTCTTCTATACAGCGATCCGTGTTGACGGCGGTTCGAATCCGCCTCTGGGCATTGAAACCTTTTGCCGTCCCGTGATGTTACTTGAGTTGTGATTTTTGAGGTTTTGCTGAAAGACTGGGTGGGCAGTTGAGGGGCCGTGATTGGAGATGGTGTGAGATCTCATGTGAAATTGAGCCCTATGTAGTTAGTCAGGTATGACAACGAAGTAAGTGCCGTTGCTATCAGTGTTACTAGGTGACCAATTGTGCGATTGAGGAGAAGTTGATTGATAAACCGATCAAGTTTTGATAATGATGGCTGTTCAGGCACATGTAGCTAAATGTCTTGTAAAGGCGACTTGAATTGTCCCCAATTACCCCTCACCCCACGTACATCTGCTTCTCGATATAGCAATACTTTGCAGTTTATTTGCCGCGCGATTGATACTTAGTAAACAAGCTTAGTCTTCCAATGTGCATGACGTGCGCATCCCTCGAATTTGCGCCATCCCCGCGCGTACGCCCCGGGTTCCGGCGCCGGCAACGGGCCCAAACCAGGAACCTCGAAGCCTTCGGACGTCACCGCTACCACGAGAGTATGTCAAGTCAATCTCATTTACCAAGCAAGCAACTAACTTTTGAATCAGAGCTGGGTCTGAGCTTGATTCACCATGCCGTCCACGAGTAGCTTCAGCGAAATACCCACAATAGACCTCTCCCTCGCCCAAGACCCCGCAACAGAAGCCGACTTACTCAACGACCTACGCCACGCTCTCACCAGGGTCGGCTTCCTGTACATCATCAACCATGGAGTTCCCGAACACATAATTTCCGATGTAGTCGATGCACTGCCAAAGTTGTTTGCACTTCCACCAGAAGCAAAAGCCGAGATCGCGCTGAGCAATTCCCCGCACTTTCTGGGTTACAGCGGTGATGGCGCGGAGACGACGGCGGGGAAGAGCGATCGCAGAGAACAGGTTGAGTTTGCTACGGAGTTACCCAGTGGGTTGGAGCAGGGTTTGCCGCTGAGAGATCGACTAAGAGGGCCGAATCAGGTGAGAGTTGATGGCTGTCTTAATGCGTATTTCTTGTGGCTAGTCTGATCAGTTGCAGTGGCCGTCTTCATACCCAGCGCTACGTTCTATTGTTGAATCGTATATCTCAGAGATGACCAATCAAGGAAACCGCTTCCTTGTCTTGGTAGCCAAAGCCCTCTGGCTCCCGCCAGATACATTTCTCCCCTACCTCTCGGACCAACACCGTTTGAAGCTAGTCCACTACCCTGGCCTCCCAGAAGATGAAGCAGGTACCCAAGGCGTAGGCCCACACAAAGATTCATCCGGATGGTGGACCTTCCTCCTCCAAGCTTCACCGCCGCATATCAAGGGCTTACAAGCCCTCAACAAGACAGGCGAATGGATAAACGTACCAGTGCTACCGGGCTCCTTCGTCGTCAACATCGGTCAGGCATTTGAGGTGGTTACGAATGGGGTGTGTAAGGCTACGACGCACCGCGTACTCTGTGGACACCTGGAGAGGTTCAGTTTGCCGTTCTTTCAGGGCGTGAGGAGGGATCTTACCAAGGAAGAGGCGATTGGGTCACTGAGGGAGCATTTTGCCAGGCCTGAGATTCGGGGGTTGGTGGCGGAGTCGGAGGAAGGGAAGGAGATTGATTCGGCATTTTTGAAGGGAAAGTATGATACGTGGGGAGAGAGTCAGTTGAGGACGAAGGTTAGGAGTCATAGGGACGTTGGGAGGAAGTTTTACGCGGATGTTTTTGAGAAGTATGTTAATGATGATTGATGGGTTTTCCCGTCGTGCACCAACAGCAGTATAGCTTGAGCATGATTCGATATCACCAAATGTTATTATGGTGGCTGCTTATGGTTGTAGACTTTAAGATATATTGTAAGGAAAATAATATCGTTATACTCTGCATGCCGGCCCATTCGTCTCATCTACTTCAGCCCTTAGACGTTGGGTGTTTTGGGCCACTAAAGACGGCTTATGGTCGATAAATTGAGGATAAGATGCGCCGGGGTAATACCCATATTACGAAGGAGGACTTCTTCCCTGCATTTCACAACGCTTTCACGCAAGCCCTAATAGTAAAAAACATCTAGGGAGGCTTCAGAGGGGCCGGGCTTGTTCCTTTGAGTGCCGAAAGTATGCTTTCGAAGCTTGATGTCAAGTTATACACTCCAACACCCCCAGGGTCCCTACCAACAACACCCCCCGCGTGGACTTCTTAGACGCCAAATAACCCAACAGAGGCCTCTTCTTAGTCCGAACTCATCAAAAGGAGGATCTCCCGCTATCAAAATAGCTCCCTAACTTCAATCATTGAAGCTGTAGAGCATTTATTAAAGGGAGCGCGGGGATTTATGCACCAGATTGCCTTATTAAGGTCGGAGGTCCAGATCCTCCGGGAGGAAATTAACCTACTTAGCCGACGTAGGAGGGCTAAGAAAACACGTCTCAGATAAGGAGGAAGTCTTACTGTAGCTGAGACAGAGGACATTCAGTCGTAGAGAGAGGCTACGGCCCAGATTGAGGAGGAAACGCGCCAGAGTAGTGGTCGTCGGCCGAGGATAGAAACAGGTCAACGGCGATGTGACGTCTGCGGAAACACTGGCCACAATGCGCGAACATGTCAGTTTAATGCAGAAATATCTGAGGAATAGGATTTAGAGTAACTAGTTTCAATTGATTTTATGTTTTTAGTGTTGCTCCTTAGTTAGATTTATAATGTGATTATGGTTAGGTGGGCAGGTCGCTTATCAAGTACGTTAACTTAGTTAAATTTATAATTATTATATTATTGTATTAAAATATTAACGACTAATTTATAGGGAATTGATATGGAGGCATTCAGAATTAATATAAATGCATGCAACTTACAGCGGCCTGCACGTTTGCCGTTATAATTAGCTCAAAGTTTTAGTACATTTCTACAAAGACGGTAAAGGTGGTTATAGTAATATTTTAATTAACTACTTATCTTACGACCTAACGTGAATGATAAGCGAGTGAGACAGACAAGCGAGTGAGACAGACAAGCGAGTGAGACACAAAACTGCGCCGATGATGCTTCAACACAAATGGAGACGTTTCTTCCACAACACATCATGGCATCCAGAAGTAATGAGTCAGGCATACAGCTGGCCCTTCAAGCTATCAGAATCAATCCAGAGCTTAGTGCACGGGCTGCAGCTACGATCTACTCGGTCAGCCATGCAACATTGAGTCGACGATTGAAGGGCTCTACATCTCGAAGCGACAGGATACCGAACTCGAGGAATCTTACTTTGGTAGAAGAGCAGACGTTAGTTGATCACATTCTCGATCTAGATGCCCGATCATTCCCTCCCCGGATCCGTGGTGTAGAAGAAATGGCTGATCGACTACTTGCTGATCGCGACGCGCCTCCGGTTAGGAAGCGCTGGGCCTTAAACTTCGTCAAACGACAACCACAATTGCGGACGCGGTTTTTTCGGAGGTACGACTACAAGAGGGCCCAATGCGAGGATACAGAGGCTATTCGCGGCTGGTTCGCTCTTGTGAAGAACACAATCGCGAAGTATGGTATCGATGAGTTTGATATCTACAACTTTGATGAGACTGGCTTTATGATGGGCCAGATTGCATCTGGCATGGTTGTCACAAGTACTGAAAGGCGTTCAAACACAAAAATGGCGCAGCCTGGTAATCGAGAATGGGTTACAGTGATTCAAGCCATCAACTCGCAAGGCTATAACGTCCCGCCGTACATCATCGTTGCAGGCCAATATCACCTCTCAACCTGGTATACAGAGTCAGGTTTCCCGGACGACTGGGTCATTGCGACGTCAGAAAACGGATGGACAACAAATGAAAGAGGCCTAGATTGGATCCAGCACTATGATCGTCATACGAAACCACTTTTGAGAGGCCAATATCGCCTCCTCGTCGTCGACGGGCACGAAAGTCACCACTCAACAGACTTTGAGCTATATTGCAAGGCAAACAAGATCGTTACACTTTGTATGCCGCCTCATTCGTCTCATCTACTCCAGCCCCTTGACTTTGGGTGCTTTGGTCCGCTAAAGACGGCGTATGGGCAACAAATTGAGGATAAGATGCGGCGGGGCGTAACCCACATCTCAAAGGAGGACTTCTTTCCTGCATATCGCAGCGCATTTAGTCAAGCGATGACTGAAAAAAACATCCAAGGGAGTTTTAGAGGAGCTGGGCTTGTTCCTCTGAGTGCAGAAAGCGTCCTATCAAAGCTGGATATCCGGCTACACACTCCAACGCCTCCAGCATCACTACCACAGACACTTCCGCCTTGGGTTTCAAGGACACCAAACAACCCAGTAGAGGCAAGCTCTCAATCCAACTTTATTAAGAGTCGGATCACTCGTCACCAAAGCAGCTCCCCAACCTCTATTTGCGAGGCTGTTGAACGACTTTCTAAAGGTACAAGAGGCATCATGCACCAAGTAGCCTTACTTAGATCTGAGGTACAGATTCTTAGAGACGAGAATAACCAACTCAGTCGACGACGGAGAACTAAGAAAACACGCCTACAACATGGAGGAAGTCTTACTGTAGCTGACGCAGCAGATATACAGTCACAGAAAGATGTGACTGCGCAGGTTCAGGAGGAAATGCGTCGTACTAGTGGTCGCAAACTGAGGGCCGAGACAGGTCAGCGACGGTGTGGCGTTTGTGGTCACCCGGGACACAATTCACGAACGTGCCAGTTTATTGAAGAGATGTCTGAAGATGAGGATTATGAGTAGTTTGAATTGAATTGATGCTGTTGATGTTGATATGGAAGCCAGTTTATCTCATCGGCGCAGTTTTGTGTCTCACTCACTTGTCTGTCTCACTCGCTTATCATTCACGTTAACTATTACGACTTAACTATTACGACCTAACATATATAATTAAGTTTAGGGCCTGCCCCGTAGGACTATAGCGGCTATAGCGCGCTATATATAACGTGGTTCATCATTCAGCCGGCCGGACCAGTCAGCCGGACGTTTTTTTCTAAACACACTTATGTCCAAACCACTTAAACCTTTGACGCGTAAAATCTCAACAACCATAATGCCAATCTACACCCAAGAAGACAAAGTCATTCTTGCGATTGAAGCGATCCGATCGACACGCGCTGCAGGTAGTAACTTGAGCATTTCGCGTGCCGCAAAGACCTACGGTATCCCGAAGAGCACCTTAGCCGATAGAATGAACAACCGACCGCGACGCGAACAAACTCAACCCCAACGACATAAACTCGATCCGATCGAAGAGAAAACACTTCTCTAATACGTTATTGAACAGGATTCCAGAGGATTTCCTTTGCGCCTTGGCGGTGTGGAAGATATGGCCAATCTCCTGCTGCGAGCGCGTAATGCCGAGCCTGTTGGCAAGCGATGGGCCAGGCGGTTTGTGGACTCACAGCCTGCTCTGAAAACAAAGTTTAATCGTCCATACGATTATCAAAGGGCTCTTCAAGAAGACCCAGAGGTTATTTCAAAGTGCTTTGTGTTATTACGCAACATAATGACCAAGTATGGAATCCAAGAGGAGGACCTATACAATTTCGACGAGACTGGCTTCATGATGGGCATAATCACCGCGTCAATGGTGGTAACACGCGCCGATCGACGCGGCAAAGCAAAGTCTGTCTAGCCGGGTAACCGTGAATGGGCTATAGTTATTGAATGTATCAATTCGGGCGGGTGGTGCATCCCTCCGTTCGTGATTGTTAAAGGCGTATATCACCTTGCTAGTTGGACCACGGAATCAGGTTTTCCTAGCGACTGGGTTATCAAACCTACTAATAATGGATGGATGGATAATTAGACGGGTCTTGACTGGATTAAACACTTCGACAAACATACTAAGAACCAAACGAAGGGCGTCTACCGGATGCTCATTATCGACGGCCATGAGAGCCATTTATCGGCCGAATTCGACGATTACTGCAAGTAGAACAATATTGCAACGGTCAGTATGCCTGCACATTCGTCGCATCTATTACAGCCATTGGATATTGCGCTTTATTCGCCTTTGAAACGCGCATACGGTGATGAAATCAACCTATTTATCAGAGCCTCCATAAATCATATTACTAAATCTGAGTTCTTTATTGCCTTCCACCAGGCCCACAACAAGGTTTTTAATGAGGAAGACATCAGGTCTGCTTTCCAAGGCGCTGGAATTTCACCATGGGACCCAGACTATGTCATCAAAAAGCTTGACGTGCATTTACGGACGCCTATGCCTCCTATGGCCAACCCTTCAACACCACCACCTTGGCAGTCGCAAACGCCCTCTAACCCACAACAAGCCGTCTTGCAGTCCAACTTTATTAAAAGCCGGATCTCTGCTCATAAAGGAAGCTCACCGGCACCAATTATTGCTGTAGTTGAGCAATTGTTAAAGGGTGCGCAGGCAATGGCGCACTCAATCACTATTTTAACTGATCGGCTTCGTACCCTTGAGGATGCGAATGTAGCACTTGCTAAGCGTCGGAGGGCTAAAAGGTCGCGTGTGCAGCTTGGAGGGGCACTTAGTATAGAGGAATCTCAGGGTTTGCTGGAAGAGAAACAAAAAGGTAAACGTCCAGCACCTCGAGAGGATGAGGAGGGGGGTCCATCAAAGAGAGCCCAGCCGACTCGGAGACGCTGTGGTGCGTGTGGTAAGACTGGGCATAATGCACGAACCTGTTCCAAAGATGTCGAATCATCAGGAGATTCTGATAGCGACAACCAATAATTGATTTAACGCGTTGTGGTTGAGAAATACTAGATGTTGTTGTGGACGTGGGAAAAAACGTCCGGCTGACTGATGAACCACGTTATAACAAATAAAATAGAAATACTAGCATTACCTTATAGAACGAAAGAACTATAGTATAAATTACGTAATGATAAAATAATGATTATTCGGGATTAGAATAATCTAATATAATCTGGGGGCTAAGCGATTATTTTAGATTAAAATGATCTAGGGCGACCTGTTACAACCCAACATGCATGACCAAGAACAGGGCCTGCCCCGCAGGCTCGCGGCGGTTATAATACACCACATATGCAGGAGATAAGGGACACTAGGCACCCTCTCACGGAACGGAAGAACTATGGTACAAGTCACGTGATGATAAGATAAGACATGAGCGGCCATGGTGGGGCCATGAGCGACCATGGTGGGGCCATGAGCGCTCATGCCAAGTAATGAGCGCTCATGCCGAACAATGAACGCTCATGCCGAACGATGAGCGCTCACCCGATCAGAGGAACTGATCATTGACAAGGGATATGTTCAGGACCAGGACTTGTATATAGGATGGACTCGAGCCGGACTCTAGGACAGACTTTCCATAGCTCTTCAGCAATTAACTTCGTATCAGATCTTATGATCGCTTTCAGCTATCTTTCCTAAGAACCTCTTTGATAAGACTACGATTGATCACCGCAGCCTTCCCTTACCTTACGACTTACAGACATAGCTTCCCTGAAGCTATCCACGACTACGATTACTGTTACCAGTTCCGCAGCCTCAACTTCTGCAAACATACCTCACTACGACTAGCTGGCCGTAACACCATGGTAAGGGCTTAGTTAGCCCATCGGCAGGCATTATAGTAGAAGGAAGATATTCAACTTTAATATTTCCTTTTTCTACTTCCTGTCGAGTATAATAATAATATAGAGCCGTATGCTTAGTCCTTTGATGGTATTCAGGATTATAAGCAAGAGATAAGGTGTCATGAAACAGGAATGGTATCAGCACTTGTCAAGCATCTTGCCACGTGCTTTCTCACGTGGATATCACACTCTCTTAGTATATAGACTGCTCTCATGTGCTCATTCTAGATGGGTTACTTCAAGCCACTTTAACCCACTTCATATGCCCATTGCTGCGTGCCATAACTCGTGACATAAGGCCCCATTATTATCGGTTTTAATAGTAATAACTAGGTTTGATTTGATAACCTATTTCCGATAATGAATTTTGTAGCCAAATAGCTTCTCGAATAGCTTCTTGAAGTCCATTGAATTCAGCCTCTGTAGTGGAAAGTGCTATAGTAGAATGCTTTTTAGACATATTGTTGAGGCTTGTTCTACCAATCTCCGACGGGAATCGCGCGTTCTTTGTCCCTTTCATCGCCGCCTACACCCGATTGGCTTGGAGGTTTTCAGCAAACACCAGAAATATCAACTTTGCCGCTCTCACTGCCCAGATTTTGGCGCATCGCTGAAGTAATTTATCTCGTAGCCCGACGTGGTATGGGTGAGATGTGTTGGATTCAGTCAAGATCTCAATGTTATATACCTCGATCGCCACGCCAGCTACACTTCAAAGCTTGTAAGACAATGAATCAAAGGAACACTGTCGGAGTAATTATTTCTTGTAAAGGGAAGATGGTTTGAAGAGAACATGAACAGGTCGTAGGGCTGAAACTGGTGCAAAATCTAGACCAGAGACCGCTCTTTCCCCCGATATGTCGGCAATGCAATTTGAGTGCCAAAGCAGGAACAAAATGTATTCAATTGCGATGATGAAGACGAGGGAAACGCGTTGAGCAAGCCACGTGCAAATTTTGTTCACTCTCGTTGCCTTGGAATTGCACCATCTAACAGCGGTATGTAGTACGTAAGGTCCGCCGGTGCGCAAGAATTGAAGGCCACCTCAGCGGCGCGCCGGGGAGATAGGCCGGGTATGACGGCGGAGTTTGAACGGCTGCGGAATTGCGGAACCCCGCCAGCCAGGAGCGTGGAGCGTAGCGCATCCTTCCGCAGTGGCTTTTCACCAACTCCATTCTACTATTGGCGGGAGTTTTGGGAAACGTCCCAAAACGGATGAAGTGGCTTGCTGTGCCGTTTGCTTTGAAGTAAATCCTCTATATTGTCCCATTTTGTCCATACGAGGCACCATTGCGACTGGAGATGAAGTCGATAAGACACGTACGTCGGGTTTTCGAGCGGAGATGTTCGCGAAATGTCTCATGAAGTCGACGGACTTTGGTATCTCTGTAATTTTGTCAAGTTTAAAAAGATCTTCGGAGCATTGAAGGCTCCAGTCTGACATTCGAACATAAGCCATCCATATTTCAACACAATCGTCCTCAGTCTATCTACAACCCGAAGCCTTTTTCTACCCAAATTCACAGTCATCAAGATGGTCAGAGTTGCTATTGCTGGTGCTTCGGGAAGTGAGTTAAAAGATCATATCGAGCGTTGGAGCTCTCCAAGTTTCTCGCTAGACACAGAGCTCGCATCTCTGAGTATGAGTATGAGTGTGAGTGCCATGGCTGACAAGTGATGCGTCTCAGAGCTCGCCCTCGAGGTCATTGACAAATTGGCTGCCGCCGGTAAACATGAAGTCCTTGGATTGGTCCGCAAGGTAAGCTATCGATCTCCCTGGGCGAACTCGCAATCGGTCCACATTACAGTCTGGCAGGGTGTATACAAGTTTCCAATTCTGATGTTCTGACCACAGCTTCAGGAACCTTCATCTCTACCCCAGTTTCAGGGCGTGAAGTACATCCAGACTTCCTACCAAGATGAGAAGGAGCTAGTAGAGATTCTCACCGACGTTGAGACTGTTCTCTCTTTCATTGTGGCTCACACCGACCCGAATGCGGAGACAGCCAAGCGTCTTATTGATGCATCAATCAAGGCTGGAGTGAAGCGCTTTGCTCCAAGTGAGTGGGCGACGTGAGTATTTCTGCTTCTTATCCGCCTTGTCATCGACGTTCTGACCCGTCGCTAACGGTCCGGGTTTAAGTAACAATAACCTATCAGATGTGATTGAGTACACCTCTTGGTACGCCAACAAGCTGGAAGTCAAGAAGTACTTGGAAGACGTCAACAAGAGCAAGAAGGTTGGTAAACTTTGAGCGTTCGAAATATCTGGGGCCTCACATTTTGACCAAATTTTAGGTGATTGAGTACAGTCTGTTTCAGCCTGGCGCCTTCATGAACTACTTGGGGTATCCTCATCAAACCACCAAGCACTACCAGATCGATTATGCTACCTTCATTGACCTTGAGAAGGCCACGGCCTTTATTCTTGAGGGATCTGAGAATGCTGAAATGTCAATCACAACCATTGAAGACATTGCGGAGGTGGCTACACGAGCTGTCGATTACGACGGCGAATGGCCTGTTGTAGGCGGTATCACAGGCGATAGAGTCACTATCGGAGAACTCATCAAGTTGGGTGAAAAGTGCAGAGGTTCGTCGATTATCTAATTTCACTGAACCTCTAGTTATCTGCTTCGAATTACTGACATAACATTCCAGGAAACCCCTTCGAGATCGACAGATTGAAGCTCGAGGATCTCAAGGCAGGCATTGTCAAGACGAACTACTTCCCCGCCATTGACTTTCCTGGTGTTCCAGTGGAGCAGCGCGAGCATTTCAGAAACGTCGTCGTCATTGGAGCGACGATCTCCACTGCTCAAGGCACCTGGGCAACTTCTGATGAGTGGAACAAGTTGCTTCCTGAATTCAAACCAACCACCATTGAGGAATACTTGCAGAAGACTTGGGGCGCTCAGTGATTTTCTGGTTTTGTAGGCTGTCTTTGTCACGACAATTTGGCTAGACCTTGAGAGTTCGAATGATCTGGGCTACCTAGGTCACATCAAAGTTTGACATGCTGCTTATGGATTTCAGGTGATACACTCAGTCAGCGATCGGCTGATTTAGTTGGGCCTTTATGTAGAACATTTCAATTTGTCTTGAAACACTGCTCTACATGAGTCCTAGATAACCAACGTGGAAGACAGCTCCGTGAAAGTGCGGCATTCTATTTCCCTCTAACACTCACACGTAGAAGACTTAGAGCTGTACTGCAGATAATTACTGGTTATTTTGTTGATCTCTAAACCAATGTGTGACCGAAATTGTTCCCTTTCAATCAACCCCCGGTATTGAGCGGACTAAGAAGGTCAAACTCGTGTGTAGCGATCAACTCGGGATAGAAAATTCCGGCGTCCTTCAACACCTTATCCATAGTTTCCATGATTAGTATACTCTCGGACCACGGCATAATATTACTCTCCAATTGACCGTCTCTAATACAAAGTGCAGCCTCGTCTGCCTCCCAAAATGTACCATCTCCCCAACTCCTTTCGCTGTCTTGCGGCTGAGGGCATTTGACAACCTTTTCGACAACTCCTTCTTCCGATGTAGTAATCATTTTGAAGGATTGAGGCTTATACGCTGGGTGGTCTACTTGTATCTCGCCATGTGAGCCCTGGATTCGTATCGCTGGTGTGTTGAAATTGCCAGGATCTGTCGCAACCCGCAGCGATGATGTGGCTATGCCCACTGTACCATGCTTTAGAAAGTTGAGGATGATTGTGGTCGACTCATCAACTCCCGTGGAATACTTCTGAACAGCAGACAGTACCTGTGGTTGTTCTTTCTCGTCCTCCGGTTGAAGATGGTAGAGAATTTGGAAAACCCAGGTCAGCGGGTAGATGCCAAGTCCCAGCAGGACGCCGCCAGCCAAGTCAGGGTTGACCATGCGATGCGAATCTTCGTAATTGAGTCTTTTGCTTTCGGTATCTTTGCTGCCGTCCGCCCGAGACAAGTCCGCAGTAACACGGTAAACCTGGCCGATTGTTCCGCTGCTGACGAGCTGTCGTATCTTCACACTTAGCGGGAAGATTCTCGTCCACACACCCTCCAAGAAGAAGAGCTTCTTCTCTCTCGCAGTGTCGTACAGTCGTCGCGCTTGGACAGCAGTGACAGTAAGCGCCTTCTCGCAAAGAACGCTCTTTCCTGCCTGTAGCACTAGCATCGCGTTCTGGAAATGGTGACTATGTGGGGTGGCGACGTAAATGATGTCAACATTTCGGTCCTGTACAAGTGCTGCATAAGATCCATATGTGGAAACTCCAGCAGTCGAAGGGTGGCCGATGCGGGCGAGGAATTCGACAGATTTGAGGTGGTCTTTAGACGACGAGACTGCGGTAATGGCATGTTGAACGTCGGTCACGCCGCGGGTATCTGGGTTTGTCAAGAGGTCTTTGCAGAAATCTGGAGTGTGTAAGTAACTTCGTTTCACGCGAGAAGATGAGACTGGTTCATCTCGTCAAGGGATCAATTAAAGCTGACGTACACTCGGACATGGCTCCGGTGGCCATTATTCTCCACCTCAACAGGAATGGTTCCTGTGCCATTTCAACTTCTTAACAATAAACCCAAATTCGAGCACTGATCGGCATAGAGGTCACTTCTTTCTCCCCCAGTAACCGAGGGACAATGTCAATTTCCACCAGGGTCGTAGGTATGAAGGGAAAATGTTGCTTTAAAAAGACCACCGAGGAGATGATCGACGTCCAGGTGATGAGAAGTTGATGTCGTGTGCTCGGGGGTTCGGGCTAACGAGTGCCGATGCAGACCCAATTGAGAGACCTCAGTCCAATCTAGTAGTAGTAGTAGTATTTAACATCATCAGGGACAGGAGCCTAGCTATCTAACGAACTAAGCCCGATCAACCAGAGCGCCCTTTGGGCATATATCTAAACAGCGTACGACAAGTCAGATAATCTATAATGTACACTTTTCTTCTCGTACCTAGAGTAGTGGAGATTATTAGCTAATCCCTAGGGTCCGTTTAGTTCCAAAAAGCACGCCAGTAGGGGTTTCCTGACTCGGTAGAAGCGAATGGGCCTTGAGTAGCCCTACATCGTCCACAGACGACGGGCTATAACGAAAAGGCCGGCCCTCGTAGGCGTAATTACCCACGAGTGCATTTTTTTGTTTTCCAGTATTATCTCAAGTAGATCGGGAAAAATAGAGGAGGGAGAGGGAGGGTAGAGGTAGGGCTATAGCCTAAGAGGTGTCGGTAGGTGTATGATAAAGTGTGAGGCGTGGTATCTCGGGCTCGCTATCCCCTCACAGGGAGTGCGTTTCGAAGTACCGCGTTAAGCGCTCGAATTGTTCAAAGGCGCCCGGATCTCTAATCAGGGCGTACCAGTAGGCTTTGGCCTGGCCCTTCGGGGGCGGTAAGGGGCCCGGATCCTTTTTAATCCTAGCAATCGGCCATAGTGCCGCCGTACGGCGGTTCTTCGCGTAGTATACTGGATAGGTAGGTAATAATTTCCGTCCGTAGTTACATTTGAAGTCCCCGTCGTGCTGAAAGTGCTTGTGGTAGGCGAAGAAGTAGCCATGGCTAGAGCGGGCAGCGAGCAGGTAGTGCAATAGTAGACAAGGTAGGTCTAACTCCGGTAAGTAATAAAGGGCGGCGTTAGTATTCCTATAGCTAAACTTGAGTTTCTGCTTAGATATATGCTACTAACTCGAGTGGTATCCGCGGGCTCTATCGTAAGTTATCTTCGCTATTCTAGCGTAGGAGGCCTGCGGTAGGGGGTATAGTAGCGGGAGTGTGGCTCCTTCCTTAGCGAGCTTATTAGCTAATTCGTTTCCAGGTATCCCGGTATACCCGGGCGTCTAGTAGTATTTAATATCCCTTGCCTGCTGAGCGTCGATTATCTCTAGTATAGCTGCTTACGAGCTAGCTGGAGAGAGTCCGAACCCTGAGATATAGTTAAGAACTCTAGTATTATTAAGATAGAGGTGGATAGTAGTAGGGGAGGTAGTAGCTAGGTATAGTACTCGCCGTAGGCCCTCACGGGCCCCCTTAGCTTCGGCGTCGAATACTTCGGTATGTTCGCCGAGGCGCCTACGACCTTTCGCGATGACTTTAGGTCCACGGTAGATCGTATAGCCATATCCTATAGCGCCCTCGAGCAACATAGACCCATCTGAGTAGATCACTAGATCAGAGCGCGGTAGCGCCTTGATCATCCGCAGAAATGCGATAGAGACTTCCTCTTTGGTGCCTCGCTCGGGCGCGGGGGGATCCGGGAAGACTGGGGTTGGGCGGGGGCACGGAGGTAATAGCGCGTAGGTTCGCAAGAGTCTCTTACTCCGTCCAGAACGTCCAGGGGTGCGTTCCTCCAGCCTAGGGACCAGTAGGTATTAGGGGTCAAGACGGCATAGCCTTGCGGCAAAGCGTAGTCTAGCCCCTTCGAACGCCGCGACAGCGGCTAATAGTCCTGACTCCTTAAGTAAGATATCCGTAGGTATGGTACGCTATACCGGGAGTACGGCCCGGGCCGCGGCGGCGATAGCCTTATTAATAACGGTGAAGAGGCCCTTCTGGCCAGTGTTTATAGAGGGATTACGGAGGGTAGTGCCTATTCTAGATAGCTTTGGTAGTATAGCCGGCCTAGTACGGCCCGAAAACTATATTTCGGTACTATATAGAGCTAACGGTAGTATATAGGCCGTAACGACAAGACGGGCTTGGCGGGGAGGGAGGCCCTTAAGGATAGCACTGAGGCTACGGAGGAAATTGGCGACCCGCTCTGCTGCGGTAACTTGATGACCGACGTGGATATGGAAGGATAGTGTGCGGTCGAACTAGACAACTAGCTAGCATACGGCCTTAGTAGGTGTCACGAGCGTAATAGTAAGCCCCGTAGCGTGGATAGCAGGCTATTCAGTTGGCCTGTTCTTGCGATGTTTTTGTATAAAGTATACTGCTTCATACTTAGCAGGGTCAAAGGTGACTTTATTCTCGGCGCCCTATTCGAGTATAGAGCTAATTTTGCCACCCAATATCCGAGCGTTCTTTTCCAGCGTTGGGGAGATCGTAAGTAGCCCTATATCATCCGTATACCCGAAGCGGTACCTAGGATTATCTAGGAGCGTATCTACCAGGTATAAGATATAGAGGATTAGGGAGGTAGGGGAGCCTTATAGCAGACCGCAGCGTAGAGGGAAACCCTCCGAGAGTCTCTTGTCTATTCTAATGGTAGCCATGCGGTAGGTCATAAAGGACCTTATAAAGCGGATAAATACCTCCGGCCAGCCTTATTAGCGAAGTTTGAGTATGAGTCTGTTGCGAAGTGACGGAAACTATATGTACCCACAACTACCTAAATGCAGTAGAGGGATCTCTCTTTTGTATATGGCGCAACGGTACAATTCCGAATTCTGTCACGAAGCGTGGTATCAAACCTTCCTTTTATATCTATTATAACTAGGGTCGTAGTAAGTGTGGGACTGTGGATACCTGAGGCAGTGGCTGGTGCCCCAGGCACCAGCTGCCCGATCCACTTCCTGGTTGATCCAGCCCACCGCAGCCACCTTTCACCTTCACCACAACATCACCAACCAACGGTCAATACCAGTCGTATTGCCTCATTGCTTGCCTCGTTGGTCCAGATGAGCAGTGTGTACTGCCCACAGTAAGTCTACTTTCAAGTGCTTCCTCTATATCATGCGCGGCGCATGAGGTTAGATCGACAGCATTCCGGCTAGGCAGCGTACCAAACTGTTGCGGGTTAATAACCGTATTTTGTATTATATAGTATGTAGTACGCCGCGCAAAGATGCGCTTAAGACCCTTTCTTAGGTATGAGAGGAGAAAGATGGGTCTATGAGCTAGGGTCTGCGAGCTTCCACTTGCCGGCCTTCCGAATAATGACGATTTCTGCCTGCTTGAAGGGAGTTGGATGATGCCCAGAGGTGAGGTAGGCTTTAAACAGGGCTTTAACAGGTTCTCCGATGTGCCCCTAGACCGCTGCTAATAACTTCGTAGTGATTTTATCCGAGCCTGGAGACGTGCTCCGCATGAGCGTATATTATATAATATCAGCTTGAGTGACCGTAGTCCGCCAGGGTAGAAGTCTAGGTCTTTTATATCGTCGTCTGGAGTGAAGCGCTCTAAAAGTGCGTACCGGAAGGCATCGATTTTGCCTTGGGTATCGGTTATCTTGGCCCTATTAACCTCTAAGGGGGGGTCTTTGATAGCAAGGTTGGAATTACGCCACTTAGTGATAGAGAAAAGAGCTTCTGCGTTATCCGCCGTAGTTATCTTCTCTGCCTAGTATGCACGCTTGGCGCATTTCGAAGTGCTCAGCCATTCCAGCTGGGCTTCTTGGGCGTGCGAGTAGTATATATAGCTTAAGTACCTAGAGGGGGGGTAGCTAGTTCGCTGTCGGCGCCTTGCCTCGAGGTGTGCTGTGCGTGCTTTAGCGCATTCTGTCGTCCACCAGGGCGTTCTACGGCCGTGTTGGCCTCCTTTAGCACTTGTGGTATCTAGGGCCGCCATAAGCGTGCTCACGATGGTGCTGGCTGCCTCGTCTAGTTGCTCGGGGGTAGCCTGTCTGTCGACGATAGTGAGTGGCCCTTGGCTGATTAGAGTGGCAAAGCGCTCAAGTAAGTGCTCTGGTACCCGAGACCGGCTCCAGAGGTTCGGCGGCGGTAGCCGGAGTGAGGGGAGCGTAATAAGTATAGCTTTATGATCGGAACCTGTGTGTAGCTGCTTGTACACCTGGGCTCTAGCTAGGGGGATATTTAAGAAGGAGAGGTCTATGATATGGCCTATCCCGTTCTTATTGGCGTGCGTTACCTCCCTAGCTTCTCTCATATAGGCGAGTCTAGCCTTCTGTGCCCATTGAGAGATAGAGGAGCCGGCCCTCTCTGACTGGGTGCCGGGCTCCTAAGTCTTATGGCGGGAGTTAAAGTCGCCCGTAATAAGAGAGTGCGCTGGAGGTGAATAGTTGAGTAGTGCCGTAGTGGTTGGGTTATGAGCCCTCTCGCCAGGCCGATAGATATTAATTATGTTATATTTACGAACCTGGATCTATAGTATGTCTCTGGTTGGTGTAGGGCGGAGTTGTTGGGCTTCTAGGTGCTTTTGGATATAGGTGAGCACCCGTGGCCTTGAGTCCGTATCATTCCAGTGGTCTACGGGGCTGAAGATATCGTAGCCTGGGTGTGTATTAAGCTTGGCCTGCTTCTTTTCCATCGTCCAGGGCTCCTGGGCAAGTATAACATCAATGTCATGCTCCCAGCAGGCCTAAAGAAGGTTGGTGTTCGCTGCGGACCCCCTATTAATATTGCACTGGGCAACTAACAGATTTGGTTCAGGGTCCGCAGTCAAGGAGGCACTAGGCCTCCTCTTCGTCCAATTGCGAGAACGTGGCATGATTCTGGACGTTATAGTCAACCGTTTTGGACTTCGCTGCTCTCATCCTAGCGTTCAGAGGCGTACGGACTGGTGAGATAGTACCGTCTTTATATTGCGTTAACGTAAAGCGTGGTGGCCTAACGGGCGACTTGGTGCCACTGAGCCGGCGTTGGGCCCCGACACTACGCGCCTTAGTGGGGGAGAAAAGCATAGCAGGTGTCTGTCTTGGCTTGTCCAGTGCTGAAGCTGCGTCGTCTGCCTCCGTCATGTCTAAGTCTGGCTCGCTCCCAGCTGTAGACGAGCCGGAAGTGATGGACTGAACTGGGTCTAGGTTGACCGTGATAGTACCAGCGGTGCCAGGGCGCTGGGGCTCCGTTTCTTGGGGCTGGGTAGTCCTTATGTGTGGCCGGGCCGGGCCTGGTGATATGCCAGGTTCGGGGGGTGTGGCCAGTCTGGGCCTTGATTTCTTCAGCTATATTACTCTCAGTCTCCGTATCCTGGAGCTTTGGCGGCCCGTGGTTATCGAGGCGGGCCCGTGAGACTCTGACTGGGCAGCGTGGAACGAGATATGTTTGCTATTTTAGGGGTACGTCGATGCTGTTAGCGTTAAGGTAGCGCTGGAGCTGCTGTTTTTGCTGTAGGAGTTGTTGTTTGACGTTGTCTGTGCTAGGGCGGATCGAGAGGCCCGTGGCGGTGTGCTTTCAGTCTGCTATGTCTGATAAGGGTAGGCCGAGGTCGTGGGAGATGGCCTGCCTCAGGGCGAAGGAGCTATGTAGTCTGGTATTTAGAAGTCGTTCGGCCCCGATGCGAGCAAGGAGCCGGAGATCCGGACCCGGGTTTGCTTGGCGTGGGCTCCGTAGGCCTTCTATGGACCGGGGCATGTTAGCTGACTGGCCCTGGGTTGCCGTACTAGCGTAGGAGATGTATGTCCCCTTAGGGCCGGGTCGGCCCGGGCTAGGGGAGAGGTAGGAGGTGAAGCTCTGGATAATAGACCGTACATACGGCTTTAGTTCCTCGTTGTAGGAGGAAACAAGGTTATCTAGGATATTGGTAAGGATGCGGTGTATTGCGTCGTACTTAGATTGGGCCGTATTGGTGCGTTGAAGCGCCGCGGCGGCGGTGGAGGGTGCTTTGCTTCCCTGTGATGTACGAGGACGGGATGGGAGCGGCGCTAATGGGCGCGGCGGTAGCGTGCGCGTGCGCGATAGGGTCAAAATGGGGTCCGGCAGCGAGCTGTCGGCATGCTGAGAGCTTGCGAGGCCTCCCTGAGGCCTTGCGGGCGGCGCGCCTGCGTCTGGCTGCGAGGCCATCGCGGGCGATAATTCGTAACTTGGGTGCAGGAAGTGGTGTTAGTGGGTGGGTGTAGGCCCAGGCAAGACACTAACAGTGGGTGTCTCACGCGGGTGATGCGTGTGGGAAGTGACCTCAGTGCAATCACCGTTTGTGAAATGCTGCGAAATTGAAGAACAGAACGACAATTAATTGATTTTGTATGCCCGGTTAAGAATTAAAGTTTGGATTCCATTATGTAGTAGCCTAAGTTGCCAATCCATTTCATCAATAATCATAAATCATCGCACTATTTTGCTCATCCCCATCAACTACCTATAGCTCCCAGCATGGCCTGACTGCACTAGAAGTATAGGCTTCCAGCGTTGTTCAAGATCCAGTCAGAGCTCGTCTTTCTAAAGTCGTCTTTCAGGGTGCTAGCCTTGTCCGCGAAGAACTGCATCAAGTTCTGGCCCTGCGACCACTGGGGCCAGGCCGGGTACGCTCCGTTGAGGCCGACGTTGGGGTCCGAGGCATAGACAAAGTTGGTGTAGTAGGTGCGGATGCTTCGCGCAGCGTAGTTATCCTTGATGCCGTAGAAGACCTGCAGCAAGTCGGATCCGTGGAAAGTACCCAGAATCGGGGTTCCGTAGTCGTACGACGAGAGGTAGGACCACGAGGGCACAGTGGGCTGCACGGAGGTAGCAAGGTTGAGGAAGACGCGGCGGGTCAGCGTGAAGACCAGGTCGCCGAGAATGGCAGATCGACGTTTGAAGCCAGGGAAGATCTCGTTCAAGAGACCAGTGCGATGCGGGCTACCGTTGATGACGGCAGTCACGCCGTCATCATAGGTGGCGACGTAGGCAGTGATCTGGGCTGTGGTAGCTGTTGCGAAGTAGTAGTTCTTGAGGTAGGTGACCAGCTTGTCAGTGGTGGTCAGGTTGGGCTGGAAGATGCCGAAGAGGGTGCCTTCATCCTCTTGATCTCCAATGATCATGGGCACAGCTGCGTACTGGCCGTTCTTGGCCAGCACGTCGGGGCTCGCGGTGAGAGTCTTGCCATCCGGACGGGGCAAGTAGGACAGGGCGAGAGAGTTGTAGGAGAGAATTCCAGGGACAGACGTGACGGCGTTGAGGAACGTAGTGTAGTCGACCCCGCGCAGGCAGGCGAGCGTGTCGGCCTTGCCAGCGCATCCTGCCTGCGAGACAACTTTGTCGTACACAGCCTGTCCCTTGGGGCAATCTATGGGGTCAGTAGGGACGATACTGCCGGAGTTCATGATGGCACCGCGGAAAAGCGCCTTGCCGTTGTACTTGTTGTTTCCGTTGTAGAGAGCCATTTGGTCGAAGACGGAGATTGCACCCGCAGACTCGCCCCAGATGGTGACCTTGTCCGGATCACCACCGAAAGCTGCGATGTTGTCTGCAACCCACTCGAGGCCCATTCTCTGGTCGAGGAGACCGAGGTTTGCCGAGCCGTCGGCTAGGATCTCTTTGCCAGGCATGAAACCAAAGCCAGCAACACGGTAGTTGACAGCGACGAAAACGAAGGGCTTGCTAATGTCGACACCATGCTGGACGAGGCCAGTTCCGTCGTACATGGAGGACCATCCGAGCTGTTCAAATCCTTGTCAGTACATTGGACGGATGGGTCAAAAGTTCGGATGACGCCCGGCATACCTCGAATCCACCTCCAAAGATCCAGTAGAGCACCGGCAGCTTCGCATCTGCCGTAGTGCCCTGGGGACGGGCCACCGTGATGGTAAGGCAGTCCTCGGTCTGTCCAGTCGCCTTTTGGACAAAGGGAAGGTTCGCAATGTCTCCCAGTAAGTTGAACAGAATGTTGTCGCTGTCGGAGGATGAGACCATCTGCGGGCAAGCAGCCGCCGGGCCGGTGGCGTCAAAGGTTCCAATGTTGTCTGTGAGGCGCACGGGAGGCTTCAATCGCAGTTGCCCGGTAGGTGGCTTGGCGTAGGGAATGCCGCCGAAAGATTCGACATTGTTCATGACGTTTCCGACGACAGTTGCTGTCTTAAGAACAACCGTCGCGTTGGCCACAGCCCTATCTTCCAAAGGCTGGACATGGTCCGACACCGCCAAGGCGGCTCCCAGGAGGGAGAGGGACGATACGAGAGTGGGAGGCTGCATCGTGAAGAGACAAACGTTCGTCTAATAGATCCACAGAACAAACTGAGAAGACCGAAGGGGGGATGGAGCTAGGTGCGAGCTGCAGGATAGACCCAGTCGTTGGAGCTTGGCTGAAGACGATCTGGATGAGCTGCCTCGAACGACTCAAAAGATGATCCCTTTGTAGAGGGGGCTTCCCGCGGTCTATTTAAGTCAATTCTCCACGACGATCCAGGAACGACAGTCCAGCGCAAAATTTGATCTAGTGTGGATTGACCGGTGAACTTCAAAGCCGCACCCACAATCGGGTTGAACACCCCTGGCATGTATTCTAGTCTGTGTGTGGCCCGCGCGATTGTTAATTACGAATGGGGGCACTTGCGAGCTTAGAACGAGCTTGGGCAAAAGGAGAAGCTCAGTCCCCGCCGACCGAGTCGTGGGCCTCACTAGTCGAGCGGGTATCGTACTCGTGCTCGACTCCTCAAGTGAACCCAGCATAAGAAATATTGGAAATGGACAAACCGGGAATGCAACGTTCCCCATGGGGTAGCGGGGCTTATTGCCGGGATGTGAAGACGTATCTGGGTCGCTTCTGCGCGGGAAGAGATGGCCGAATGACCACGGCAGTTCAAGATACCCATTGCTCGGGGATGTCAGTGATCCCGCTGCGGCACAGCAAACGAAACGAAACAGTCTTATTGACGTAGGACAAGACTCGAATTTCACATGGGAATATGCAGAGTCACAATCGTGCCCCGCGTTCCCGCCTCGGTATGTCGGGCGGCAGAAAATGGTGGTATTCTTAAGCTTAGTCGCGCACGTCGAAAGCATGTAAGCGCAGGGGAACAAGGGGGGAGAGATACTGCTGAATAAAGGCGGTCTGGTCGAACGGAACGGCGTGAGAATAGTGCTCCTAAAGCGCATGTGATTGTGAGACAGCCCGTCGACGGACACCAGGAACCAGGAACTCTGTCCCAATCAGGCATTGATGTTCCTCTGATCTTGGACTTGTGGGTGTGAAGCTGTCGTGTGTTCGGCCGTGATGGTGGCTGCCCAGGGAGGGCATAAGCGCCCTGGACAGCTGGTGTTTGCTGCACGACAAACGGCGCGGGCGGCAGGGCCAAGCTGTATGTTCCCAATAGTGCGTGAGTTTTCGTGTTAATCGGGGAATGCGGGGTGAAAGTTCAAGATTTGATGCGCATCCATCTCTGTTAAGCAGTTGGAGTAGCACCAAAAGGACCCACCCCGAACGAGGTCGGCTGATGTAGATCGCCAACCTGGATCCTTGCACCGGCACTGGAGCCAGCCATCCACGAGGCTTGAGTCTTTCGGATTTGGTATCCTACCACGGTAATGGGCCCGAGATGCGTGGGGCTCCGGATCGAGAGATGTGCGAAAGAATCGAAGTTGGATTCTTCGAGTTGAGAGGCAGCCGTGAATTCCGCGCATACAATTCACAAAGCAGGCAAGCAACGCACACAAAAACCGTTGAAGGGGCGGATAGGTCGGGATATTCCACCAGTATCTTAGCTCAAAAACAGAATCCACTCGAACGATGTTTGCAACGGGGGGATCATACAGGATGACACTAGCATCTCGGTGGGGTGCTTTAGTGCGAGTCTGATCACACACACACACACACACACATAGACGCACACACACCTCTCATTCTCAAAGATGTTTACTGGTCGAATGAGGTTATGGAGGTTCCCGAAAGCGAGGAACGAGAGAAACGAGCTGACGATCTGGGAGGGTCAGTGTCTGCGGTCCAAAAAGGGCAATATCTACTCTTCGGACGGCCGCGGACACGAGGCGACCAGAGAGCGCTAGGCACGTCAAAGTCAGCTCTCGAAGCATTCTCCGTCCGAATTTGGAACTTAGCTCGTGACGGGACGTTGAAAACGTCCGAATGCCTCGGCCGGACTACTAGTAATCGACGAATAGTCTTACACACAGATGCGGCTCGTATGCTTTGACATCTTCAAGCATGTGTCTGCCATGCTCAAAAGCCATAGTGCGGCGTCCGTTGCTGTCGAGGGGGCGGAAAGAAGAAATGTGTTGTGCATGATCTTCCTCACGCTGCGCGCAAGCTTGTAAAGTGGGATTATCTTCGCGAGCGAGAAAGACCCCCGGTTTACCATCTTTCACCGCCCATAAAGTAGTTGATATTATGTTGCGGGGATAATGAGATTGCCGGCTTCTCAACAGATGTGGAGCCGGTATTCTGGGCAAAATCAAGTTATTCCCTGCTCGAGAGATGGAATTATCCCATTTCTAGCAGGAGCCCTGGGCCGCCTCTGATCTTCTGGAAATTCCCTTGTATCCTCGAAATCCTTGCTCGGGCATGAAATCCCTCGTGCAGAGACCATTGGTATCCGCAATTGTTGAGAAGTTCAAGAAATTTGCTACGGGAGTGGTCCTGAAGCCGGCGAGCTAATGTAGAGGTCCGAACCCTTATCAAGCGGCCGAGCCTCAATCGAAGAGCCAGTGAAACTCGCAAGTTTTGCCGAAGAAGCTTAGTGCCGCAGATGTCAACTTAATGATGGACAAAACAACAACCAATGCATTCTCTTGACAACTGTTAACCACATCAACATCGGGGATCATCCCCCACGTGTGGGCAGGTTTTGCGCCGTGACCCTAGCTCCCGCGGCTAGACACTTTAAACTTCAGGACTGTGTTCAGTCTGCCCAAGCGTCCGAGCAACGGTTCATCCGTCGTCCACATCATCCTGTCGATTCAGAATGTTGGCCCGCTCCGCTTGCAGCTTGCAGCTCTCTGAGAACCCCCAATTTTCCGTATCCGCCAAAGAATGCGACAAGGCTACGTAGTAGACACCCCCATTAGACCCCTTGCGGAAAATTTTCGACTGCACCGTGATGGGCCGTTAGCATTCCATCGAAAGGTCCGAATGACTCAGGTCTGAGATCGTCGCAAAGGGCCTGGAGCGGAGAACCTGGAACTTCACTCACTTGTTCGCCCTGCGCTACTCCGAGGATGCGTGCGCACTGAATACTGAACTTATGTAAACATTTTGTGCTGTGTGCCTGAGAAACGACCCAACGTAGCCTGTAGGTGCCGAATGATGTAAGGAACACAGTTCAATATTGTCACGAAATAGGAATATCACCAGCACTCTGTAAGCAGCTTGTCACGTACGATGTCACGTAATTCTCTTATTTATTACTATATAGCACTTTTCTTTACTCGTTTGTTACGATTCAACATGTATGATCAAGTGCAGGCGATAGCGGCTATAGCGCACTATATATATAAATAAAATAAAAATACTAGTAACTTGTTACGAGCAGGTCAAGGCAACCAACTATGGCACAAAGCAAAAGCTTCGATAATGATGACTCCGCATCATTGTCCCTTGTTCTGCATTATATAGCTACGCGCCCACAGTGTGTTACAACCCAACATGCATAACAAGGCCAGGGGGCCCGCCCCACAGGCCTGCGGCGGCTATCTACCTGATATACGCAGAGAATCCGGGAACTCAGGTGACTCCTCATGGAACGGAAGAACTATGGAACAAGTCACGTGACGATAAGGAAAGTGAGCACACGATAAGGTGATTACAGTGATCACCCAAAGTGAGCACACGATAAGGTGATCACAGTGATCACCCAAAGTGAGCGCTCACCAGTATCCACTTAGTAATCACCAACGAACATGGTGATCAGGCAACAAAGGATATGTTCAGGATCAGGACTTGTATATAGGATGGACTCGAGCCGGGCTCTAGGACAGACTTCCCATAGCTTCTTCAGCAATTAACTTCGTATCAGGATTAACATCCGCTTTCAGCTACTACCTTGACAAGACTACGATTGATCACCGAAACCTTACCTGCCCTTACGATTGACAGACATAGTTTCCTTGAAACTATTCCACGACTACGATTACTGTTACCAGTTCCGCAGCCTCAACTTCTGCAAACTACCCCTACGACTAGCTGGCCGTAACACAGTGACAAGTTGCGGCGGGCGTAACATAACTCTCTACGGAACGGAAGAACTATAATATAAATTACTGTTACGGCCAGCTAGTCGTAGTGAGGTTTGTTTGCAGAAGTTGAGGCTGCGGAACTGGTAACAGTAATCGTAGTCGTGGAATAGTTTCAAGGAAACTATGTCTGTCAATCGTAAGGGTGGGTAAGGCTTCGGTGATCAGTCGTAGTCTTGTCAAGGTAGTAGCTGAAAGCGGATGTTAATCCTGATACGAAGTTAATTGCTGAAGAAGCTATGGAAAGTCTGTCCTAGAGCCCAGCTCGAGTCCATCCTTATATACAAGTCCGATCCTAACTGAACAGTGCTGAACAGTCCACTTTTTCTGGATATGTCGAATATCCAACATATCCTTGACTCGGTTGGATATGTCGCATATCCAACATATCCTTATCCCTTATCATATCTCTTATCATCACGTGACCTGTACCATAGTTCTTCCGTTCCTGGGGTTTCCCCAATGTTCCGTCCCGTCCTGCATATATGATGCGCCGTAGCCGCCAGGCGTCAGCGGGGCACGCCCTGGTCTCATGTTGGGTCGTAACACGGTATAGGGACTTATAAACGGCCCTTTCACTTATATACCACTTCTAGGAGATCGTGGGCTCTGCCCATAATCTCCTCCTTCCACCTTCATACGCAGCAATAATAGACCATTATTGACACTTCGTTCCAATCGTACGGTTGCCCTGCTGACGTGCATACCAACACATCCGCCATAGACTTGCCAAAATCGTACTGGAGCACACCGCCGTACCCACCAGTCGGAGAACTGACGACAATATCGCCCAGACGGATATTTTTCTCTAGACTTGGGGCTCCGCCGCCGATGCCAACCATGAGCCCGACCCGTATGTTCTCGAATGTGCGGATCATATCCCGAGCGACAAATGCCGCCGAGCTTTCCCCGTATTCGCCATGAGGAAGGGCCGCGATTGCGACGTTGTGCTTGCCCATGCGTCCGAGCTTGTACGAGTTATTGTCGTTCTTGGACTGCGATCTAAGCTCTTCGTGGACCTCGTCGAGGAAGAGCCGGGCTGCGACGAACTCAGGAACGATGGCGAAGATCCAGCCGATCGTATACAGTGATGGATCAGACATATCGACTGATGGAGCGGGTTAAGATTGAGTACACGTAGTCGAGGCATTTGGTGATGGCGGCTCAATCTGTTTGATCGAATAACGGACGTCGCGATGTACGATAAGATTGAAGGTGCCTGGCGAGCCCCAGTAGGCACGAACGGGCGCTCCTGTCTGCAGTAGACTGAGCAAGAGAGTATCAAAGAAAAAGTATTGCGCGGGCGCAGCCTGGCCAACATGACAATAACTTGGCGCATGCTGAGTTGCGGCGGCTGGCCTGTTCAGAGTTTCTGTCGGATTGACCTAATAGGTATATAAACTCGCCCTTCCACTAATAACCCCTAACTTTTTCATAACATGTTAACTTTAAGGCACAGAACACTGTTTGTAACACATTTCGAAAACCAAGAATGATGGAGAACGAGGGTAGGCCTAGATGCAATGGTCTAGCCCAGGCCGAGGCCTCACCGAATTGCCCTAGTAAGGTATTGATCCTACCTTACCTTATGGACATCGTGTATTGTAGTGGCACATATCAGGAACCCCAATTCTGTCATTCGACTCGCAAGTACGGATAGGACAACAACGATTTGCAACGTGAGGCACGGCAGCTGAATCTATGTATTTCCTACGAGATTGAGAACGCGAGTCAGTTGTCGAAAGATTGAACGGGAGAGTTAACCTCGAGAGCCTCGGTCTGCGAGAAAGATAACGCGTACGCCACCAGTAACGTAACGTGCTCGCAGTGCATGTGGATCGGGACCCGCTTAGCGCAATGGCATCATCGAATGAGAAATCTCACCTTCCCAAATCGAGTTCGCGATAAGACGACAAAATCTCTTCGATTCCCTCCCCCGTCCGCCGATTATCCATCCGAACCCCTTTCGCGATTCTTTGAGCGAGCCATGGCCCATATCAGCATGATCTAGGTTTCAGCGCTGTATTCAACGGTTGTCCAGCATTCCAATGAGGTGAAGAATTGGTTGTCAATCTCGTCGTTTGATACCTCAGCATCGAACTCTCTTGTCTCCCTACAGGTTCAGACGATTACATTAGGTAATCTCACCGAGTTCGCGAGAGGAGGGCAAACGGGGTTCTCATCAATCGCGGTTCTTTCTTATCGCTCGCCGTCAGCTTTATTTCCCTCACCTTCTCTCCAACCCCGACCTCGGTGAAGGAAGCACAAAGTGCACGAGTTGAGGACAAAGGGGAATCATGGCGAAAGCGACGAGTACCGACACCATCCCGTTCCCCGGCGCCAAGTCGCCTGGCATCACCGATGTCACCCGCCACGCCTGGATCACGTCCGACGACGTCGAGGCCGCCGAGGCCTCTCGGCGCGGCCCATTTGAGCCTCACGACGACCACAACGGCGATTTTGTCACCACCACCGAGGACCGCGACCTGAAGCGCGGCTTGGAGCAGCGCCACTTGTCAATGTTGGGTATCGCGGGCGCCATCGGCACCGGTCTTTTCTTGGGTCTCGGCGGCGCTATCCAGACCGGCGGTCCTCTTGGCGCATTGCTTGGCTATGCGACAGTCGGTCTGATTGTCTGCGCCGTGCAGTTTGCTCTCGGAGAAGTTTCGGCGCTCCTCCCCGTCACCGGTTCGTTCGTCCGCCATGCCGAGTTTCTTGTCGATCCGGCCTGGGGATTCGCGATCGGATGGAATTTGGTTTACGGCAACATTTTGTCCATTCCCTCCGAGCTCACGGCCATTTGCGTACTCTTTGAGTTCTGGACAGACCTGAACCCCTCCGTCTTCATCGTCATCTTCATCATCTTGACGTTCGTCGTCGGCATCGCCTTCGTGCGCGTCTTCGGAGAGGTCGAGTTCGTCTTCGCTTTGCTCAAGATCCTCCTGGTCATCTTCCTCATCATCCTCGGTCTCGTCATCGACCTCGGCGGCGTTCCCGGCACCCCCCGCATCGGGTTCAGGTACTGGCAGAGCCCCGGCCCCTTCGTGGAGCACATCGCGACCGGCGACTGGGGCAAGTTCCTGGGTTACTGGGGCGTCATGACCAGCGCCGTCTTCTCCTTCGCCGGCGTCGAGTCCCTCGCTATGGCCGCTGCCGAAACCCAGAACCCCCGCCGCGCCATCCCCCGCGCTTGCAAGCGAGTCTTTGCGCGTATCGTGCTCTTCTACATGCTCGCGGTTCTGGTCGTCGGTATGCTCGTCTCCAGCGACGATTCCCGCCTCGACGACGCCTACGGTACCGCTGCTCAGAGTCCCTTTGTCATCGCTGCCTCTGCTGCCGGAATTCCTGCCATCCCAAGCGTAGTGAATGCCGTCGTCATCACCTCTGCCTGGTCTGCGTCTAACCAGAGTCTTCTCGCCGGCACCCGTGTTCTTTTCGGTCTTGCACTCAAGGGGCAAGCCCCGAAGATCTTCCTCCGTACAACCGCCTGGGGTACACCTTACGTTTGCGTCCTGCTGTTCACCGCTTTCATGTTCCTCAGCTTCATGAGCTTGTCCAACGGCGCATTGACTGTCTTCTGGTGGCTGGTTGACTTGACTGCGGCTGGTGTTTTGGTGTCGTGGTCGGCCATTCTCTTGAACCATATCCGTCTTAAGACGGCGATGAAAAAGCAGGGCATCGAGTTCAGCAGGTTGCCGTGGAACAACTCGTGGACCTGTAAGTTGAAATGTCTTGAATTACCTGATGGAAACTTGCTGACAAAGATGGGGATTTAGTATACAGCTCTTACGTCGCCTTGGTCTTGTGTATCGTCATTCTCTTCACCAGTGGCTTCGAAGTTTTTACCAAGGGCAACTGGGACGCCAGTGGCTTCGTTTCGTCTTATCTGTTAGTCTACCCTCCACTTTCAAATCTTAGACGAGGATCGAGTTTACTAATCATCTTGCAGGGATATTCCTCTGGTTGCTGGTGCTTTCCTGTTCTGGAAATTCTTCAAGAAGACCAAGGGTGTTGTCCTTGAAAACATCCCGCTTCATGATGCTTTTGAGCAGGCTGACGCCTATCCCGAAGAGCCTGAAAAGCAAGAGACTGGCCCTATACGGTTCGTCAGCTGGATCTGGAATTGATGGGGGACCTTTTGAGCGTTGCCCATACTTAATTAGCGCACAAAGACGCACCTACCTCGTAATAGTGTACAAATACTTCAACACCTTAGTTGTATATATATGCAGAAGCCGGCATCATCAGTCTGGTCTTAAACAAAGACGGTTCAACACTGAGAAACCGTTCCGAAATCCCAAAAGTGCCCGTATCAGAGTTATGACTCATTGTCAGTTTCTTGATCGTGACTCATCCAATAAGAGAGCCATGTGTACATTCCATTCTCTCAAAAAGCAAGAGCTACTAGAGGAATCCGGGGACTTGGAAGTTGGGGATTCTGCAACCGGCCCTTCTTCCCCGGATATTCAGGGAACCCCCGCAACACTCTTGTGCATCTGGTGGTGATATGGTTGAGGTGGGCCTCCAACTTTGGCCAAATTTGGTTGCAGCGCAGGGTATGAAGAGCAACTTCGGGCCTTTTCATAGTGCACCATGCGCAACTCTAAATGAAGCTTGAGGCGATGTTGTCCATACATGGTTCTAATACCCTCTTTAGCCCAGTAATCTTCCCGAGGCCACCTCTATAGCCATAGCAACCCCGTGAGTTGAGCCTGGTTGTATAACTTCTTGAAAACACTTCACAGGAAGTTCTTGACGAACTTGTCGCCCAATCGGCTCCTATTCGAGGAGAATCATGCGTCGCCTATCCAGTCCGCGTTCATTAGGTAAGCTGAAGCACCCTCGACTGGCCTCGGTCCTCATGTCGCTTTAGAGAACTGGCGAGATCACCCTCATGCTCCTTGGGCCCGACAACTCGGTTCTTTCATCAATACTCATCGCATTCCCACGTGCGGAGTGGGGTCTAAACCGGTAGTTTGCGTCGGGTCGCTTCTCGGCTCGCATGTCGGAAGCCATGGCGCGCAACCATGGAACCATCGTCAGCCAAAATTGGTGGGGCCGGCATAAACAGTTCCTGATCGAATGTCAGCAAGACCACCTGACAGCTTCACTAGAGTCTCTAGCAACAGTACTGCCAGATGGGAAATCACAGCAGAAAGCAGCGGGTGGCGCTAACAGTTGCTACTTGGGACAAAGACTTTTCCTGCGTGCTCTCTAGCGTGAAGAGTTAGATCCACTTGATCGGATAAGAAATCCGTTCATGACATCGTCCCACGGACGACTTCCGAGGAGCGCACCCATGAATTCTTCTGGCGCAGGGCGCACCAGCGCGAGTCAAACTAGCAAGCATTCCCCCATCTTCCCACACACCCCAATGCCCGGGCAGAGACGGCGGCGCGAATGAGCAGCTCCTAAATCCTCCATGTTTCTCCACCAGGTACCCCGTGGGGATGTGCCATCCGACGTGGTGGTAAAGGAGGGCAGGATAAATACTCTTTGACAGCCGGAAGTTTGATGAATGTGACTATAGTGTGTGCGCGTGTCATCGAACATATAAAGCAACCATTGCAAACAGCTCCGCCGCTCGAGCTCTACCGAACAGTTACCAACAGACGCACGGTTTCATCGCAATCATGGGTGGCTTCAAGGCTGTTGAGGATCGGCCGACGCCGAAGGAGGTGTACAACTGGAAGCTCTACATCGAGGCCGCAATCATTGCAATGGGATCTTTCCTGTAGGTCTCGATACTGCTGATAGCTAGTATGGCTACGGCCAGCAACTAATCATTAGTAGTTTCGGCTACGACTCGGCGTTCATCGGAACAACCATTGCCCGCAACAGTTTTAAGAGAGACTTTGGGATCAACTCCGGAAACTCGAATAACATCTCGAGTAACATCACATCAGCATTTCAGGCTGGAGCCTTGGGCGGCGCAGTGCTTTGCTTCTTCAGTACGACATCCGAATAGGAGTTGTTTGCGGCACACTGACTTGAGTCTAGTTACCGAGCGCTTGGGTAGAAAGTGGACTCTCCAGGCTAATGTTATGATCTTCCTTGTTGGCGCAATCCTGATGACTGCCGCTACAAACCAGTTGTCATTCATCTGTAAGTCAACTCCTCGCGTACTAGAATTTCAAGAGGACTCCAGCTAAGACGCTTTGCACAGACGCGGGTCGCGCCCTTACCGGCATCGGATGTGGTGGTATCACAGCTACGGTCCCATCCTACATCGGAGAATTGTCGATTCCTTCCATCCGCGGTATCCTCACCGGTCTCTTCGAAGTCGCATACCAGATCGGCAGTGTCATTGGTTTCTGGATTAATGTGAGTTGCATCCACCTTGAATACATATGGAAATCTTGAAGAGCATGGCCTAATCGTTCGATTAGTACGGCATCACGCAAACCATCGACCCGAACCTGCCTGTCAGCTGGAGAATACCGATGGCATTCCAACTCGTTCCCGCCGGCATCCTCTTCG